GGGGGGGGGGCTAGGTAATATTAATAGTCGATCATTCACTTTTCGCCACTGAAGCGCCATTACAAACATGAACACAGTGGATTGATTAGATACGTAACCGAATTATGCATTCATTTGAAAACGGTTGAATTTTTGGGGAATTTTGCAAAGTTACACTAGTTGCATTAGGAAATCTCTCGTTTTAAAAAAATTGAATTTTCTTTTAGTTTTAAAAATAGAAATTTTCTTGAAAATTGGAAATGTATCAATAAATTGGAAATAATCCTAATTATTTTAATTTTTATGAAAATTCTGTAAATAAATGTATTAAGGAAAAATCATCAATGTTGCAATGATTTCATGAGTAATTTTTTTTAACAGGAAATTTTTTAGAAAGGTCAGCTCGAGGACAATCATTATTCATGTAGTTTAATTTATTTTAGAAATCGCAAAAAATATATTAATCGCCAAATATATTTTATAGGAATCTCAAGTCATTTATCAAATACTTAAAAAAATTAGTTATAAATGTTTTTAAAATGTGACACAATATTACCGTCAAAACATGCAAAATCATCAACAGGCAATAACCGCTCTCATTTCAGGCTTCCTAATATTTTATTTAACAGAGAAAAAATCCATTGACATCTAATAAAGTTTCTCATCTTATTGTACAACAAATTCTCTGAAGCTTGAGTGTCTTCCTTTTTTTTCCAGCAATTCATCGTGCAGACTCGTTTTGTGTGTCAATTTAACATCGAGGGACGTGTTACAAGTGTGAATGCTAATTTACTGGGTGACACCATCTATTGTGAGCCTATGGAGTTTTCCTACACATCTCGCGCACCATTCATCACTGCAACGTTTGCTATCATTTGGGGTGGCACAAAGCCTTTAGATAACCCAGACAATGTTCGCAGTAAGTTTTTTTTTTAATATTTTTCAAGTTTTCCATAGATTACTGAAATTTCATAACAAAATAAATGAGAAAAAATAATAGTCTGAACTCCTAAAATTGTTTTGAATATTTCATTATTAATGGCGCATCATTCTCAATATATTTTTTTAAGAACAAAAAAACTATCTAATGAAACTATGTGTTGTTCACTCATCATGTAATAATTACCATATTATAATAATTTATTGTGTAATCATTTCATGTTGTGCCCATGAAGGCCTTGAGAGCGGATGGTTTAGCAAAACCTCGGCTGTGAGCAGTCTCATGGCCGGGAGATGGGGTTATTTCTTTCAGGGCTAGCCAGCCTAGCCATGAGGGTTTGGTCCAAAAAGCCACCAGTGAAAAAACTTGTGGATGAAGAATTGGCTGCTGTCTCCTTGTGATAAAACCCTCTAATGGAGACAGGTAGACCCCGGATTACCAGACACATGACCAGGCCAGTAGGGTGGGAAACTCTTTTATCCTCTGTGTTTCCCCTTGTTTCAATCAGGAAAAGGGCCTTTAGTTTGATCAAAGAGAATCTCTCGGCTGAGGTTTTGGTGCATTTCCTCTTTGATGAGGTTTTTTATGGGCAAGGTTTTGGACTAAACCCTCATTTGTGAATTGCCTCGGTGTAAGGTTTGCCCCCGAAACTCGAGGCCAAAGCTTTATGAACATTAAGGGTGGTATTTGGCCCATTCTGTGCCTCTGGAGCCCTGCGCCCATCTAGATTTTTATTAAACCAAAAAAAAAAGTCTGAGAATGAATTAGTCTAGAATTGATTATGGCGTAAATCAGTTCCTATATGCAGACAGAGATTCATATTTTGATGTAATTTTTTTTCAGTAATAATTTACCGGTGCCATGACATGGTGGACAATTGTGGTATGTGCCTTGCTCTTGAGGAAAAATACGACTGCGGCTGGTGTCAAAGCTCAAACCGATGTGAAGTTAGCGATCAGTGTGACCGCGTCAACTTAGGTGCCGCAGTGTGGCTGAACAGAACTCAAACTTGCCCTAACCCGGAAATCACATCTTTTGAGCCGATGTCAGGACCATGGGAAGGTGGAACCATTATTACTATCAATGGAATTAACCTTGGGAAAACCATCGATGACATTTATACAGGTATTGCCAATTGCCTCAAACTTTAATCCTGACTTATGTTTACCCCCTTCTTTCTGCAACTGTTAAGATTAGCTAAGGTTGGAATAACGTCATGCAGTGCATTTTTTGCTTTTTATTGATGTTTGGAAAATTTTAATCGATCATCAAAAAAGTTAATCAATAATAAATTAAAAATTAGGTCTCCAATTTAAGGAATGTTCAGTCTTACTCCCGTATGATAAGTTCAGATGTCTTGAATTTGTCAGATCAGCTTTATTAGGCCAACCATGATTGAATCAGAGCAGAAAATGGTGCACCAATACTTGAATGATAGTGTCAGGACCAAGCACTTGATTCTTGTCTCAATTTATGGATGCAACATGTGATGGATCCGTTCAGTGAAAGTTTTACTCGCTCCAAATATCATGACAAATTTCATCGATTTTTGTAGATCATCTCAGAGACATATTTTTCTGCTTGAATTCAAACTGGAATCCTTGAAACCACAGCGTATTTGTAGAACATGATCTGAATTTTGATGTGGATTATGTGGTTAGGTTTTTATTCATTAGAGATTCTGTGCGCCTCAAGATTTGAGAAGTGTGATTTTGAATACTCCTCAAAATCAGAGTCCTGTTCGCTATTCCGGTGTATCCTTCCCAACCCTTTATCCTGACTAAGGTTCTGGATTCTAAATGCTAATTATTATACCAATTACTATGATAATAATTACAGGTGTGTCAGTGGCGGGAATCATCTGCCAGCCAGACAAGTCTCGATATGAAAGGACGGAGCAAATAGTGTGTAAAATCGATGGACCTGGTAAACCTGACGAGCGTTCGGGTCCTGTTATTGTGAAAGTAGCAGATTTCAGAGGCGAATCTAAACAGAATTATAGATTTGTGGACCCAAAACCTGAGAGTATAGAGCCAAAGCACGGACCAAAATCTGGAGGTACACTCTTGACAATCCGCGGAAAATACATGAATGCAGGCAGCGTTATCAGAGCCTTTATCGATGATTTGCCTTGCATAATTCAGTCGTAAGTTTTTTTCAAATTTATCTTTCAATTGTTTAGGTCTGATTAATACTTTTGAATAGATATAAATGTGAAACACTTTTAACTTATGTACGTCAGACAAGAATCAATATTAGAATTATTTTGGTAGCCCCCCCCTAAAATCAGAATTTTGTAGAAAGATTGAAGAAAGGAGCCCAACATTTGTTGAGAGAGTAAATTACTGTCGTCCGCTCAAACAGTTAAAAACTAGGGAAAGCTTTTGAAAATGTCTCTTTTCCTGTCTTACAGTGATTCAGTTGGTACGCTCTACTGAATTTTGGTATGTGGTTTCAAACCCAAAAGTATGCATTTTTAAAGTGCTTTCATAAATTTTCAAATGTATCATTTCTCCACAGAAATACATGATTGTTTTATAAACGCATCAACTCAGAAATCATGAATGTTCATCACTAATCTATTTCAATGATAGAAATTATTTGGATATTTCATTTTACCAAGTTCTATAAAGTTAATATAATCATTTGGACCACATTTTGCAATTAGGAAACTACAATTTCTGGTTCATTTTAGGACCGAAATATATGCCAGTAGTTTCCCTATGCAGATAGTTGTTTTATGGCTGAGCCGGAAATAGTTCTTCATTAAAAAATGAAGTCCATCGGTTCACATCTGATCGAATTTCGTATTCAGTTCGGGATTGTTCACATCTGAATTTCTAGGTTTGATTCCCCAGCAGAGGAATTTTAGTTGGGTATAGCGAAGCTTTGGAAAATGCAATTTGAACTTGTTTAGCCTTTTACATGTTTATCTCTTTTTTGTTAGTACTTGTCACTAATGAAGAAAACCTCTGTAGATTGTTTTCCCCCTCATATTTTGCTAGAGCTAAATTAGTCCCTAAGTATCTGTACTCTTTTTCATTTCAACAGTGTAATTCCTGAATAATTAATGATCATGTTTTTTTATGCTTTGTCAGGACGGAACCGCATCAAGCTAAGTGTGTAACAAGTGCCTCTAGCAGAACACGTCATGGAAAACTGAAGGTTACTTTTGACAAAGCAGATCGTCCTTTGGAAGGAGTTATGTTTGAATACGTTGAGGACCCAACCATTGAATCGGCAGAATCTGGAGTTTCGGGACAAGTAAGTTGATTTTACTCAAATGTCTCTTAGTCAGTATACAATGATAGTATTCAGTACAACATATTCTCACTTCATTTCTTCCTAGAACAGTAGTGTTGTTACCTCCCAGTGTTGGCTACGTAAGACATCTTTCTAAAAGTCACTTTGTAAAGTACCAGTCACTTTTAAGTGACTGATATCCTTTGACATTTCTCTAATACTTCAATGTTCATTATTTAATTTGTACCGTCTTGAATTCTAATTTTTAAATTTTTGCTTTTCAGGTAAAAATTCCCAAAGGCATTCCTGCAGGTGGAATCAAGATTTCTGTGACAGGGAAAAACCTTGCCTTCATTCAACGTCCCCAGATCTATGTTTACTATAACAGAAAACAATACTTTGGGGTAAGATCAACAGTAACAAGATTGCATGTTATCTCTTCTTATACAAGCATTGCGTTTTAGTATGCTGTTAGTATGTGGGTACGAAAAGAATTTTCATAAACTGGAAGTGATTTATTTGTTACATTTATGAATTAATCAACAGCATAGAACAAATTGAATCTTTCTATGAACAAATGGTTTCATTTTTGTTTCGCGTGTATTTTTTCCTGGTCATTATTTTCCTGCTTATGTGTGGTTGCTGTCAATGAGGAGACCTAGTTAGTGAGCACAAGAAAAGCAGAGAAGCAATGATCAGAAGTAATTATGGAAAATATAATATCGCTAATCTAATTCCCACAATCAATTTTTTTGTCTTCCTTTTTCTTCGCATCCTCCTTATGTCACCTTACAGCTTCATGTTCAATCATAAAGGTAATCTCTGCACAGCAGTACTGAAAAGTAACTCACTCTTATAAAAATGGATATGTATCATGTATTTAAAGAGATATTTTTGTTCTAATCATATTTTTTTAACTTTTCATCTAGGAATGTGAAGTCATGAGTAACTCAAACATTGCCTGCTTGTCTCCTCGTGTGGATGTAGATCAAGAACTTGACGCAGATCATCCGCTGGCACTTACTTACGGCTTCATCATGGACAATGTCACCAGTGTGCGCAACCTATCCAGCCAATCAAATTTCAATGATTTCCTCATGTATCCAAATCCTATTTACGAACCATTTGATGAGGAAGTCAAATATTACAAAAGTGACTATCTGACTATAAATGTGAGTGTCAGATTTTAGTTTTATTTCCATTAGTATAAACATAGCCACTCCTGATGTGCATATGAAACAATGCCAACGAACACATGGCAGAAAATATGCTCACACTCTGACGTTAAAAAATAGTATTAGAATTCTCAGTGATGGTCCAGCTATGTTAGCGCTACATTTCTGATTTGTTTGTAATTAGATATTGAATACTTATTTCCATGGTAGACCTAAAAGCATCATTATTGTCCAGTAGCAATTTGCCCAATTTGAAATCTTTGATTCCAATAAAGTATCGTGGAACCACGCCAACTCGATGCCCTTAATGTGCCTAAGTTGGTAGAATTGCTTAGTCCTGTCCATCACCCTATAACGCAATGCTGCAGGAGTCGAGATCGCCTGGTTTTGTCAACCTTGGAACCAGCTTAACTCTAAAATTTTTACATCCCCACTTTAAAAAGAAGAAATTAATTAGACTTATTAAAATTCCATTTTCTCGGAACTTTTTTCTTCGATCGTCATCTTGATTATCCAGGAGAGTTCGTCAATTCTGTTAAAGTGTGGTCGGAATCTATTGGAAGCTCGAAGTCATAATTAATAACTTTTTCAAGAGAACAGGTTTTGACGTTTTTTCTTTTCAACAGGGGCAACATTTAGACCGTGCTTGTCAAGAGTCGGATGTTGTTGTGAAAATTGGAAGCAGTGCTTGCAATGTAACATCCCTATCTCGTCAGCAGTTAACGTGCCGTCCTCCACTCTCTCAGCCACCTGGAATAGATGCGGAACAGGGCCAGCCAAATGCTCAGGAGTTGCCTGAAGTTGTTGTAAGTACTCAATCTTTCAACTCTTCAAGAGTCAGCCAAGTGAATTATTTTTAATTTGAAATTATGTAGGTGCTGAAAGTAAACACTCAAAGTCTAGATGATTTGCTCGTTCAAATTCCACAATTTTGAAAAATTCATCTCAGCTCTTATAGGCCTAGTGAGGAATCGGTTGTATCATCTGTTTTAGTTTTCCCAAGACTCCATGTACTCATAATTACATCAAGATCAAAGGTGACACTAAGAGCTTCCTTGCTGTCAGTCCAAATTGTCTGTTTCTTTGTTTCCTGCCACCATGCTTTATTTTGAACTAAGTAAAAGTGCAAAGGAAACTTTGTACACAATTTAACACTTTTTACACATTTTAACTGAATTAATTTGCCTTCCTTTTCAGGTTATAGTCGGTGGAAGTCTGCGATATCACATTGGGAAGCTCAACTATGCATCACCAACAGCTATCAACAGCCCTTTGACCAAACCAGCGCTCTTTGGTGGAGTTGCTGTCATTGTTGTTTTGCTGATAATATTTGTGGCATTCCTCATCGCATATCGTCGTAAGTCTACAGAAAGCAACAGGGTACTGAAAAATATGCAGGAACAGATGGACATTCTTGAGCTTAGAGTCGCAGCTGAATGCAAAGAAGGTTAGAATTTTCTCATTATTTTCATCCTTGTACATGTACCCCATTATCTCTCATACCAGAAAATATGGCTAACATCTTTGCAGATTTAAAGAACAGTTAAAGAGTCAGAGTCAATTAATCTACAAGTCTGCCATAGAGCTCATTAACTTGCTATATACCTCCACCAGTTCAGTAAACGATGACAGGTTTGCTCTTACTGCTTTTGTACGAAAGTTCACTAATCTCTATGAATATCATTCTGTCAGAATGAAGAAAATATTACCCTCTATATTTTTTAGTTAGTCATACTATTTTAGACCAAACTTTAGAAACGGTGGACTCACTTCAATCTGTGGAGTTTTCTTGGATGCATTTATGAGTTAAAGAATCACCATTCCTCTTGTACGCATCTGTTCCAAATGTTGGAGCTACAACTGCAGTTATCCTCCTTTGACTTTTTTCTGACTATTTTTGTTTGTTTTTGTTTCAGCATTTGCGGAATTGCAAACAGAAATGACGGATGTGACAGGAGACCTGACATCAGGCGGCATTCCATTCTTAGATTATCGAACATATGCTATGAAGATCCTGTTCCCGAACAACGAAGATCATGGTGTCTTACAATGGGAGAGGCCGGAACTCCTGCGTCGGGAGAGAGGAATAAGACTGTTTGGCCAGCTCATAATGAACAAGACATTTTTACTCCTCTTCATTAGAACTCTGGAAAGCAATAGATATTTTTCAATGAGAGACAGGTAAAGCAAAATGAATCCTGATAATAATTGCTACTTACACCTCTACTTATCATTAACAAAATCTTCGACAGTATTGCTGGGTTTTGCAAAATTTTTCCCAATTGAACAAGTCCCGCCTTTCAACTCAGCTAACACTCAAATTGTTGGCTCTAATCGCTTTATCGCAAGACTGCCTCAATTGTTATGCCGAACAAAATACAACTACTGTTTTCCGAAGGGTTTGTCACTCTGTTACTACAATTTTATATTATTTCACCAAAAAGTCTTACCTTACTTAATGTTGTTGTTGTTTTGTTCCATTTTGCAATTTATATGATTATAAGTAAACAAAACTGAAGGTTTGTAATGGTAGATTTTAATCTTTTCTACCAGTGTGAATAGTGAGTGCTAACCTTTTCCGTGTAGAAAATTATTGGAGAAGTTTTGTGTTTAAGAAGGTGATTTTTGCACAATTAAAAATCAATCTCTGATTCTGGGTGTCCATAAGTGTCCAGTCTATGAGGCTTAGTTTAAAATCGCCGTCAACTGAAACTAAAAAGATGACTAACAAAAATGGAAAATTTTGGCAAAGTTCTCAAAAGTGATCAATTCTTTTAACCACTATGTTTACTCTTTCAAATGTCTCCTCATCATAATTTTTTTTACATTTTTTTTTTTTTTTTTTTTTTTTTTTTTTTTTAAGATTCCACTCAAATTCATTCATCATGTCATGCAGATTTTTTTTTAACCACACCTCCACTGAAATTTATTCAAAAGAAAAGCTTTACAGTACTTTTTTTCACTGTTGATATTTAGTCATTCATATTATAGAGGGTTTTTTTTGTTGTTCTGTTGCAGAGTGAATGTTGCCTCTTTAATCATGGTGTCACTGCAGAGTAAAATGGAATATTGCACTGATATCTTGAAAACTTTATTAGCAGAACTCATTGAAAAATGCATGGAAGGGAAAAGCCATCCTAAATTACTTTTAAGAAGGTAAACTATTTTTCAGTCATTATTTTTATCTCAATGCAATCAGACGAATTTCTAAAAAACTTGCTCATCATGACAAATTTATGTTTAAGTCAGGCGAATTTCATACAGCTCTTGTTTTAAAAAAGAGCCAACTTTTGACAAAATTGTTCTATCCATTAAACTATTTTGTTCCTCTGATTCCACAAATTTAACGCCACCAGAAGATGCAACACCTTGAATCCTTGCTTGGCTCTGGTAGCACTGATTCCCATTTATCAATAACAGTCAGAGGCAATTTTGAATGTATGTCATCTTTGTAGCCCAGCTGAATGCATCAACTGACCTGAGTGTCATGCGCCTTTTCCTAATTTTAATTCTATAAATTCGATTTGCAAAATACATGTTTTGATAACATTTTCCTTTTTCGTTTTCAGGACTGAAAGTGTGGCTGAGAAAATGCTCTCGTCTTGGTTTACATTCCTACTTTACAAATTTTTAAGAGAGTGTGCTGGAGAGCCACTCTACATGTTATTTAGAGCCATGAAACAGCAAGTTGACAAAGGTCCTGTTGATTCAATCACATCCGAAGCTAGGTATTCACTTAGTGAGGAAAAACTAATACGACAGTCAATTGACTTTAAGCCAATGGTAAGTCTCCCATTCAGTTTTTATTATCAAATTGTAAATGTATCTTTCAAGTGTTTCATGTGAAAGAGTCTCCCCCCTTTTTTTTCCTACTCTCCTCTCAAGATAAGAGACCATCCAATCATTTTATGGAGACTTTCATGTATTAGTGATAAGAATCAAAACCTTGCTCAAATAGTTTTTTTCTAAAATAAATGTAAAAAAACGAAAATCCTGGACATTACACTCTGTCTCCTGAAAGTATCTTGCAACCGTAATTTTCTTGTACACAAGTATTTGTTTCTTTCGTGACATTACCAAATAGAAGCATCTTTTGACAGTTTTTCATGGCTTGCTTTAAAGTCTTACGGTAGGATTTTGACTTATTTTAAGGTCTCTAACAGTAAGCAATGGAGTTAGTTACAAAAGTCTGATAACCTGTGTTTGAAAGCTCTAAAGAATTTAATACTCAACTTTTCTCTAATCATGTTTATATGCATAATGAAATCCTGCCTATAAGTTTTTCTTTTTTTCAGAATCTCTTATTTATATTTTACTGAAAAATAAGTTCTAACTTTAACAAAATTATGCTGATGGCATGTTATGCTTGCATCCAACTTGTCTGTGCAATAATATTAATTCGGAATAACTTATTGTGTGTTGCAGACTGTATATGTGTCAATTTCACAGCAAACAATCTTCGTTACTGGCCTGGATCCAAACACGGAGAATGTTGGTGTGAAAGTATTAGACTGTGATACCATCTCCCAAGTGAAGGAGAAGGCATTAGACACGATATACCGCGCGACACCATATTCGCAGCGGCCGCACAAGGACGACCTTGATGTTGAGTGGCGAACAGGCACTTCTGGGCGCTTAATCCTCTATGACGAGGACTCGACTACAAAGATCGAGGGCGACTGGAAGCGTCGAAATACGCTCAACCACTACCGAGTCCCTGATGGTGGCTCGCTCAATCTAGTCTCAAAACAGTCATCAATATATAATTTGTCGATTCTATCAGAAAAGAACGACAAGCAACACCACAAGTATGAAACTCTAAACCTATCAAAATTCAATTCGGCCAGTCCGCCACTCAGTCGGGCGACGTCGCCTCTCAATCATGATCACGATGGAGGTCTTAAGGTAATAATATTTTGGTACCTCTCAAAATTCTTAGTTCTATTATGATAAAACGTGTGATTAGCATTTTCATTGTCACAGTGCTCTGGCTATTATTTCCTTCCTTGCAAGAATGTACAACCCCCTGAATTTCCAATTCTATGCTAATCCATTGAGAAGAGGAACATAATAGCGGACATCTTTAATTAATTTTTGCTCCCACCCTCTTTATGTTTTAAATTCTATAGAGTCCTTAAGTTGTCTAAATATCATTAGGTATGATGTCTTGTTGACAGGGAGATTTCAGTCTTGTTTACAATGGTCATTTCAACTGGTCTTTTGGCCCAAGAAAAACAAGGCAAAGAAGGTTAAATTGATGAGAAGGACAGCACTCAGGTTGTAAAAGCTGAAAGATAGGCTAATATACTTTGCTAATGGTGAACTTTGGGCCAAGAGCTGAGAGCATAGACGTAATATCATGTTTGGCATAGACTAAAACCATTTTTATCACAAAAACTGATACATGCGATGGGTACACTTTAAAACTGAAAATATTTACGTTTTGATCAGCAATAAAAACCAGGCTAAATGAGCTTAATATGTTGAAAAGAAGTAAATTAATAAATTGAAGGGATGAGTACTGCCCATGATCATTTTTTCTAATTTTTTCTTTTATTTTTTCAGGTCTGGCATTTAGTGAAACATCACGATAGTGATGCTCAGAAAGAAGGAGAAAGAGGAAATAAGATGGTTTCTGAAATCTACCTCACTAGGTTACTTGCTACCAAGGTAAAGAACGTCTTTCATTTTTTTCCACATTAAAGATTTAGCAAGTAAATCAGTGGATCTCTAACCTATTCTGTGAAAGATTTTTTATGCGTCGAAAATTTTAAACATTAAAAGACACATTGCTGCACAAGTTTCTCTTCATATGAGCTATTCTCTGCTCCAGTCATCATAGATTCTGAGATTTGAAGTAAACAGTACAACAGAAAAACAATTTCTGTTTTTACAGTGCAGAAGACAAATAAAAATTTCATGAGAATCGTACATTAAAATAAAAATTGCAGGACAGGATGGAATAAAAATAAAAATAGGTGAAATAACAACATTCCCCATAAATTTTCCATTGACCGATAGTGGATATACCTTTTAATTTTTTTCGTAGCCTCACCGCAAACTCAAGTTCAATATGTTTTGTTGTCCTGTTTCAGTTTTACCTCTCCTCAAAAGATTTAAAAACTATCATTGAGCCAATTAGGTTTTGATCACTTAACCTTATGGTATATTGAATGACGTAAGCGTCAAATCAGTCTATTATCAACCCTCTTCCCTATTGAGCTTTGTCTCTAGAAGTTTTAAAATACCTACTCAACTATGATTCTCTAATGTAAAATTACATCAAAGGGAGTACTATTTATTCCAATATTGAAGAAATATTCACCCATCTCCGAGGAAAAGGTCAAATGCAAAACAAGAATAGAAGCAAAGAAAATATTGAAATTAAATGATAAAGAAGAAACATGATAGTAAGTAGAGAAATTGCAACTTCACATATTAGTAAACTGACTCATAGGGAAAAAGTGAAACTATCAAGGTGCTCAGTCTCACGTTCTGAGCAAGGCTGAACAGATGTGCAGTACATCGCATCGATTAAATAAAATATCTCAGCAGCTTTTGGATCTCTTAGCCTTAAAAGACTATAGCTTCTCCTCATGAGCCTACAGAATCATTCTCAAACCAAAAAAATTCAAGAGTCAAAGAAATGAAAGCAGGATTCTTCTCAGGAAAAAAACGTTGCATTCAATTCAGAGCTTGATGACTGTATCGAGTCCAGCATTTTTTCTCAAAAAGAATATTGTTTTCATTACTCTATTTAACTTGAACAACAATTAATTCTAAGAAAATTTAGCAGTAATGAAAATATGTATCCACAAACATCTAACTTGCTGGTTTCTTCTGTTTCAGGGTACCCTACAAAAATTTGTAGATGATCTATTTGAGACTATTTTCAGCACTGCCCATCGAGGGAGTGCTCTACCTTTAGCTATTAAGTATATTTTTGACTTTTTAGATGATCAAGCTATACAGCATAGTATCACCGATCCAGAAGTTGTACATACGTGGAAAAGTAACAGGTAACTTTCATCACATATTTTAATTACTCACTGATCGTGTCCTGGTTTCAGATGCTTCACCATGCAATTTGAACGATTCATTTCTTCCAGACCGTGCCTAGCTTTATCGGTGCGTTTTTAATACCAAACTTACTGTGAAAAAATGTCAGCATCCTTGCACAGGGCAATTTAAGGTCATGTTATCACATTTCCGCAGATCTAACCTAACCTCAAACAAGATAACGAGATGTCACGGATGCAGCGTGTTGCTAATAGGTTGTCGTCTTCGCTGCCATTTTCTTGTTCATGATGTGTAAATCCGCATTTAGATTGTGGTGATAAAAGATTCAGTTCAAACATGTTTTTAAGGACCCCCAAAGAGGAAGTGTTATTTCTCTATGGGGATTATTTTTTGTGTGATTTTATGAAAGGCATCGTTTTCCTTGGCCTGATAACTGTGGGAATCAACCACTTGCAAGTCAAACCCTCCAAAGCTCAACTGGCCCATTGTTTGATTTTTGGAAGTTGATAGATGAACTGTTGCATGAAATTCAGCTGAGGCCAAGAGTTAATAAACATTTTCTCAACTTGTCTTCTTTTTTCTTTTTCAGTTTACCATTGCGTTTCTGGGTGAATTTAATTAAGAATCCAAATTTTGTATTTGATATCCATAAATCAAATATAGTAGATTCATGTTTATCAGTTGTAGCTCAGACATTCATGGATTCCTGTTCAACATCAGATCATAGGCTCGGTAAGTTAGAATTGATTTTACTGTATTATTTTATGAATTAAAGTTTATCTTGACTGTAAAGTATGTAGTTACTGTGACACTAGACCTGGACGGTCGTTTTTTGATCCTGGCTGAAACTAGACATGGCTTTTTTGATGAATTATTGGGGCAGATTCTTATAATTCTGGAGCCACATAAGGTCTTCTTGATTGTGGAAAATCTCATAATTTTGAATTCAATTTGTAAATATCCAAAGGTTGTCCTTCATTCAGCACTCTTTATTGATTAACATTTCGACTTGATAAGGTACAAATTCAAGCATTTTGATTTATCTTTCCTCTTCAAAATTCAACTCAGACAACGATTTGCGTAATGCTAAATTACTGAAAATAACTTCTAATCAAGGCATTTATGTTTTTATCCTGCACTGGTTATGAATAATTTGAACTCTCACCTCAAAAAGATAATCAGAATCTATGTTCATGAATCACATCACGCACCACAATGGTTCTACACGCCATTTAATCTTAGTACACGCTACACATCGAGTTAGGTCAAGCCTTGTAATTGAGTATTATTCATTCCCGCCCTGTGTTGCTCCAAGTGTGAATGAGCAACAGCTGAGCCAAAGCGCCAAGATGAAGAATGTTTTATCTCTCTACCGCAGTGACTGCCACAGTAAATGTTACGGGAAGACATGCATATAGCCAATTTTGCATTTGATAGGACCAAAATTTTCAGTATTAATGGAGAATGCCTGTCCCAAAAGTGGATCAGGCAGATCTCTATCACAGATGTATAATTTGCCTCTAGGGTTTTCCCACTGCAGTTAATTTATCATGCGTATTCGTATCAATTTATGCTGAATACCCATGAACTGTTTGCAACAAACGGTTCATGTATAACGCTGTCCATTTGATTTAATTATTATGTATGTACTTTCATTTTGGTTTTTTATGTTTTAACAGGCAAAGATTCACCTAGTTCCAAATTGTTATATGCTAAAGATATACCTGTGTATAAAGATTGGGTAGAGAGGTATTATCATGATATCAAAATGATGCAGCCTATTTCAGACCAAGATATGAATGCAATGTTGGCTGAAGAATCTAGAGTAAGTGAATTTTTCCGACTATTTCTTTGGATAATAATGTGTTCAGAATTTTGGTAATTGGACATATTTATGCTAAGAGGAAGCAGAGATAGGTGGGAAAGAATGAGAGTGCTCGTTAGTTGAAGGCCGTAAGAATGAATGGTAATTATAAAGCGCCAGTAATGTCAGCATTGACCCAAACGGGGGTGGGATCGCTCTTTAACTCATGAGTCCTGTCCACAATGCACTTGTCACATGCCCCCAGCTCATGAGTTGCATATTTTGGCGTTTTGTTCCTTTTGATTTAATGTCGAATCCCACTTTTCCATTTGTCTAAAAGGAATCCTTGCCCACTTTCAAATTGTTTCTTATGCAGCTTTTATCAGCACACCCCATGCATCCCAGCTTTCCCACTTGTCTCCAGCTCCTTTTAGCATAAATATGTCTAATATTTTTATGCCCTTCCTACTCCATGAAGGAAATTGAAACTTTCTCTTAAAAGTAAAGGATTTTAGGATGTTTCAGGATACCAAATTTTGAACTTATGAGTAATTAAATGTATTTCATTCAAAATATTGCCCTGGTCAAAGTGATATGAGAATAAAAAAACACTCATCAAAGAAAAATTCCCACCTTCGTATGATCAATTCTATTCTTACTTCATTTGCCATAATTTTGTATCAAGCATACAGAAAACTGATTAAATTTGGAAGATAGATCACAGTTGTTTCAACAAATAATATAACAAAGTTTTTACTGCAAGTTTGACCAATGGCAAAGGTAGCAGTCTATGTATTCTCATCGCGTTGTTTGTAAACTGCCAATTCACTCTATTTTGCCCTTGAGAAACAAGTAAACACTATTGCTTGAAATTTATGCAGTAAATTCTGCTAACAGAGCTGAAAATTCACGGAAGTTTTCAAGAAATTATATTTTTCCATAGAAAAATAAAGTTTGACAGGAAGTCTGCAATGTCGCAAACGGAGGTATGTGTTTAGCACTTTGGCAATTGACATGATTCACTGTTGTGATGAAGCACACATAATCCAATGAAGGGCTGTAGGGTTAAGAGTGTCTAACATATCCTGGAGAGAACCAATGATGGAACTAATGTTTATTGATTTTCTTTTTTCTTGTAGGCGCACTCTTCTGAGTTTAACACTAATTGTGCTTTACATGAGCTCTATTCATATGCTATGAAGTACAAAGAACAGCTAACCGTGACCCTGGAAGAAGACGAATTCTCACAGAAACAGCGCCTAGCGTACAAACTAGAACAAGTAGAGAAAGTAATGCAAGCAGAATCGAACCTTTGATGCGGTCCTACCCAGGCGATGCCTACCTCGCTGCCCTTTTTTACGATAATCGATTAATTGCTCGATGTACGAGTACTTTGCTCAATAATTGTGTCGTATTGTGCTGTGCTATGCTGTCAAGGAAGACAAAGGATTTCTCCCCGAAGTGCCTCAGTAGTTGTCTCGTGCAGTAGTTTTGTCTCTCATGCCACGTTGCGTTGCTTAGGTTTATACAAATTCTGTGTCCATCTGTCTAAGTTTGGGGAAAATTTATTCATCTCTCAGTTTTAGGATAATGCAAGATAACTGAGTTTTCCTGTGTTTTTTTTTATCATTTTCTTAAAATTTTTCTCAAAATTCAGAAAGCAATTCTCATTACACTCCAGATCATCAAAAGGAAAATTCCAATAATTATATTGAAAATAAGGAAGTTAGCTTGCTGGTCAAAAAAGATAAGAATCGAACTCACATACCAAAATGAGGCTTTCAAATAAATATTTTTACACTAAATGAAAACTTAATTATTTTTTCTGATCCAAAAGTTCTCAACGAGAGAGCCCTGAATGAGCCAGCCCTGTCTTTAGTACTTTTAAGCTTTACTTATTCAAAGTACCTTACCATCAAGGTAAGTGGAGCATGAAGATGGTCTGTTATAGGCCTCTCACCGTATAGTCAACATTTTTTTTTTAAAGAGAAAAATTGCAAAATAATGAATACCGAAATTTACAATTTCGTTTTTCTTAATAATTTGCTTGTAAGATAATTTTCAGTTTGAATGGTCCTTAATTTTGCGTTTTTGACTTGCGAACATCTTATGAATGGCTTCATAAATTATCCTAAAATCCACTGGTGAATAATATTTTTCAGCTCTCGTATTTTTTGGTTTAGCAAGAAAGCCAAGTTTTCTGTTCCATAATTAGCATTTTATACTCCCATTATACTTGCTGGACAAAAATAGATTAGGGAAGTTAAGATTAAAATCTGTTCATGGCAACTGTTCAAATCTCACCAAATGCAACCCTTGAATGACATCTTTTGAGCTCTAGCTAACGCACACATTGAGAGACACAAAGATTTGGTTGCCCTTAGTAGATTTTAATCTTGATTTTATTTCTCTAATTTGATGATGCCGACTATAACCCAGGTTCTAGGTAGTTAATTTTGGAGATATCTCCACCCACAACAAGGAACTTAATTCTTCTGGAAAGTATGTTTACAACATTGTCCTATACAAAAGGTATGTGTCTTATATTTCTTACAAGCTGCTAAGTAGCCAAGGTTTTTAAATGTTACTGCTAAGCGATTATTTTTCACGGTGAGAACTCACAACATGAGACCTAAGTCTTGAATGTATTTCGTTTTAGACTTAATTTTGTCATAAAATAATGATAATGAAGAGCTTACCTCATTAAATTCAGTTAAACAATGAAATGCTCTTCAGTTGGATGAGAATCAGATTAACATTTAACGTGTATTCCAATTTTGATAATTTTTCTCTCAGTATTTTGAAATTAAGCGAAAATTCCCAACACAATCATTTCTATCATGTGATTATATCGAAAAAATCTAGTGATAGAACTTTTTCTACTTTTTTATTCTTCGATGCTTGAGGACGTTGAAAGCAAAACCTGTCAACTGCATTTCATTGTTTCTGTATCTATCTTTTATTACACTCACTTTTTCCACCAACAACCGTAAATATCACAACAAATTTTTTGACGGTTCTTTTTCAGAATTTGTTTTGTTTTCTCTAAAAGGAAAAGTCATGGAACCATTCATTAGTGTATGTTAAGTGCCACTGAGAAATGAGTGATAATGATTACTAAGATGCTGAAGTATTGAAATGAATACAGAAAGTTTAGCTTTGAACGTCCTCATTAATTGTTTCACTATCAGGCAAATGTTCCTGAATTTTAAAATTTTCCCAAAAACTAAAAGACTTCCAAAATTATATATTTCTAGGTTAGCCTTTAAATTTATATTTGTAATTTATCGGCCTTTTTTTGTCATGATCTTTCCATTTATCTGGAAGTAAGCGCCAACAGTTGACTGGAACTTTAAGCCCATGCAAATTTTATCGCTCAAGTTTATTTAATAGTATCTCAAAGCAATCGTCCCTTCAGTACTTCCTGTATTTTCTGCTCTCAGCTAGGAAATTTATTTCCAAGCTTAAATTTTTGAGAGGGAGTTATTCAGCTCAAATCAATTGTTTTTTACAGTATTCTTGTCTGTTTTTATACTTGCCGTGAATATTTTTCTTGTTTTATGCTTGAGTTTTCTGATTCTCTCCCAAGAGTTTATGGTGCAGAGTACATTGAATCAATAGAAGACAATAAGTTAACATTTGAGGACTGTGATGTAAAGTTTGCCCGGTAGTCATTAATTACCGTTCGGCAGTTCTAATCAATTACTTACAATTAAGTTATTTTGTGAGTGTTTCGCTCCTTGAACCTCAGGTCTCTTACAGCAAGAGTTCTGATTAACGAGAAAGAACTGAAAGGCTGATAGTTGAAATTTTTTGTTCGTTGATGAGCCGAGGCAGGACAGGAAGGTGAGACGTAGCTATGTGATAGGTCGAATGGACTTTGCTTCTTGTGACATACCTCTATTTGGTTGGAAAACTAAGTTGCTGTTGATCATCAGGAGAGTGCTCTTGAATTGTCAATTATCCTGTCCTTCCAAAGTCTAGCTAAACAAGTGAGCAATTTAGTGGACCAATCGCATAGCTCCATTTCATCCTTGTCTTTTTCTTTTCCTGTTGACGAACATGCGATTTCAACTATCGGCCTGCCAAAATAGTGCTGCTTTTAAAGCTCGATCATGTCATCTATGCATTGCATGGGCATATCATGAAAGAAATCAACAGACTGTTTTCCTTTTTATTTAAAAAGCATAATGCCTGGAAGCTTCTGGAATTTAAATGAGTGGTTTGTTTAGTATATCAAATTTATCGAAAATACTCATCTCTTCTTAGACAATATGGAATATGGTGGTATAAAAGCGAAACGTGAAAACTTTTGTATCATTTATCTTTGCTCAGTATTATGATTTTGATAATGATCTGGAATGCTCACCAAAAACTAGACAGTTTTAACAGGTTTTAGACTCTCTAATAAAATTCACTGAGTATCTTAGGCAAAGTTGACCCATAAAGCTCATAGCAGCCATCTTGAATTGGGCGCTTTACACTCTGAAGCCTTTCCAGTCGCTGCCAGACTAAATACAGGGTGCTGATACTTTAAAGTTGACTTTTAACCCATTGTATTTCTCTGCTCCGAAAAAATCTAGCTGCGCAACGAGCAGTCTCTCCGTGGAACTGAGTCTGATGTTAACGAGAATTCGTCTTAGGCACGTCTACGGGTTTTTTAATTCTGTGATGTGGAGATCGGTGCAAACATTTTTATCGAAAATTAATCAAATATTAAAAAGTAAATATTGGTTAATTCTAATGGGAATAAAATAAATGTTTGGATGAATATTTGTGCGTGTTTAGATTACTCTGTTGTTCATGTACTTAACCTCTATGTGTTTGGTGTTGTCGCACAGTCCATGAACAAATTGCCTTAGGAATGAATTGCGATGAAAATCTTAGTGGCCTTTCTTCCTTATTTTTGTAGATCTTGATACGCATTTCAATGAGACAAATTTAGATCAAATTTCTCAGATCCCTCTCTCCTCAGCAGGGAAATTTTCTTCCTCCCCCCTGATTCATATCATTACTCATGAAGTACCAAGAATCTAATTTAAGAAGATAGGAAAACATCTCAACTTCGCGCGTAAGCACCGCTGTCAAAAAATCCGTAAGATAAAAAGTATTACAAAATTTCAAGAGAAAGTGCAGTACTTATCACAGTGTTTGACCAGTTGTATGGAATGAATGAAGAAAAAAATGGGATTTGTTCAATTCCAGCTCAGAATAACATGGAAATGTCCAAAATGCTAGGATTTTTAAAATATTTGAAGCATGTTACTGGCGAAAGTGAAGGAAATTAATGTTGGATAGATGTGGAAATTTGTACGAATAGTGTGCTTTCAAATCTCATTTCATCTAACTCTTGAAATGATTCTTTGATTTTGAAAAAAATATGGAGCCAATTTTGCTCTTTCAGAATTTTAAGTTGTCTACGCAGGCTGTCAAGGCAGCATCTAGGGATCACCAAACACATGTTCAACAATTAGTATGCTAGTGTAGCATTTTATTTTTTTTGAAACATTCTTCAACATATATGTACAAAGCATATATTAAATTATCAACTGATGATATGACTTTCAATGGGGGCTTTTAAGAATAACTTGTTACAGTTTCATTAGAGGATGGAAACAAATCCTGTTGTTTTTGCCTCAATTTAGAATTTTTCCAAACAGCATTAAAAAATTGCTTGTCTGAATTCGGATCATTTCTGATTTAAGTGAACATTTCAATTTTAATTTCTCAAGTGGCTCTATTTTCATCGCAAATTCCTAAAGAAGGCAAATGTGTTTTCGTGACCTAGGTGTTCTTTCTTTTTTCCCCCTTTTTACTCTACAGCGAGTTACTGACATTGTTGCAAAAGTCTGTCCTTATTTCCCCTGTTTTCACGCCTCTCTAAATTGTTGTAAATAGTTTATATTTTTATTGTGTAAATATTTTAATAATCTGAATCTTTTATCTAAATGTTTTACCCGCCAATGCAAACTCTGAAAAGAGTTGCTGTATTGCACAGATAATATCTAAATTATTGTAGAGGTTTTAAGTATGCTCTGTTCAATATTGCAACTCTGCTTTGATTAACATATTTTAATAACTAGGAACTGAATTTATTACTTTTTGTTTCTTTGTTTCGTTTCAGTTTTTAATTTCAATAGAGCAATTTTAACAACCTGATGGACTCAGAATGAACAAATTTATGTAACTTTTGAATCTCTATTCATTATTGAAAAAAGCATGATCGGAATCTTTGGCCCTCGATTTGATTGAGGTCCCAAATTTTCCAATTCGACTGTCAGCTTTTGATTCGTCGTATTTTTAATAGCCCCCCCCCCCCTTTGGAAATGATCTTTGGAACTTTTTAATGAACTGTATGGGTTTTTAATGAAATTTTACGAAATACAAACTATATTACGACCCTGCAAATATTCCTTGCCACTGCCCCATGTTTAGATAATGCTGCTCTAATTTACGAATTCTCCTTCCTTTTATAAATTTGAAACCGACAAAGAGCTGACTCAAACAATCCAATGTCTCTTGTTACAAAGCACCTCATTTTTGAGTGGAAGCTAAACCTACCACAGTTTTATTCATAATACGAAGATTTGCTGTGATAATGGTGATTTTGCAAACAAATTTACAAATTGTTAAATCACAGAAACAATTGATTTAAAATAATCTCTTTCCACACGTTATCACATTTGTAGCTTCAAGGAAAAGTAGCATGAATGAGCTTGGCTCGATTTACTCCGCCAAAAACTCCCTTTCAATTTTACTGGTGAAATTTCGGTGCCAGAAAGCCTTTATTTATTTATTTATTAATTTTTTATCTTAGGTCAGAAAAAATTTTAAGTTCCTATTTATTAATGTAACTCTACTGTCAGTCCATTCTTTTTTAATTCATCTTTTTTTCTATTTTATGTTAATGTCTGCTGATAAGTAACCATAAAATATTTTAATTGAGAACTCTATGTTTCTTTTGTTATATAATTCCAATTTCTATTGATATTTTTGAGTTTAATTTTAAATATTGTTTTGTTTTGAATTTATTATTTATTGAATGTTTCGCTGTGTTTGCATGAAACTTGTACAGAGGCACTATTCCCCTATATTTATTTGGTGTCTACCCGTAGAGCTACTTATGAGCGGACAACGAAAATTTGTGAATTTTAATGTGTATATACGACCTATTATGTGCATTTATAACTTGGGTAAACATACATTCCTTGAGTCTAGCAATGGTCGAGCTTGCTGGTAACCACTTGCAAATGTATTCTGCAATTTTGTCAACACTCGATTAGACTGATACATTCTTCCTCTGTTAGTTTTGTAACTAAATTTTTATACCTGTGCGAATAGGAGAGGAAACTACAAGACACAACTCCTGCTAATATTTTTCTCTCTACACTGCTTTACAATGGCCTGGTTGAAAGCATTTTCATTCTCACCATCATTACTCAGTGGTGATTTTTTACAAACTCTCATGTGATTGTTTGATCTACATTCCATTCTAATATCTGTGAATATTTTCGTTGATTATCGTGTTTTTTATTAATTGCATTTTAGGTGATAGTAATGTAAATGATGGTGACTAAGAAAATGGAATACATCAGCTAGTTAAGATAGAAATTAAGTAAAAAAATATTTTGCGACTAGGCTTAAATATAAAAAATTCAGATCGGTAGCAGTCACTAAAGATGACGTTTTGAGTATGACCGTTCCATGTTCAGGAAAATGTTTTCCTTCCCTAAAAATAATCATTTCAACGTTTATAGATCGTTTGCACTTTTACATATCCTGTGATATTAAATGAAACAAATAATGCTTTATGAATATTTAATCAAAAGTAATGCAGTTTCTTTTTTTTCATTTTTACTGAAGCTCTAGCTGCAGTTTGTTTCGAACAATTCCATTAAGGACTACGTACACAATATCAAGAAATTTAGCGTTGGCTAATTTGTACATTTTTTATAAGATATTCCATCCGGTCTCCTGAGTGAAATGAGCTTTTAAACTTGAAATTTTATGTGGTCATCTCCAAAAAATCGGGTGTGATAAGTTCATGTTTTGTTGATTTAAGAAGCATTATCTTAGGGAGAAGAGGCACTGCCGCTGAGTCGAAGATTCGCAGCCTTTTGCTTTGAGCTAAGTTAAACGTGCCGTGCTGTCTTATCTCCTCAGGCGGGGCAAGATAAGAAAAAAGGAACCCACTCCTCCATTGCCTACATTTGTCCACTTCTTAAAGCTTGTATAACTGCTGGGAAACGCCCCTTTCAGACCCTATTTCCTTGAGACTGGCATATAGAAAGCCAGATTTGAAAAGTTCATCTTACTCAAGAGGTCGTAAGGAACATCACATCAAACAATCCGAAATTTTGCCAGAACTAAATTTCTTGATATTGTGTTTGTAGTCCTTTCTCAAACCATGGTTTTATCAGCCAATATGTTCGTTGATATGAACTAAAAAGTAGGTGTTGACAGCCAGTCAATCGTCATTTAGGGGACGGCTAAGCATTGATGGAAATGCTGTGTGATCTTGTGACATTGACATTGACATATACATCGATTGCACGACTAGGATGATTCAGTTTAAGTGTGAGAAAGGAATATATTTGCAGGATTTAGTGTAGTGCCTATTAAATTTTGTTAAGTCCAATTCCTCTTTTTTATTTCATATTTTTAAAAGTAGTCCCTGATTAACAGGCATGTCTAGTATATTATAGACTGCACAAATATCCCGGTGTTACTCTCTCTTGCCATGAACCCTTTTTCATCTGTATAATAGTTTTATTCAAATTATCTTGTAATTGCAACAATAAATGTTACGTGTGATTTTTAGCCTCAGCTCTGAGTGTAAGCATTGGTCTAAGCTTTTAAATAAATTGAGTATTTTGTATTTTTATACTGATTTTAGTCACGTTTTGATGTCATATCGACCGGCTTGATACTTTTTAACTGACTCACTTGATGTGGTTTGTATAAATGAATGTATGTTTTTACAGGAGACTAGTACATGTATGTAAATATGTATAGATATTGCTTGTATATGTTTAAATAATCCTTTGTAATTATCCTACTACTCACGTTTTACATGTTCTCCTTAAGCTGCGATCTATCAGAGGAGCAACTTTTTTACTCATTTTCTAGACTGAATTTTTGTATTTTTTTAGCTTTCTCATTCTTCTTTGTTTTTGTTTCTTCGATTCTTTTTATTTTTCTATTTTTTCAGTGCTAAGCAAGATTTTGTCTCTCAACGGACAGCTAGCAGTTTTATTTGTTAAAATTTGTTTGATAATTAAATTCTTCAATTCCGATTCACGTGCGATTATGTAGCTACCGTCCAAAGTTATTTTATCGAATTAACTCTCCAAAGTGAGATTTTTAAACAAATCCCTATCACATGAACTCCTGATTTTCACTTGTATTCACTCGAAAAACGGACACCAAAAAAAAATGGTAAATATGGCTGAGACAAACGTCGAAATGCTTTGATTATTGATTTTCGTATGTTCGTTTTTGGCTTCATGAAAAATTAAAATTAAAGGAACACACTCAAAAGATGAAGTATCAACCTGGATACCTACCTTGATTTCTCATCAAGTATCTAAGTAAAATCTAATTAAGTTGTGTGCGTATATCTTGCTACATGAGAGGATTGATCTGAACTCAAGAATTGTCAATTAACTAATGAGTGAGCCCTCACCTTTTCTCAAAAACGTTTATCTCTTGGAGTAAGAATATTTTAAATGCTTATGAAATGGATGTTTAATATTCTCGATAGCCAAGACATTTGGTACACCTATCAAGGTTTTTGAGTACTTCAAATTTTGGGATTAAATGAAGACCTACTACTATCAGTTTAATATGAAATGTCTTGCAGAAATTCATGATTTATAAGTTTGGACCCATCATCGTCACTCTGTTTATCCTCGCTGTGCCCCCCCCCCTTCGTTTAATCACCTCCTTCAGTGATTTCTATCCATTCTCAGTTAGGAAAGCATCATTGTTTTTATACTTGCCCCTTCCTCTTCAGAATGTCTTATTGTTTAAGTGCTTTGTGCGTGTGGCATGCTTCCTTTCATAGCCTCGTTGCTCATGACGGTCAATACTTACTGTTAAATAAATTTTGTTCAATCATTGCGAGGGAAATGCATTTTTTCCCTACCAAGCTAAATGCTTACTTTTTAAGTTCGATTTTTTAAGCGACAATTTTTTTTCTTGTATTGTTTAACAACATATCAACAATGTTCAAAAATTTATTTTTGATATGAATTAGTTTAATCAGCGTGAATCTTTTAAAGATGTCCGCCGTTGAAAATCAAGCATTTTACGGGGATAGACTGCACCGACTGAGGGAACTAGATTCTCAATAGATGAGGAATTCTTTTGAAAGGAGATATAGGTTTTCATTCGGAAGAGTGAAGATTTTTAGGTTTCACCTCTCCTGCGTTTCTGTTCTGTCTCCTGTCAACTTGAAATTTTGCTTTTTCATTTGCCGCAAATAACGGGTGGACTAGGAAGTCTCTGGTGACTTCAGCAGAAAAATCCACTTTTTTTAAAGATCTATACTTAACTGTAGAATTTTATTGGTGAGCTTGCGGGTGATTCATTCCACCCTCTCCAAGTTAGGCAAATCGTTGGCATGACCATCACATTCTTGCAGAGGTCAATGGTGGCCTTCACAGCAGGGAACTTGTCGAAGCAAGCAAGATAAGAAGTCCTCTTCCTTCGTCTTTATTTTGTAGAATGCATTACAGATTCCATTGGTGACTTGCCCTTGAGTTTTGATGTATTGTCACCCAATTCTTGATCTCATTCATCCATCTCAACTAGCCACTGAAGTGAGAATCTAGTTCTGTCTGTCTCCTCTCTGTCCGTTCAAATAATAATTTTTTCTGTCGTAAAGTAACAACTAGGTAGGTTAATTTTACATGGGTCAATGATCGTACCTATCCCGCTTCTCTTTCCTTTCCTCCAGTCTTTAATATTTTGTAACTACTCGTTGCTCTTACAAATGATCCCACTTCTTGTTAGTCTTTCTCATTATCATATTCCATTATTTTTGGGAATATTCAACAATTTTTTCTTTTCTTTTCTTTAAATTTCTGGTCATGTATCAACCGAATGGTGTCCCGTACGTACCTCAATACTTTAAATGGATCATTCTCATTATGTTAGATTTTGTATCAATTTTTATCTGTGTGCCAAATTCTCTTCGCTTGTCCAGAAATCTATTACCTCCAGTAGCACTGTGCTTTCTTTACAATCAACATACTTATAATATCGATAATGCTCAGTATAAACACATCCTGATACTTAAAATTTCCTAGTGTCAATGAAACTGACACACTAGTTCTGGAGAAAAATTTTCTACAAATGAATTATGAAATTAAAGTTCTTCAGTATGCTGATTTTTCAAAGTCTATTTTATTGCTTGGATTTGAAAGCGAATGTCACCCATTATTTTACTACCATGAAGGTAGCCTATCTGTATGAGGATAAGACAGTCAGCTGGTAACAGTTTAATCTGGTCACCTCCTTTTTCGCTCGCTGCTTTACCGTCGAATTAGCTATGAACCATGCTTCTGAGCACATAAATGCTTTTGAAAATCTCTTGGCTCCTGTTTTATTTTTGATAAAGACTGAAACCGCATGTTATCTGGAAACAAGCTTTCACTTCCCGCTGACTTGAAGATAGGAAAATAGAGGGAAGAAACAGAAGAAATAAAAGTTAGAAAAAATTAAATTGTGAATCATTTGTGGTATCTGTTTACTTTAAGTGTTATAATATGTAAATATATTTTTATTATTTCTGTTTGTATAAATGTTAATGAGTCTAGACCATTCTTTGTGTGTAGGTATTTTGATATTCAAATAAATTTATATCAATGGATCCTTGTAGTTCTTTGATTCATCATTATTAAGGTTTAAGTACGTATAGCCCTCAGCTGTCTGGCTGCAAAGCAAATACTTCATCCACGACGAGCCCAAATTGGAGACAAAGAGAGACCCCTCACTGGTATTTTGGCAATGGAGGCCTCTACTTCTAGAAGTTTATCATTTTCATGTCAACGCAGCTTTTTGTTCTCCACCGAATGACATATTATGAAATTGGAACACCAGGCAAGCTGATGTCAGGTGAATTTGTTTGGCATCTTGCAACACTTGAAGCTCATCAGCCAACAATATGATAAGCGGACTGTTGCTGCTTCATTTCTGCCCATGAAAGGAAATGTTGAATCTCTGGGGCCGAATTTTGTTGGTCCTTCCACCGTACTTAAAGATATTTAGAACAAATCTCAACCGCAATCTAGTTCAGGTTAGCGCCTCTGATAGACCTGCGGTGCAGTTTGGACTCATGGATACTTGTGGCACCTCCTTGTGAAAGAGCCGACAAAATTTAGCCCCCGGAAGTAAATTTTTCCTTGTGTCTCGTCAATGGGTTAGGAGAGGTTTCTCTTTGTCTCTGGTCCCTTACCTGAGACACATCGTTACATGGTATATCGAGCGCTTCTTTTGCGCGTACCGGTATATTTCTTCACCCCTAATTGACTTAGGGGCAAGGGAGTTCTAACTTCTGACAAATAAAGAATTAGGAAAACAAAGTGGAGTGTTGGACACATTTTTAAACGATAGGATCTCAGAAAAAGGAAGAGAATCGCATAAAGAAAAGTATGAAAAATGGATTTATTAAACAAAAGCTTAGATGTAATTCCAACCAATGTCAATTTGAACAAGATAGAAAAATAGAGGTTCAGGCATTCGGGTAACAGTGATGCTTGAAAAATAAAAACAGTATGTAGTAGGACAGTTGACAAGAATGACTTATCTTCTCCCATCCCACAGAATTCGGAATGGCCACATCAAAATCTTAATAACAACCAAAAACAATCAACATGGTTATGAAGTGATTACCACTGCATGTTGTTTTGATCAAAAGCTGAATAAAACCATGATTTTAATATGGTAGTCGAATCAACCATTTTCAGCTTGCAACTTAGCAATCTTTTTCCTTTTGAGTGAGGTCATGGGTGAGTTGACATTTACGCCCTTGTAAAAATTCCTCAACTTGACCAGAGCCTTTTCTTCACAAACGCCACCTACGATGTTGCATGGATTCAAATAATGTTGCTTAACATCATAAACCGTTGATGATCCACCAAACCTATCATTTGCGCATCCATAATAAACGCATTTGACATTCAGACTTAGCAAAATGTCAGCACACATAATGCACGGCTCGACAGTGACCACTACAATGGTATCATGAAAAACATTGGTTGCGTCTTTGCTAAACTGCTCCACAACTTGGTCGATACAATTCAGTTCCGCATGGCGTGTGGCATTTTTAAATTTATTGACGGTATTGTGTCCTCTAGCGATAACTACATCGTTATATATGAACAAACATCCGACAGGAACTTCTGATTTTTCTAGGGATGTTTGAGCTAGCTCAAGAGCTTGGACCATCCATAGTTCTGGATTGAAGGTACTGGTTGACATATTACCACTTTTTTAAATAAAATGTTATCACGAAGATAGCTTGGCCATAAAGTTTTAGGCTGCATCAAAAATTTCAACTAGGACAACAAATAGGGAAAAAAGGCGATCAAAATGCATCAAATCACATTGAATCCTTCAATAATACACAAAAAGTCGGTAAAAAATAAATTACTACATTGAATTCTGTTGCTTGGTAAAAAATTCAACGGACTATGTAAGTACAAAATTAGTTAAAATGGGAATGTCTAAGACTAACGGAGACTGAGACTGTCTTTATTAATAGAGAGTGTTGAAATTCTTCATTACAGATTGGGTACACAGATCATGAACGTCAGATAGAAAATAGAAAAGAGAGTTTGAAAACACGTAGAATAGTCGGCGGGATGACATGTGAGGATTCTAGCACTCTAAGTACTTGAGAAGATCGTGTTGTTGAAGTACCTTGCGCACAGCCCCGTTCCAGTCCTTATTGGCAGCTGGGCTTCGTGGGCTGGGATGCAAGATCTGGACTACCTGGAAACATTAAAAGTAGCTGCGTTAGTTTGAAATTTGCGATAAATGTAATCAAGAACTTGTTATGATTCGAGACATCAAAATCAAGATCTGTTCAAAGTTAAAACATCAATAACAAAAACTTATTTGAGGTTGAGATATCAGTTTAATCTGCGAGAATGAAAACACACTGGTTCAAAAATTAAAAAATGCCTAATTTTCATAATAGCCATTGAAGATAGCACATCTATGTCAACTTGAGCCTTGAAAGAGTCCCACAATAGTTGTCTTTTGGCACCAAAAACTTTTTCTTGGACCAACTTCCTCACCTTTTGCGCAGTTTTTTGTATCACTTGAACATCTTCATTTTCAGACTTTATTTTTTCATTCTCACTGATTCAATCTAGGAAGGGGATTATTACAGTGAAAGTTAGTGCTATATAAAATGGTAGCCTCCTTGATTTCCTTGATAGTAAATCTTTTCTTTCGTGCAGACGAAATTTTGATAAAAACCATTTAAAAAAGCAACGTTACCACTAAAAACCGTTTGGAATGATTGACTGTGCAAAAAGGGACCTTAGGACAAAAATCTCCAGCAAGAGATATTGGTATCATTCCTTGGGATAATTATGCACAGACGTTCTGGCTTCAATAAAATAAACCGAACAGGAATTATGATGCTATAAAGTTATTACAGGATTGCCACAGAATTTAGAAAATGAAATTTCTTGACATTTGGCAATATGCAGGATGGTTATAAATCGCTGCTCCTAAACCTGAACATCCAACAATTGCTGATAGAAACGTCAAACACATTCTAAAAAGCAAATAAAGGTGATTTTATTATTTTCCCCCAGCACTTAAATCACTTTTCCTGACAGAGGCAATCCTGTTAATAGTTTAAAAAAAGTAGTTTTAATTGAAAAAATATTAGAAGATTTGTCTGGTTCGGTATAAAAAGTTGTTATTTGTAATACACTTTCACCCCTTGTCCTAATGTCCCATGGACAATCACTAACACTTGGACCGAAAATATCCAAAAACGGCAAATCTTTTATGGAAAAAGTGCAAAATAATATTACAAGATACAAATTATCAAATCAACTCAATGAACAATCCACAATTACTTGTTTGCAACAATCTTAATTCCATACTTAAATTTTCATGATGGTCAAAGAGAAAAAAAATAAAACCCCGAGTGATAAATGTAACATATCTTAGAATGTGCTCTAATTTTTAATCATTTGGTTACTGAAAGGACAAAGAAGGATAATAATTGATGAAAGAAACTTTAAAGCGTTCTGTTAAAGAGTTGAGGCAGATTTTGAAAAGATTTATTGAAGAAGGGTGGGGAAAGATGTTTGAAGACTGTCGGTAAAATAATTTCAAACAAATGGCTAACCGACTACTGTGAGGACTTCGACTAGTTTTTCTTAATGTTTTCTAAACTTGCTGGCACAGAAACGCAGGGGTAGAAGGCACCACAGAGCAAGAGATGATAATAGTAATAATAAATACAAGTAGGAGTTAGTGGCACTTTGTACCTTCAAAAGTTTATCAAGGTATTTAAATAAGTGCAGTCAGCTCAAGTGTAAAAGCGCTTGGTTGACAAATATTATTAAAGGTATATTATACATGAAACAGATAGAGTAAACCAAAAGCAGTACAAAAAACTCCTTTTGAAGAAAACATTGAAGCAAGAAGCTCCTAAACGGTATGGGTAAAAAGTGCATCCAAAATAGTTCTACGGTGACCGTTACATTTATGGGTTGAAATACTATGCCGAGGCCCAAGAAGTAGCCTTATTTCGAGAATTTTCACATGTCAGTTCAAAATTCGTATCTAATAGTCGTATATCTTACTCAGGCTCAAACTGAATTGAAAAATGACAGAATAATTAGAAATTTACAGAGCACGTGAAAATAAGAACCGGATAAAAGTTGTTTCAGATCAAATTTTAGTTTTAGCTAGAAAATTATTGTCAGTTACAGGTGTGGATTACTGAAAATACTGTGAAATCGGAAAAATCTAGATGAAAAATATTTTAGATATAAAATATAAGGGAAACTCGGGGTGCTTCTATTTACATTTTAAAGTTATTCTGCTTTTGCTGCAATACTTCCAACCGATTGGAAGTGCATCTTCATTTTTAGCTGTTAGCACAGGTTAGATAGGTCAGAACAGAGTAGCTCTGTTCTGTTAGTTAGATTTGACTGCAATCGTTGTATTAATTAGGTGCCGATTCGGTGGATGTACCAGTCTTAATATTAGAGAGAGGCAATTTAACAGGGGTTTACTTCTTTGACTTATTTAGGAAATATCTTTTGCTAAGCCAAAATGAAAAATGAGAAAATTCACTATAGTTTTCAGTATCAGTGTTCTAAGGAGAGGCGTTAGCAAAAATGTCACAACAATGAACTTACAAAAGATTGGTCTAAAGAAAAAAATTCTTTAAGAAAAGGGTGAATAAATAGAAAGCTGCCAAGAATATTCCTGCAGGGTAATGTTTTGAAAGAAAATAGAGAGAAAAAAACCAAAATAAGGGAAAATGGATAAAATTAACAAAGAGCTACAACTCCATACAACAAACTCAAGGAAAGTTAAAAACTCAAGGATTCGTGAAAATGCGTTTTTGTGGAGCAGTACAGTGGAAAGGAATAACTCACCTTCAGATTAAAAACAAAATGATTAGGCTGCTCTACGCTTGATGGATGCCTTCCCTCGAATAAGCTGAGACAAGCTGATTCGTACTTTTGTACTGTCAGAGACTTTCTTGACCCAAACGTAATCAGGCCCGATTGCAGTGATGACCGCTGAAAATTTGACCATGTTCCTGCCCTCGACAAAGACGGGTTGACCTCGGTGAAACCACTTTCGTTCAAACATTAGTTTCCCATCTTCTACCCGTGGTGTTAACTGGTGACCCTCACTTGCCTCAGGGTTCATTCCACTCAAGATGGTTTTCAGGTCTGACTCCACTTCTTTCTCCGCCAAACTATAGTTGATCTGAACTTGTGGAATTTTTGAGCGTTTGTCCAGCACAGGGATTGGATCGTGAGGGCGCCTGCGCAATTTGCGTGTCATTGTTGGCTTGGTTTCTGTTGGGTCTACTGTCAACTCTAACGAATAGCGTTCGGCTTCAATGACTTTGCGTTTCTCCTCGAGCTCAGAGATGAGCGACTCTTTCAATTCAATTTTCTTGTCTTTTAGTTCTTTGGCTACAAGTTTTTTCTCTTTGATATAATCTCGTTCTACGCATTCTAGAAGATACTCCTTCCAGATTTGATTGAGCCTTAGCCTTTCATCATAGTCTTTCTCGAGAATTTTTAATTCTTCATTATACTTGGGGTGGGCTCCTTCTTTTAGGAGCTCCAATTGGTTTTTCAAGTTTTGAAACTGTTCTTTATAGACTTCTTCCTTAATCTCTTTGTACTCTGAGCTTTGGCCAAAATCCGTTTCTGAGGCATCCTCTGTTGCTTCATCACTCTCCTCGAAATCTCCATATTTTGGCTCCAACAAATCCTCTTCGACTTCATCATCGAATTCATTGTCCATGGTAGAAAAGGATTTCATAGACATTCTGAAATAAAATTTGGCTGTCAAGACATGGCAATCATGATTGAATCAACGAAATTTGTACTCCCTGACAGCTGATGTTTCCAGGGAATAGAATGAAGGGGTTAAAAGAAACTAAAGAGACACCTTAAATTTTACGGTAAAATTTAAGGAGATGCATTACAAAAAAACAAGGAGCACTCTAACAAAACGCTTTAAAGTTTCATTCATATACTTTAGTTGTACGAGAATAATAAGGATATGAAACCAATGGTTATTTAAGATTATGAAAGACGTTTAATCCAGGATGTGGATACACTCTCATGTATCCAACATTTTCAGCACTGTAAAAATTAAAAAAATTAACCGAATTTTAAGTTGAAGACTTCGTTTTTATTGGTCACAAAATGGTACATATTTATCAGAAATTCCTGCTATTTGATAAATTCTCTTTAGAGAAACTTCTTTGAAGGAAGATTCAGCAAGCCAGCAAAAACGCTGTTATTTTAAGGTCTTGAGTTATTCAGAACAAATTAAACAACAAGCTTCGCAGTTTTTCTCAATTTCTGGAATTTAGTATGGTTAATATGCAATTGGTCAAACATAAATGCTCATTTTTCAGCCTAATGTCACTTAATTTGATGTTTAGTAAGAGAATTGGCAGAAAAGGTTGTCGGTCAATTCAAAAGGTTGAGGGATTTACAGTTTCAGGGATTAAAATTTTTTTAACTAGGTACAAAGTGAGTGTTATTATAATGCAGACATACATGTGCATTTTTCCGGCAATATTGTACGAGCAAATGGACACCATAAAGGCAAGCGCTGAGGCATGATGTCTGACTTCTTTGTATCTTTCATGAAGATACTAGCAGCATTATTATTGAGCAACTGTACCAGCTTATATGCAAAAGTTTTTTGAAAAGTTGAATAAGATGGCAGCTATCATGTTCGCTGAGGTTTTTTGGGGTACTTCTTAAAGGTTCTGATTCGGTAACGCAGTATATTTTTTGCGTGACTTCATAACAGCATGACATTCAGTTTTACAATGCTGATTTGAAACCTTTTTCCAGTTGTCTCAGAATTGCATTACTTCAGTTGAGAAGGTTTCATCTTGTTTTCAGTTGATGAGCACAGTAAACAAAGCTTGAAAATAAAATCGAGCAGATCAGTGTTTGAATCTGGTCAGTATCTTTAGGAGTCATCGTTGCCAGCATGTTAGAAATTTAGAGGGCAAAGTGGTTTTTCCTTTTTTGCGGAGAAATTAAGATTATCGTTATGGTATTGCTCGGAATGTTAGAAATCGTTTAATTGTCGCTACTCACTCTGTCTGTTAGTTCTCTGTGATGAGCAGACATTGCAGCGATCTTAGCTAAAGATTATTGGGGCGCTACATTCCATCTCTATATAAGACTTCAATAATTTCTTCCGCTTCCTATTTCCTGACTATTTTTGCGTTTCCCTCATTTTAAAACTTTCAAATCCCTTAACATTCCTGATAGTCAAATCAAACTTCAACATAGATTTATTCCCTTATAATTAGTTTTATTTATGCTGAACACTACTTGCAAAATTCCCAGACTTCACCAACAAATCGCTTTATTTTTCAGACCGGCAGAAAACTTTGTGGAAATATGACAATGAATCGAGGATATTTATAGACATTCTGAGCAAAATTGTGTTTCTCTGGTACCAACCATTTAAAACATCATTAATTTGAATCAAGGCTTAACAGAACGTTACTTTGAAACCAAGAAAACTAGTTCTGGGCAAAGATTTACAGTGGCTCATATCCATCAGCTAGGCTTAAACCTATCTCAACGAGTCTGTAATTACAGAACTTGTGTAATAATACCCTACCCTGAACAACATTGCCTGAGGGTGAAGAAAAGGATCCAAAGAAAAGGCCAATAAATTTTAGGTCTTGCGACCAGTCCTCTGCCTGAGATAGATACACCCTCAAAGAAAGTATTTTCGATTCTTTAGGTGGTAGATTTATTGTATTAAATTAAAGAGTGGAACATACAGCAAAGCCTGAAAAGATAACGACATGGCATTAAAAATATTTAGGTGTTATTACCTTGACGTTGGGAACCTTGAATTGCTTGATGGCAGCGTCTGACCTTTTCTTAGCAAAGGCACCGATGGCAACGATAGTATCCACTTCAAACAACTTTAGAACTTTTGATAAAATTTCATCTCCTACTTTATCAATCAGTGCCTGTGCCCCTTTCTGTTGGCATAAAAACAAAAATCTGTCAATTAAGATAGGTGTACTTGATAAACATAAGGCGTGCAGAGTGCAAGCCTTCCAAGCCTTGAGAATTTGTTCAGAAATAGGAAGGCTGTGAATAATGGAAAAATCCGCTTACATGGGCGTGAGAATCAAAATTTTCTTTTAAAATTTGGCAATTCAAGTGAGAGTAAATAAATTAGAGAGAAAAGTCATCACATTGACAGTTTAGAATGAAGAGGAGTTATTAAAATGGGAAGGCTAGGAACTTTCAGCATTGGCATCCTTGAAGATATAAAAATAGAAGCTGATAGATGAGAGATTCAAACTCAGGTCGAAACTTGGTAAATACCTTGGTATCTATGTTTTTAAAACCAACTGGACAGTTGACCAATTATCAACTTTAGAAAAACAACGGTCTTAAAGCCTTCTGCCAGTATTCATTTTTCTACTATAAAGCCATCAGGATTGAGGTCCTTTGTCAACAAACACAGGACGCCTGCATGAGGACTCAGACTCCCAGGTCCCAGGATTAAGGTAAATACACTCACAATGCGCTTCAACTACAGCCGTAGATTACCGATTTCAGTCGTCCCAGAAAATCCTGTTTTCCGGAAACTGCATTTATCTCCTTGGCTCAACACATCATAAGTCATCTCTGGGCCTACCTGGGCTATTCCTGATAATTATTAATTACCCTAACGCAACCAGATCCTGACTTCAAGGTATCCTTAAGGTAGGAGAGAGTGTTACGGTTGAGACCAGGCTTTGATTCTATTCAGTGAAGCTTTACCTGCCTTGATATAACAAAAAAAGTCTCACTGAAGCAGGACCATTTGTAGACCTGATCTCGTACTCCTGCAGAGGAGGCCTCGACATATAGACTCGCTGACTTGAGATTGCTAGTGCCCTTGAGGTTTCCTGCTCACAATTCCTGGATATAACTGCTATTTGAATTGAGGGGGGGGGGGAGCTAGGAACTTCATGCGTTTTTGTTCCCTTGTAAATGAGACATTTTAAAGTAAAAAAGAATTTCGGCTGTTAGAAAATAAAACAATGAATATGAAAATAGCTCATTTGAGACGAAGGGAATTTCACAACTTACATTCAATTCAACTGGTGTAATATTTCTGCCTGCAGATGTGATGAAACTCAATGGAAAGTAGTTGTAAACGATGGCATTTTTGAAGAATACATCTGGATCCCCGCCACTTAACTCCTTGGCTAGACCCCAAAATCGCTTTCCGCTTGGTTCGCTTCTGGAGCAGTTGAGTCCAGTAACCGGGAGCTTCGGGTGCGACCTTCTTGGTTGCTGCACAGGTCCGCGGATGCCAAGAAAATCTCTTACAGCAGGAATTTCTCCGAATGGAACCTTAAAAAACAATACAACATGTTAGAAATTAGTCTAAAGGCGAAAAATTTTCATTCGGCTGGATGCATGAAATTACTACGACTTGTAAGATAGTACAAGGAAAAATGTCATCTGACCATGTGCATTTAGACCTCATATCTGATTATACTGTCAGGGATGGTACAATGAAGAGGGATCTATTGTAGTGTTTACTTCTGACTAAAGGGATAGGTGAAAATCAGAAGCCACATTTTTCATGGATCCTTTGACAAATTTAATATCAAGTGCTTAAAGAAAATTTGACGCATACTTAAATATTTACAAATAATTCATACTGAATGTGAGACTACAGCTTTAGAGAGGCATCTGATCGATCGACATAGTACTCAAGTCAGGGTAATGACACGCAGCTTTTCAGCACTTTAGCTGCAGTGCCCACCCATATGATCTAACTCCATGTGTCATCTGTCTTGTACGGAAAAAGCCGTGAGGAAAAGAACAAAAATAGAGGTTTTCGGCTTACCCCAGTTTGGGTCATGCCATGGGGTCCAGGATTCATTCCCAAAAACAGAATCTTCTTCGGGCCTTGGCAAAACCTCTGAACATACTGAGCATGCAACTCAGCAGCGTAATCTAATGGGTTGTAGGTATAAGCGACATTTTTATCATGCTTAAAATCTGTCCCAGAGGTGAGTATCTTTTCCACAAGCTCATTCTCTAGGGCAATCAGTTTTTCAGCATAATCAAATTCCAGTTTCGACTTTTTAGAGTCATTCTCAAGCCCATTCTTTTCTCCAATCTTTCGCTTTGTTGAAGCCATGATAGAGTTTGGATGGAGTATCTGAGCCTAAAACAAAATAATAATAAATAAATCAGTATATGGCTGGGCTGGATTATCTATTCCACTAAACTGATTCATAATAACTCTTCACAAACTCTCTTTCCTGACCTACATTCACTTTACGATTAGAAAAGCCCTCTTTGAGTATGAGGACAGCTGAGGCAAGCATAGCAATAAAAGCTCAGACACTCCCTTGAGGGCAAGAATAAAGGATGAAAAATCTTAATGGAATTCAGTTGGTTACTTGCTCAAGTAATGAGTCCAGTCAACTCAGTTTTTCTTGTAGTAGTAGAAATAATAATAATAATAATAATAATAAAAAAAAACCCTAGATACAAAAGTAACCTTAGAGATACGGATTCTGTTGTGTAATCTTGCAGACGATTTGCAAAATTGAACTAAAATAAGTAGTATCTTGGACTTGTACTTGATTCCTTTACACTAGTTAAAGAATATTGAACTAAAGTGTCAAGCGAACAAGGCATCTCTTCAGTTCCAAAAAAGTAAAATGGAAGCAGGTCTATTAAAAAACTGCTAATGAATGCCTATTCCTTTCACTTGACCATCGCCCTGTTCAGATGATATCATGTCACTTCTTAGGGAACCACTTACCGCAGTGGGTGAAAGCAGAAATTTTCTAACTACAAGGAGCATAACATGGAATGGCTGGTAAATCATAAAAACAGTGAACCAAAGAAAAATGCTACATGGCCAGACCAGAGAGAATGAAATTCTGAAAATAGTCAAAAGAAAAGTTCTCTCACTCAAGATATGATAGTTAGCATAAAAGCAAAGCCCAGATTACTTGTTCCAACAACAGATGATACTTCCATACTGGGCAATTTGGAGTAAGAGTAAAAATAAACAACTGAAGAAAGAAGTAAACACGGAACTAGAGAGGAGTATTCAGCAAGAGCACTCCGGTTAGGCAAGGTACACTCTACTACAGGTATGGACATGGACAAACGGAATTTTAGAAAGTAGTCGTAACGTGTAGATTTGACAGCGCCGAATGGTACGACTGCGACACCATATTGACAACTTGTTTCCTTTCTGTTCTGAGAGTGGGTCTCGTCAATATCGTGTTATTTTTACTTATTCTCAATTAAGTTTTTCGTAATTTTGAGTTTGATCAATTTTGTATGTTCATCTGATAACTTAGTGAAGCGACCAGATCTACTAGAACCTCATTTTGAACTGCTCAGCAAAGGCGGCACAACTTGCGACGTCACTTGATGGCCTATATTCTCAGCGCTGCCACTTTAGCACCCCGTTTGTCCATACCTGTAGTAGAGAGTACCTTGTCGTTAAGATGTGAATGCGATGAAAAGAAGCGGAGGCATCGTATGTTGAGACAAAAGTCAAGTATTGCTTAGGTCACCACTCATCAGTGGTGCAATCTGACTGCATGTATTAATCTGTTGAGGGATGCTGGTTCAGAGGTATTTAGAGATTGATATTTGTCTCAACATACGATGCTTCCGCTCTAACTAGGGTAAATAGAGCAACGCTGTCAGATCTGAATGCCAACAGTGCAGGTTGTGGATTATAAATGGCTACCTTTTGACAGTTATTGAAAAATAGAGTACCTGTATAGGGAGAGTAGCGACAGATCGGTTCATGGAGGGCTTAGGGCCCAAAAGTGCAGCCACCCTTCTGAGCAACTTCTAACACACAAAATTTCACTGCCAGCCTACAGATTTCAATTCTAACCAAGATGGCTAAGAATGTACATAAATGAGCGTTCTTCCGCAAAAATAAGTAAATTTATGCAAAAAGTAAACCAAATACATGCTTTCTAAACGACGGTTCGTAACAATTGTATTTGAAAATCGCTCTGGACATTCGAAATTCATAGGTTGGCTGCTCTTTTGGGCCCTAACTTTGTTCGCGGAGGCATCGGTGAAGGCCTGATAGACTTTCGGAGTTTCAGATCTGTCGCTACTCTCCCTATACAGGTACTCTATTGAAAAATGGATAGAGCATTTTTCTTGCAATACAAACTAAAGACATGCACGTTAGGAACCTCCATGTGAACACTGTCACAACATGCTGTTGACTGAAAAACTGTTCAAAACAATTCGTATTGAGAGGCCAGTGGTATCTTGAAATCCTCATCAAAATGGTGTAAGAACGTTAGACCCTGATAAAAATGGGAATAGAGGAGAATTCCCCGTCCTGAACCGCACTCTTACATGTATTTACTTAAACGGTAAGATTCGCTTCAAAATGGCGTTCATATGAGTGCGCTCTATAAAGAGTCAAATAAGTGTGGATGAGAAGTCAGAGTTTGTGGGTATTGTCTTACATCAATGCCTAATAAATCCATGTTCCGTAGTTCACATTGAGAGGTGCGCATCGAAAGTGCTGACGTGAATGAAGCTAACGGCTATCCCAAACTACGCTGAGCATTCAGCCTGATGATGCATTGAATATTAAAGGAGAGGTTCACAAGTTTAAGAGCCGACGAAAAAGGCCTTTGGTGAAGAGCAGACGGATCATGATCAAGGATGGTAGCCAGGAGCCAGGTCGAGGGGATGATCGTCGCATAACGTGCGCGAGATACGGAAAAGTTAGATGGAATTAAGAGGTTCCAACGAAGGAAAAATTAGGTACTTACAATCAGAAATTGGTCGTGAGAGTCGACTGCGTTATTTGCTCCTGAAACGCGAAGAAGAGTTTCCAAAAATTCGGCGGAACAAAGATAAAATCAAAATCTATTGCATAGAGAAAAAAAAGGAGGTGTTTGCATTTCGGGCATCTTGGAGTATTTTGATGACTTGATGACGTAGGTGGGTACAGCTGGGTACAGGGACGTCCCCTTCACACTGTACCCACCTACGTCATCAAGTCATCAAAAAATTCCAAGATGCCCGAAATGCAAACACCTCCTTTTTTTTCTCTATGAATCTATTGTGTTGACGAAGAGTTCGAGGCTTTGGCGGGATGCAGGAGGGGGGAGGGGTGGGACGCGGCGATGCCATTGACGTATAATACAATCTAGACCGCGCATTACGAAATTCAAGCGAGACGATAGGCAACCCAGCAACACACAGCAAGTGTACCGGCGAGACAATGGTGGAATTCGTGGAAATGCCAGTCTTGCCAGTGCCGTTGCCTGATACGGGTACACTTAGCTCGTATATCCGGCGGTATCAACTAGGCTGAAGGCGCGTCTTTACCCCCCTAGCTGTCTTACCTTCCCCGCCCAAAGTCGGGCCCAATGCGCGGTCTAGATTGTATTATACGTCAATGGGCGATGCCGTTCCGCCATCTTGTTACGTCACCGACCATTTTTTTAAGGACGAACATAACCTAAAATTGCAAAAAAACAACAAATCAAAATCCTAATCTACTGCCAGAAAAACACAAGTAGTGTGATTAGTCCATTGTAGAACTTTTGATTTTAATCCCAAGAAGTTTGTTGAAAAATTATCAAGTGTAGTTGACTTTACCCAACTTCAATACATGTGTTTTGTGATTTCAATCATCGTTAATCCATTTCCAGTTCTGTTGTACACTTGTTCGGTTTTCTTCGTCAGAGTATCCGTCGACATCGTCAATATAATAAGTTGACATGGATCCACTAGAGAGTTCCATGTTCATGAAGCATGAAGAATCAATGCACTCAGAAGAATCGAACTCGATTGACATTGAAGATTTTGCAGATAATCAAGTTAAAGATGAAAAGTCAGAAGAAGTTGAACTGGACTTCGGAGAGTTAGACTGTTTAAACAGTGACAAAAACTACCCACCAACGCTTGACTCCCACATGACAGATATTTTAAACGCTTCTAGTTCTTCTAAACCTTTGAAAAGAGGAGAGCACAAAAGCAAAAAAGAGCTTGAAGAAGAAGAAAGAGAGAAAATGCAGTAAGTTAACACACTGGCATTACTTTAAATGTTGCCTATCATACTTTTCCTCATTATGCTTCCATTAGTCTCATGACGATTGGCCCTAATGATAATAGCCACTGGAATATTCAGCCAAATGTTTTCATCCCAAGAAGTTGTAAGTAAAATGAGGGGATGGGAGGATTTGCCTGTTCTCTAATTTTTTCTCGGGACAGCCTGGAATAAGTGTACGCTCAAGAGGTATTAGCTACAACATCCGAGTATAATGAGTATTGATAATTTGTTTCCTTTTAAAAGCTAGCAGAAATTTGATTAGTTAATGAGAGAAATTTTATTAAGATTTTTTAGGCAAAATGACAGGACAATTTGGCGATCAACGATTTGTTGATTTAAATGTCAGCTGCTTCCATTGGGAACCAAATGAATGCCCGACTGACGAATATTTATTTCATTTCACTTTTTGAAGAAGTCGATCACACCATGTACATTTTGTTGTTGTATTAAACCATTATATTTTAAAACCTGTCAACTGTCTTTTGGGATTCTTTTATTAAAAAAAAGGAAAAAAAATACATTAACTTCTGAGAAGCTGGAGGTGTTACATTTATGTTTAAAGGAATCCTAAAATTCACAAAATGTTTGGAAGCTATGGCAATGAAGGGTCACAATCCTGTAGGATTCATCAGAACAGCCAAAAATGAGAGCTGTCAAGTGCAATTGAATAAGCAGTCCAACTTTTTATCCACTTATTTAGCGTCTCACTAATAAGACCATTTTTAAATTCTATCTCCCTGTAATACCGCAACTATACCCCAGGAACTGAAGGCTAGCCACTTATCTATGTAAAATATTTAAGTGGATTTGTGTATCTCATGATCATTTTTAAGCCTAACTGTTTTCATTTCAGAGTCCTTGTTTCAAACTTTACGGAAGAGCAACTGGATAGGTATGAGATGTACAGGAGATCTGCCTTCCCAAAAGCAGCCATCAAAAGGGTGAGTATTGAGTAATTTTCCTCAAAACAAACTTCAATTATCCCTTTGAAGATTCAATATGTCCTAGAATTTTTTTTTTTTTTCTTTCCATCAGAATCATTAACAGAGCTGAGGAATTGCTTTTAAGCATTCATTTTTTTTCTCTTTTTTTTCAGAAATGATTCTAAAGATTTCAGCCTTTGACCATCATTAGATGATCATGAACATTTTTGTAAAAAAAAAACTGTCCAAATGAGTTTTTAAGGACAAATACTATTTATGTTTCATCTGTTACCCTTTTTATTTAGAAGTTTCCCTCATATATTTTTTTGCATTTTAAAATGTATAGTATATAGTTTTCTAAATTTTTCTTTCTTTTTTCCAGCTGATGCAGACCATTACTGCAAACTCAGTCTCTCAGAATGTCGTCATAGCTGTTTCCGGTATAGCGAAAGTATTTGTAGGAGAAGTAGTTGAACAAGGTACCTGTAACTTAAGTTTTATAAGAAAGTCAGTAGGACACTGTTACTTCTCAGAAGAAAAGGGAGAAAATATGAAAGCGGTTCAATAATTTTGATTTTAGCCCCCCGCCCCGCACGGTGTAAGGCAAAAAACCAACCATTTTAGGCTCCTCAGATGATCCTCTATCAGCCTTTAAAATATTGCATGATTCCCTAGAGGAGGATGTCAAAGACACCGCTTTTGCAGTGTCCTTTTCTTTTTTCTCAATCAATAAAACAGGTCACAATGTTAGAAGAAATCCTCTATTTCCTGAATTTGAGAGGCTGTAGCTCCAAGGGGCAGCAGTTTTGGGAAAAAATGGCTGATGTCTCCTTCTGACCAAAAAAAATGCATGCCTGAAATCATTGGATGCAACCCTTCGCGATCTTATGAGCCAAGTATATTTTCCTTTATTAGTCATTTTAATGTTTCTTTTTTCTGTCCTCAGCATTAGATGTAATGGAAGAACAAAATGAAACTGGTCCTCTTCAACCTAAACATCTCCGAGAAGCAGTGCGGAGGCTAAGAGCTCAGGGGATGATTCCTAACACCAAGCACAAGAAATCTGTCATGAAATTGTAAATTTACTTTAAGTGGACATTACTTTTTCTCTTGTATCCTTACTTCTGTGTATTTTAGTTAAGAATCGATTTTAAACAGCAATTTCATAGTCAGGGCGGTCACACTTTATTCCAGCTCCAATTCAATGAGGGTCCTCTTTAATAAAATCAGGATCACTTTTTCTTTTAAATTCATGTTGTTTCTCGTAGGCATTGCATGGCCAGTCATATAAGTTTATTTCTAGATATGGCTACAAACTTTACTTGTTTTGAGCCCGCCTTCATTTTGTTTACTCAGGAAAGTGAAAATTAAGATACTTTTGTACTGATTATTACAAATTTTACTGTTCATCATTTCTTATTTTCTTTTATTTACACTTCCTCTGCTTAAAATTATGATGATAGCGACTGATGATCCCTTCAAAAATACAGTTTTCGAATTTACTGGTAAAATGGTTCCTTCGTTGTCCATTACGTAAGGCATTTTCTGAAAATATCAGCAGAAAGTTATTTTTCTGGTATATTTTGACAGTTTTTTTGTTTTTGTTTTTTTTTTTAAAATTTATTTAAGAATTAGTACTGGTAGGCTTCAGGCTTTGAGTTAAAAAAATTTCAGGACTTCCAGTAAATTTTATCGTATGAAACAATTTTTTTTCACCTTTTAGACGGAAATGTAACAACCTTCAGTGGCTCTTGCTTCAACGAAGAAACACAACACAGCATTATAGGCCCACATTTTTATCTAATATGCGTTAAGTCTTTTATTGAAAAATATACATACAAAAATAGTTATTCCAACAGGGATAAAAATACATAATCACTTTCAAATTAAGTGAACACTCAACAATAAAAATAAATTTTTACACAGGAAAAAATAGATAAAAAAGCTATTTGGAAGAAATAAAGTGCTTGGCAATAGTGAATTAATTCCCTGAGTTTTGAAAAATGGTACCTAATAATTAGCTTTAAGCTTTGCATGACAAAAAATCCATTTTATCCAAAAGTTACAAATAATTATAGGGAAGAGAGATAGGTACCTAGGTATAATATCAAACAAAAAATGATTACTGGTTTCCAGAAATGAAGTGATTGAGTTGTTAACTTCCTGAAAGCCTTTCTAAAATGGAATGGCGGGTGATTCTCTTTTTTTCCTACCTTTTTTTAGCTTAGATATTAACGATGAAAACAAAGATCCCTGCACACCAAGGAAACTGAAGGCTTTTGAAAAGGCAGTGAATTGGGCGATACAGAGATATTTATGATTGAAAACGCTAGTTGTTTTATGTTCTCGCCCGGACCAAACCTCATGCGCAGTTAGCTCAGTCATGCTATATACCTACAGGTTTAGTTGATACAAACGCCATACCAATTCTTTCCCTCTGCATTGATTTTTCGGTGTGGCAAGGAGCTTGTCCGCTTCCTTATCTTAAAATGACAAGTGTTGCATTGCGCTCTACGTCTTACTCTTGATCCTTCCTGTTGCCTCTTTAATATGTGTGTTCAATCGCGAACATCTTGGCTCCTTCCTTACCGAATCACCTAATTTTTTGGCTTGAGTCTGATGGTGAACCTTATCATAACTTAAATTTCATCAAATTGATCCAAAAGCCAGTAAGCTCCCATTGGTGTGCAGGTTGAGTTGTTTCCTCGTTGCGGATTCTAATACAGTTCTGGGACTGGTATAACATTCGAAAGTCTGGCAATTTTGTAAATATATGAGAGAAGAAATCCATTCTCTGTTGTGCCTCAGCTGATCAACTTACATGTTGGGGACAACCTTGAGTATCAGATCGAAATATTCTGACCTTTTGGTAATACATTTCATTCTAACATTGGAGTATTGATGCAAGGATTCATCTCAGTGATAGATGGAATTTTAATTCTTAACACACTCAGGAAAAATTAGACTTATGATCTACTCATAAATGAGAGTGTAGTAGAACCCTGGTTATCTGTGGTGATTGGAACCGAAGGTACTACAGATAATCCAAACTTATAAACCGCGGACTGAAAAATAATACAGAACCTAAGTTTAGACTGCCTAGCAAATTGGAAAAACCAGCCACTTGAAGAGAGAGACTGAATGACCTTTGGCTGTCAGGACTGCCATTATTCGTTTGAACATCTCTTTCATTCTTATTTTCATCCAAGAAAACAAACAACGTATCACAGCTTCAGATGACCACGGATAACTGGGGTTCTACTGTATGTGTAAACATAGTAATAATATTAAATTAAAAATTAAACAATTAGCTGCAAGCGCAAAAATTCTTAGCAATTTTTACCTTAAAAAAATAATGTGTTGAAATGGTTTGAAAAACCTATCCTCTCATTTTGCACCAATGGTAGGAGATGGAAGCAAGACTAATTTATCTTCCTTAGTGAAAACAGATGAAATGAGTTGAAACTATGTGATCTGGGGACAAAAACTACCACTACATCAGGCTGCTAGATGACCGCTATCTATGAGCGGAAATAATAATCATCATAACCTTAAAATTCATTATTAAAAAGAGAACAAATCACAATCCGTGACAGCACAAATACTCACTGTTACGATACTGTTATAGTAGTAAGTTATAGTGGAAAATTATGTTTAATTTGATAAGGAGATTTTACGATATATGTTGCTCAGTAACCTTTGGGAAGATAAACACACATGGCATTTGGGTGTTGCAGAGTACAGGAGTGCGCTTTGGAAGCAACATAGATGTATTTTTGTGCATTAAATTTAAAAATATATTCATGTTCATAAAACGGGATGTGGAGAAGAGAGGTATATATTGTACATTCATGTTTCTCTCTAATGCACTATAGCCACTAAGAAAGGTTCGTTTCCATGATGGATACTTAGGATCGTGATGTAGCAGATTTATCCACTGAGCACAAAATTCACACTAAGAATGATGAATAAAATCAATTGATAATGAATAGTAATCTCAGCTCCTCTCCATGCATATTGTTCTTACCACTGAAACAAAACCAATTTTCTGGTCTTTCTCGGTGATTAATAATTTAGAAATCAATTCTCAAACCATCACAAAGGGTATAAGGCTTGCAACACAAATTTTATATTATTTCTTCTAAACTTAATAAATCCAATTTCATAACGTGTCAAAATATGAAAATAAACACGAATGACTAGTTTCGTTAGATATTAACTAGAAAAGGCTTAAATATTTCCAAGAGATATTGCCACAGGTCTAGATGGAAGGGACAATCTGAAAATGCTGCTCCAGCTGGCAGGCTGAAAATTCTTTCGAACATATTATTTCCTTTTTCTACCACTTTTTCAGATTTTTTTTCACGGCAAGTTCCAATCTCAGAGTTACTGTATTAAACATTAATATAAGCTTCAGAAATAACATAAAACTAGATAAGATTTATGATAAAAAAAATTCTTCCTCTTGGTATGACTGCTTTTTCTGAAATGTGACGTATCAGAAAAAGTGAATATTTTAATGGTCATGAAATACTTTGAGTTCATCATCAAATGTCACCAGTAGAAAAATTGGAAATCCAACCAATTTTTTTCATTCAATCGAATTGCATTCACAAAAACTGCTGATGTTTATTTCTTCAAATATGTGCTAAGAAAAATGCAAATAACTGCGCAGGATTTTTAATTGCAGGGTTAAAAAGTGTTCAAACGCTAATTATTATAGCAGAGAAAGGTGGAAAAGGATCCCAAAATGTTCTCAGCTCTCCCTCTGGTTAGAATGAATAGAAACAAGAGACACTGGCCAAAAGCAGTTTTTGCATGATTTATGAAAATCTAAGAGTTAAAAAGCTGTCTAATACCTTCCAATTTCTTGTTGTTTAACACTTTCAAACTTCATCTTAAAATGATTGGAACACTAGAATATTGTTGAAATACAGTTTGAAAAATGATTCTTTTGACACCTAGGCATTTAAAAAAAGTTACAAGATAAAGTCATCAGGAATAAACCTCAAACAGCAATTTTTGCACTTTTCGTCCACAGTCGGTTCCGCAGAATTGAAAAAGCAAATTTGTAAGCTCCGACTTTATTTGAATTAAAAATTAATGAAAGTTATATGGTAGTATTTATTTCTATGGTGACTTGATTCAGTCATACACCAGTGTTGAGAGGCATACAATGAAAGATGAACATTGACAGTTAGCTCACGATTTGCAAAAATGGGGCATGACCCTCCTTCTTCCAAGAAGAGTTCAAACCCAAAAGACAAGTATTATACCTCTAGGATGATTGAGAATATTAGAAACCAAGAATCTCAGAATTGAAAAAAAAAAAATTGACAATTGCAAATGACAAAAAATGACATGAAGCAATTCAATTAATGACCTGAAGCATAGTTACTTGGTTGGCAAGGGAGGCGGGGAAATCCTACATGCAGAGCTTCTGAAGCTGCTTGTCATGTAAGACTGTCATGAAGTTATTGCTAACCCATTATAAAAATTGCAACAAAAAAATTCCCATTAGTGTTGTGCCAAACAGTCTAACTCCAAGAAGGGAATCATGCTCTAAAGGAGAGTTTTTTCCCTCTGTAGAGACAGTGCTCTACATAGTGCAGAGTCATGACATCACCTTGAATATGATCGTATGATCACCAACTTGCATCTGTTGACTAGTGCCTCTGATCGCCTTTGTTCAATACAAAAACGCTAATTATACAAATAACTTTTCAAATGGTTGATAGAAAAAAAATAAATCTAAAAGCAAAACAGACCATTTGAGAAAAGAGACCCATTATTTTTAGTTCAATTCCTGCAGTTAAAAAAAAAAAAATAAATGTATCATTATTTCATAACTTTACAAGATTAAAATTACACTTAAAAGGACTATCAGTTCCGGTTATCTCAAATAAAAATAACAGAAAGACAAATTACAGTACTGTTGCGCAAATAAGGCACATTAAAAAGAAATATTTTGACCATAAGAGTCAGAAAGAGGCTTACTTAGCGGAGTACACGAAAAATACCTGTCAACTTACTAATTATAAGAGGGAATTTCTGTCAAATAATTTACACATTTTACATGCCTTCTCCTGACCAGGGTGGCTAATTATAATACAAATTCTTCTGCTATTTGTTGCCCCCTCACTGGTATTGATACATCCTCATAAAGATTGTTTGTTCTGCAATGACATGATTACATTAAAACAGCCAGTTATATCCTCTCTCATCCTGTTTGCAACATTTTGGAATGGATCTTAACACTCACCAAATACCATCCCTATCCTCCCAAATAGTGCAATACGTACACCAACTGTTTTATCAAAAGATATTTGAGGGGTTGTAGAGAGTCCTTGACAAGTTGAAAAAAAGAAAGGCTGTACATCTGTATACTTGTGCATAAAAAGATGCAACATAAATTCTGCTTACATCCAACAAATAAAAAAATCAATAATAAAAAAAAATTAAAACAATTTTTCTAGAGGAGAATAATGACTACATTATCTTAGGCAGTTAGACCTGTCTGTCTTGATGGTTTCCTTTTTGTTTTTTTCTTCACCAAATATTCCACAGTCCATAGTATTATTGTAGCTAGCGTGAAACAGTTGATGGTGAGTATCCAAGCGTTATTCCCGTACTTTGTGTTCACGACGCCTAAATGAAAAGGAAAAAAAAATAGAGATAATACCTAGAAATAGTACCCACCACAAAATACTATGATTTTAACTCATTAAATTTTACAGAAAATTCAAACACGCTTGACACCATCATGAGCAGGGCCGCTGGGCTTTTGGTTACGTAAAAATAATAATGTATACTCTGAACACCATAGTTGTAAACTGTGTCATCATATCCAGCAAGAATAGACCATACGGTTAAATTATCTAAGCTCCAAAATTGCATAAAAATACATCCTCACTAGTGGAGTCCAACAAGAACCTTGTTGGACAGAAGAATGTTCTAGTTAAAACTTATGACTCTACAATTTTAGCAGAAATTTCTCTAATTTTCATAATAGCTCAAGGACTCACATCGAGCTGTACGGACCCTAATGGCGTGAACCAAAACATCAACACACACCGGTGGCCCCCCTGCATGGAAAAATGTGTTACTACATGCCGTTGAAGTTTCACCTTAAGCAATCTTAAATTGTAGTATGAAATACACATTCTAACACAAATAGAGGTTGTGCGGTTATTTGTGGGATACTAAAAATAAATTTATAGTATTTTAGCGGTTAAATGGCCTATAAGGAATTATTTCAAGGGTATATAACAGCAAATTTACCCTAAAAATTTAAATGATCAATCCTTTTGTTAAAAGAGTAGTCTCCACATCATGAGTCATAAATCACATTGGTCTTCAGGACAAGCTTGCAAGTTTATTTTTTTGAGGTGAATGAGCGATTGGACTGCGTTAAGCAGAAAGGATCAAGCCACATCAGCTATTGCCAACATTAATTGGACAATTCAACTTTTCACATGGAAACGTTGTATGGATTTTTGTGGAAATTTCAGTGAGTTTTTGACATTTTACACAGCAGATTCCTTAAAATTTTCAAGGGAATCCACGTAGACGTTTTCTTGTAAAAAATTGTAATGCCCAATTAACATTGGCAATAGCGAATGTGGCTTGGTTCCTTTCTGCTAAATGCGGTCCAATTGTTGTAGCTGTTAAATAACCTTTGAGGAATTAGTTAAAGTTAATTCAAAAGATGTATCAGGTTTGACAACTGAACAGGTGGCCATCAGTGGCTTCTGAAAAAATAAGAATGCTTACCAAAGATTTTTCCCATTAATCCTAAGGCAAGACCGTTTGAGAACATCTGAATACCAGTCGCAGAGGGTAATAAGTCCAAGCTGACATAATTTGGAATAATGAGAGTCATATATACAGATCGGAACCCTTTGGCTACACCTAGGGCAATTGCAACTACTACCAGTGCAGAATATGAGCTCTTGAACAAAATAACACCTGAAAAAAATTCAAGAGGGAACAATAAGTTATTAAATTACTGACAGAATTAATATATGGAAATCTTGGTTTGTTTTGATAGCTTATACAGTTTAACTGAAAAACACAGTGTGACTCACAAGACATAATAGATATACATATTTAGAAATTTATGTTTATGTTTTATTATTTAGAAAAAATTATATTTATTTACAAAATCTATCATTTTGGTGATAGAGTGATCTCCAGATCATAATTCATAAATTGCATGACATTTCAGGACAATCCTGCAAGTTTCGTTCGGAGATGAAATGAGCAATAAAAACAATAATCGTCGAATAGTTATGTGGATCAAATTGAGAAGTTATTTTCTTTAATTTATACAAGCACACACAATTTTGAAACTAATATGCCATAAAAATCATGAGGCAGGAAGGCATTGGTATGCTCAGTATTGATTATCTAAAAACACATTGGTGACATGGTTTACAATTCCTTCATTTTAATTATTCTTTACTTTTGTTCAGGACCTCCAAAATAATGTTTATATTTCCGCTTTGAGTGGAATGTAAATTATTAATCAGGTACTAAGGGCCTTGTCCACACGAGCGTGATTCGAGGAACTAATTCGACAAAGTGCTCCGTTTCCCGAAACTTGTTCTTTAAAACGAGGGATGCTGTCCACACGCATTCGCCCGAACTGGAACCGGAACTTCATGTTTTTGATAGCGGAAATTTGGAAGGTTATGCGAGGAAACCGTCCTTTTTATAAAAATACAACTTCAATAAAACTGTACAATTATTGCAAAATGATAGATTACTTGGGCCGCAAGAGTAGCAAAAACAAATGTCAAGACATAAAGGACGTAAACAGCAAAAATGAACAAATGCACAACAAAAAAAAAAATAGACGCTCGGAGTTGAGGGGATGTTCCAGGGTTTGGAGGAATAAGTTTTAGCTCGGCTATAACTTGTTTCAGGAACAAGTTCGCAGAACTATGTTCCGCGGACCGCACTCGTGTGAACAGGGCTTCATGTAGCAGAACTGCACCTATTCTTATATGTAATTTAAGACATTCTGGCTTTGAGGTTTAAATGAAGAAAATATGGAGCTTCAAATCAATTACTTATAAGAAAGTTAACTTGACATTTTTGTACATCATTCATAGATGAACCATTTCTATTTTTTTTCAACATCCAACTTGAAAGTGAGACCATAGTTGCCGATTACAAAATAATTTTGCGACAGAAATTTTTAAGGAAGGAGTTAGAAACCGCAATTCATAAAAAGCACTCAAATAGAGAATAAGAAATGAAAAAATACTGACAAAACTCACCAGACTTGGCAAAAAGACCAAATACAAGACTGAGAGTGAAGAACAGTCGAGCATAACGTCTTGAGTACTTATTTAGAAAAGGTGTTGTAAAGCGAGAGCAAATATCTGCAATTGCAAGGACAGACATGAAAACGGCAGTTTCATCAATATTATAGCTCATCTGCTGAAGGACTGAGGGAAACATGAGGGAAAAATTCATTTCCCCGACGAATGCTAAAGACAGTCCTACGATGATACTGACATAGCCAAAATCTTTGAACAGTTGGAAGTTAAACAGGTCAATCAGTCGACGTCTGGACTTGGTTGTCTCTGATGCTTCTGCTTTTTTCTGTTGTTCATCTCTGAAAAATGATTCATAGCATTATACGGTTAGTAAAATTTAATTAATTTCATCACCAGTGTAAAGATAGAGCAAAAACATTTTATCATGCCATGGGATAATTTTGGCAGTTTGACAAAATTACATCATATTATGCACACAAAAAAAAGAAAAAAGAGAAAAGGAACAAAAGCGGTACTCTCCTTCTTCAATTGTGTAAGTTTTTGGTAGGTGTAGGTATGTTGCTCAAACAACTTCTAAAAAAATTGTGGACACATTAAATAAAGAACATTGTAAAGCTGTTACAATAAGTGTTAACATGATGGAGTCAGAGAACATTATTGTAATGAAGAATGTGTTGCACACAATATAATAAAGCCAACTAAGGCGACTCTAAGAGAGTAAAATTACACATAAATCACTCTAAGCACAACAGTAATGCCTGAAACCAACTCCAAAATGCACGATTTGAGCAGTCTGTATCATACTATTTCAATAACCTCGACCACAAGAAGTTACTTCTTTATCATCAGCAATCAGATCTGTCCAGTCAGAGAGTTAAGAAAACCTAATCTAACACTAAATAAACAAACAGCCTAGCAATTTGTTTTTTACGAATGATTTTGAGCATTATCCGGTGTTTTTTTTCACCTTGTATCTAGCAAAAAAAAAAAAAAAGAGCGGTAGCAGAACAAATGTGATTAACCGCAGCAAGAAAATTTCCTGAAGTCCCGAAAAATTTGAAAATGCATTCAACTTCGCTCCTGGTTATCCCAAGGGTTAAAACTCAGCGGAACAATGGAAGTTAGAAAGTAAAACAAGTGTGTCAAATAAGATCATAAGATACGGTTCAAATTCTTTCTAGGGAAGTGGTCAAAATGGGGCCTTTTTACAACTACCTCTTTTTTTCTTTGCTTTTACAAGCAAGAACCAGATCAACACTAATTACTTCTTACAGCTACATTAAAATTGAATGGTTAAAATTTTAGTGCCAGAGGGAAGAGATATTCCCGTAATTTTGCGCGAGAAAGTAGAGAAGTTAAACCACTCACTGGTCTCTGAGCTTTTCCAAGAGTTGTTTTCCTTCCTCCGGATCTGAATCTTTTTTGTCTCCTGATCTTTGGTCCTCCTTCTTTTTACTCTTTCCGTCTTCATTCTCATCATCTGATGAGGATGAACTACTTGCAGCACTTTTTGATTTCTTGCATGATCCATTGCTTTCCGCATCATCTTCAGGTTTAGTATCTAAACAAGAACTATTTTCGTTCAAATTAAAATTGAAAAGACAAAGACTGTTTGACAGAATAACACCCCGTTTTTAAGACCTTAGGCAGAGTTTTTCAAGATCATAAACTCCCTATATCGAATTTTGGTACGCATTCCTTAACGCATGACATGTCTTTTTTCAAGCGTGGAAGAAATAGTGTCTGACAGTATTATCATATTGAAAACTTAAAATTTTCAAGCTTACCAGCATATGAAGGTATGAGGTTGCAAAATGGAATATCGAGAAGGTAGCCGCTAGCGCCCCCTTATGATTTTGATGAAATTTTGGAGGAAGGTAGTACTTTGGTAGAAAAAAAAGAGGTACAAGCTTTCCCACTTCTTAGTCTCAGAAAAACCAAGGTGACTTTTTAAAAATCGCAAATTTTCAGCGATTGTATAGTTTGTTTTGACAAAGCAACTAATGTGCTTCTTCTGTTATTGTAGAGCACAGACTGGGTGGACTACGCCACTTGCTTGTGATCAGAACGTACCTCCATGATAGTGGGTTTGAATTCCCTTTCAGAGGCAAACATCTTCAATAATGAATTTGCGTTGGGGAGAGAAATGAAAAAATAAACCGAGTGTTTCAATAAAATCAACTTTCTAAGCATTAATTTCAGATTCAATATTTCCTTTTCATGCAACAGAGCGGAACTTCTCTGGAACGGAAAATTCAACGTCTTACAATAAGAAGAGGAAAGAAAGAGACTATAATTAACCTTTGTATGAACAGAGAAGAAGAAATAGAGTGGCAGTGCTGGGAATAACAGTCCAACTAATTCAAAGTATAAATTAGGTTCACTCAAGGATTTGACAATTGATTTGAAAAATTTGCTATGACTCACCCGCTCCATTTTTAAGCAATGATGTTTCTCCATTCATTTCTTTCAAAGGTATTTCTTCCTTGATAGGTGTTGTATTAGCTTTGATAATTGGAGCCTTCGAGTAGACTGAGCATAAAACAAAAGTCAGTTAAAATCAGAGCGTGTCAAAGGGTAAAAATAAAGGGAAAAAATGTCTGCAAGATGCAACCAGAATGAAGGATTTGCTTCTTATTTTCCATCGTATCTTAGTTAGGATTAAGTCTTGTATAGAAATCATTTTTCCTTGTTCTAGTAAACTTTAAGAGAGCCTTCTGCTGCAGAAGAAAAAAATTCAATAGGATATACATCTTTATAAAATAGGAATAAAATAGAATCACTTCATGAAATAAATGTAAAGAAGAAAATGTTGTCTGATTCGTTTGGATAATTTTTCTACAGGGTGTTACAGGATTTAGCAGCAAAACTGCAACAGTCTATTTTATTTGTAAAAATAGGACTTCTATTTTGTAGAAAAAGTTTTGCAGTCAGAGCTTCTCCCCATCCCTATTTAGGAGAATTATAGTTGTTTCCTAAATTTTGATGATAATAAAGGACCAAAGCTTGAGGAACCTTGAACCCTTGAGAAATATGGCTGCCCATCATAATTTTCTGACTTGAACTTTTTTAGTGTATCAAAAATGTTGAAATTCCGAGTAGAAGGGGGATTTTCAGGGTAAGAAAATCGATTACGCTTGAAAGCACTGTTGGTAAAGTACGTGCTGGGTTTCTACAGGGGGAGGCCGCGTCAGGTTGATGGTTCAGCGAGTGCTTCCACCTGTGGTTAGAAGAAAAATACCTAGAACTAAAGATGGCCAATGAGTCTGAAACTAGTTAACCAAAGCTCCCTTGGACAATCGGTAAAACATCTTTCACGGTTTTCGAAGAGACTGATATGAACGACCAACAATCCATTCTCAGTTGAATTTGACTAAAAGAGCTAAAATTCTATACCTATCTCAGATAAAACTTAAAGAGGGCTGTAACCTAAAGAATAAGAGAGGGTGAAAAGTAAAAGCTTTTTCTGGCACAAAATATTACGACATACAGCAAACCTTTGCAATCTTTAAAAATAAATTATGTAAAATAGTTTACACAATCTTTAAAAACAAATTATGTAAAATAGTTTACACAATCTTTAAAAGCAAATTATGTAAAATAGTTTACACAATCTTAAAAAACAAATTATGTAAAATAGTTTACACAACTTACTAATAAGACAAGGCAGAGGATGCATTGAAAACACTGATACGGAGTTGGTCCCGAAAAGCATGAAGTAGGAGGAACACTTTGGTATCAGGGAAAAACTATTATAATAACTTACCATTCGTTCTGCGGTGCCATTTGACAGGTTGGAGCAAGAGGGCACCAACAAAAGAGTGAAGTGAAAGAGCAGCAATTATCAAACCAGCGTACTTCGCACTGCCATAACTAGTCATTAGATACTTCACAAAGAGTGGCATTATGATGGGGCCGACACCAGTTGCTGTCATTGCAATACCTGTCGCCATCCCTCGTCTTCTGACAAAGTATGTATTTAAAGCTAGGGTGTATGATGCCATGACCAAATTAGCACCAACAGCTGGAAAACAAGAGTCAATTGGAGAAAATTAGTGCTCATCCACATTATTGGTTCATTAATTTCAAGCGAAGTGAACAAGAAAAAAAATGATTGAGTGACAATTTAGAGGACTAAGTCTTGAAGAAACCTGACAAAGCATGTTCCCATACAACTGAGTGCATGCAAAGACTAGAGACAAATTAAAGGAGGGAGGGAAGGGGGGGGGACCACAAAGGTCACTTTCTACTGACTTTACTGGGTCAGTGGCACTTATTTTTTTTAATTCATTTTCTGAAAACACGGAGTGAGCAGTGTGAGCATTGTGGGATTTTTCAGATTTTTTTTAACACTAAATGGCAAAGAAAATTCCTTTTGAAAATGCCAGAAATGGGATCCGTTTGAAATGATATTCCTGGCGGGCCCTGATGACGTAGCCGGGGCGAGGGGGGGGGGACAACAACGTTTTCTGATAGGCTAAACGCAGCTTCAGGCATTACTTTGCTACGTCTACTTGACTGTTGGTTTTTGATGAGCTTTTACTCTTCATAAAAATGCTCCTTTCAACTTTTAATTGAACTTTTTGGTTTTTTCACCAAATTTTAAGTTAGTAAAACTATACTATAACCCTGGAAAAATTCCTTGCCACTGCCTCATTGCAGTAGAGTAGCAAATACCAGATTTTTATTGGATAACATACATTGATGTTAAAGTAATGACACTCATAGAAGATGGTGAGTAAGTAACACCAGTTACACCACTCATGTTTTCTTGTGGCTGTCTTTTGCGGGCATTAATCATCAAATCCTGCATCAAGGAACATATCTTGTCTGTGCTGTCTCAGTATTTCAACATACATTTTATTTTTTCACAAGAGAAACATCGCAGAAATTTGTGTCTTAGGGTAACGAAATCACTGGAAATTTCAGGTAAATTTGAACAACAGTTCTTCCATAGAAAAAATAAAGTCAATAAGAAATACAAAACAGCGCAATTGAGATAAGTTCCTTTGTGTGGAAGACATCAAAATAGAGTTTGAAATTCTCATATTTGGAATTTCTTTCCAACTTTTTCCGTTTCTTCACTGAGGTGTGAGAATAACATAAGTTTAACAATTATTAAAAAATGTGTCTCCACAGTAAACAACTCTAATTTTTCTTTCTCATGGGAATTGTTTAAAAATAAACTTCATTTTATCCATGTTTACTGGTGGCAAGTTTTATCATATACTGACAGTTATGACATATTTTGTGAAATAGTGCGAGGAACTAAAATCAGACTAACACTCTCTTACTGAATGGCAAAAGTAACAAAATAGATACTTACAAACCAAGCAACTGTAGAAAATTAAAAACTCTACAAACGAAGTTGAGCGACTTGTCATCAGATTTCCGATGAACATTAGAGAAGCACCCGTGATAGCTACTTTACGATAGCTAAATGTACCTAAAATAGGCCCATTGAGTAAACCTGTAAGAAAGGATTGAAAATACAACTGTCAATCTTTCTATATACTCAGCATTTTATTTGTCTACCTACTAATATCAGACCGAAGCTTAGTTATGCAAATCTTGTGTCATCAATTTTCAAAATTTAAGAATCATTAAAAATTGTTTCCTTTCAGCACTTGATGCCTTCATAAAAAATTACTTCATTAATGGCTGATGTGATATTGACATAAATTTTGGAAAGTTTACTTATGAGGCGTACTTATTATAAGAAGAAAAAAAAACAGGGGAAAAGGTTAAGTTTCTGAATAAATATATAAACTTTTCAGACTGATTTGCTCATTTTAAAAGTAAAATACAACAATGGCTGTCCTATAAGTACTGGGACTGGAGCTGTAAGCTCAAACCAAGTTATAGAGGGTTTTGATCCTGATTTCATTTAAGATATCCACTGATTAGCTTTTGATATAAATTAAGATCATATGAATTGATAAAAAAAATGGACCAAGTTGCAGTTATATATGTGTGGCACATGAATAAGCTGATACCTATTAGATAATTCATACAACAAAGAAGAAAATAGATTAAAGTTCAAACCTAGAAACATTCCAAACGCAGCATTAACACTGACAACTACACTCATTTCAGATTCAAAGCCATTGTCCTTAAAAACATCGTGATAGAGAAGAGAAAATATTTGAAAACCAGGAATAATAATCATCTGAAAATAAGAGAGATAAAATTAAAATCCATCGATTGAGGCAAGAGAATACACTTTGTCAAGATAGGCCTCTTACAGTTACTGCAGAGGGAAAGTTACTAAAGGAACCAAGCAGCATACTCTACCTCTAAAATGCTTACAGTATTTTTTAAATTTAGGTATTAATTAATTTTTATTTAAATTACGAACATGTCCTAATACAGTTACCTGACTACAATTTTTTCTTTTCCAGATTTTTTTTTGGTAAATTTTAGGCACTATTTTTTAAAGTCCTTTTGGCATCATTAATGGAGACAAAATTTAACGTTATTGCAACTGAAGTATTCGGTCAATTTCAGGCACGGCTAGATATTTTTAAAGGATTTATTGTGAACCTTTGACAGTTTATACTTACATTATTTACAGCATAAGCCAAGCAAACAATCCAGCCCCAGCCACCTTCAGGGGCTGCATGCTTTTCTTCTTCGTCTCTTGTGTCCATTTTAAAAGAGCTGTGTACTATCGCCCTAAAAAATAAAATGGTACATATTACAAGGGAAATAAAACACTCAGTAAACGGAATAATGAGAAGCGTACTGAGCTAAAGTCTATTAGAATGCTGCAAAAATTAAGATAAGGACAGAAATAAATTAAAAAACATGATAGTAAGCCGATGTTGAATACAAGGCAAATGACTAGAAAAAGGAGAAGAGAGAAGGGATCACACTAAATCTAAACCAAAAACGATTCTACAAGTAAATATGTGACAGAATCGAACATGGGAAAAGAGATACACAGAATGTGCTTCAGTCATGTCGGGTGCATTTATTAATTCGTAAACTGAAGAAAATTGATTTCAACTCTAAGAAACCGTCAGTTGTCCTTCTAAAATTGAATCGACTCTATATACTTAGAGGTATCACCAGACAAGTTGGCGTTTGTTTACTTTCGGTTCGCGAGCGCAGACGACGAATTTGGGCCTACGCACAGACTATTATTCACTACTATCCACTTTAAAAACATCCATCTCATGATCATATATCATAAAAAAACTACTTATCAGTTATGATCTGCAACTTTTATGCGGTTGTGATTTCTAGGTGGCTTAAAATTCAAATGTTACAAGATTTGAAAGTATTAGAAGACCTATCTAAGCTCATGTTCTTGCTTCTGCAGGAGTCGGGTGTTTCTATGTGGATAGTAGTGATGTGAAAACGCTTGCAAACCAAACATAAACAAATACCCACTCATCTGACGACATCTCTAATGCTTTAGAGAGCAACAAAAAAGATTCTGTGTTCATTTTGGGCATCAAAGCTAAATGCAAATTTGAGAAGACAGTTCTATCTTGATCTTGAAGTGGCCGAACTTATTTGTAATGAGGTGTAATCCGAACTATTCCGTGGCTCCATCGCAATGCAGGCGTAAATGATAATACATAGTCAATGTAGATACCTTTCACTTTAACTAGGTCCGATTAAATTTTCAATGACTATAAATGAGGAGGGCATAAATAAGTTTACATAAGAATTTGAAGAGTGATTAAAGGCAACAAGGTAAAAATATGAAACCTATACTTGTAAGGTATGGAAGGCTGAGTATTGCTGAAAAGTGCAAGTACATGCTGAAGGAAAATTTCTGAAAACAGGAGTTGAAGATTAGAGAAGTTGAATGAAAAATGAAATGACATAAGCTAATTATTGCAAACATACTTACTGACAGATAAAGAGGTAATGATAAGTTGTAGGTTACAGGACATTGAACCTAACCTAAGGTTGGCACCAAGTCTGTCATGATCGGTTCACATGATAAGAAAGTAGAGACACAAAATTAAAAAGTAGCGAAGGATAACAAATTTATCCGTGACAGTCCAGAAATAGTAAAATGTGTTGAATCTGTGAGGAGGAGAAATAGGGGTTGTGACAAAATCCAAAACTGAGATGAACTGATCGGGAAAAGTTCGCCCTCTGATTCAACGACCACGACACCGACAGAATTCAAGCACAACTGAACCACAATTTCTATAGTATTTACGACAAACTTGAAGAAATTTCACTTTACGTAACTCTGCCCCTCACAATGAAACATAATTCGCGATAAGATCACAAAAAGTAATCTGAAAAACTTGGAATATCATTACGCGGTCCGGCCTCCGGCGCCTCGTAACAGCTAACAGCATACAGCAACAGCCCAAATCGGCATCGGCCCAGACTTGTGCCGATCCTACGTCACTGTCACCCCAAAACAAGAAAATTTGAACCAAGGCTGCGTCATAGATTCTTTGTCTCAAGCGGCAAATTTTAAACTATCCAATCCTAGTAAAGCTGAAAGTGCCTTTTGCTTTTTTATTGGTCGGAAGGAAAAATGTAAACAATCACAAGCAAGTGCATTGCAGTGGCAGTGGTTGCAGCTGCAGTCATGTTGTTTTCTGGTCTCTCCCATTCTATCGAAATAAGTCAATTCGGCAAATTTTTCAAAATGTGAATGAATCGTGATTGAAGCTGTATGTGAATCTTTCACCCAAGTGTCATCTATTTGGTTTTTAATCATCCGTTGGACTTTTTTAGACATTCGGAATGAATTTATGCCCCCTTGAAAATATATGTCGCCTTTGCGCTAATTCTGCAAAGATGTTGATAGGAGTCTTTTCGCCCGAGGGCGAGAAGAAACATCTTGAAAGGAAGATTCGAATGTGTTTAATGATCACTGTAAGTTTTTTTTTCATTTCACTTTATCTAATTTTATCAAGAAGTAAGCCTCTCTTATAGGGGCAGGGAGAGAATCAACGCATTGAATGACCATGACCTTTATATTGGCCGTCGCTCTGCACGTGATTGGCCTTCCTCTATCCACGGCATGGACGGCATGGAATGCAGTGGACCAGGATTACTGTGGTGTAAATCGGTTGAAGAGCGGTCCAAGTCAATAAAAATTTAATTTGAGGGATGTTTTACCTCGGTAAGAAAGCTGGGAGACATCTGAGTTGCTCGAAGTTAGGATCGCACGGAACTGGTCTATGAACACTGCAAGACGCATTCACTAGGCGTACTGAGCTGCTCATCAGGCTTTCTGAGAGGCAGTTTACGAGCTCTCCATCAAACGTGGTCCATAGTGAGGATAGAGAGAGCTTCGGTGGAAGGCTTGTCCAGTGGTTGACAGCGGCCCGTTAAGGTGTACGTCAGGCGGCCTGACAAGCAGCTTGGCATGCTGTGTGAACTCACCTTGAGAAGAGTGATCCATGCCGTCCACCATATTCCAGCGGATTGATTTGACTAAGGTTGGGGACAAGGATAAAGAAGTTTTGTGTTTCATAGTGATCCTCTGCGGTTTGAACGAAAGAGGGAGCACATAAGAACAGTAAACAAGTCAACCCACCTGCAATTGCATGAGCTATAGGGCCCCACTATGCTCATTTAATTATAATTTTGATGCTTAGGGTGTCTAATAAGCACAGCACCAGACTTTGCCCTAAGTTATTTTGCGACGGATGAAGTCGAAGACTGCAGGTCATGTAGAGCATTGTCCCTAATAAATCTAATTTTCACCATCCTATAGCCCCCTCGAATCTTCCTGTGGGTTCATAGGAGGGCTCTGTCTTTGAAAATTGGGGTCTCCTACAATTTTGAAATTATTTCCTCAACATCAGGAAGTATGAAAAATGTCGACCTAACTTTTAATGCCGATAAGGCCAAAACAGGCCCATTTAGATTAGATTAGATTAGATTTATTCATTCTGAAAAAAACATAAATAATTGCAGCAATTTTCTATCCCCACCCTGAGCCTAGCTCGTTGTGGAGTAGCAACTCCTGTCCATATTATTGACCTTTGAAGCCGGGGGACAGAGCTTCCCTTGATAAAATGTCAGGTCATTGAATTGATACAGAGACCTGCAAAAAAAAGTTTTCACAAATAATCGACCCTGAAGACTCCGAATTTAATACTCCCGAAGCCCCGTAGAGTCTTTTTGATGAGGTAAAGAGCTCTAAATTTATGAAGTCTCCTGTTTTCAAACACAGGGCTGCTCTCTTCGATTTCAAGATGGTCCACGAGGCTTCTAGATGGTGATATTTGGATTCCTAGGGGGCACTTCCACCAAGCAGTCCCTGACTTCGTCCAACCTTAAAAAAATGCTAGTTTTGTTTATTCTTTATTATTGTTTAATAATAAAAATTAAAACAAAATTAGAAGATCAGGGACAACAAGCAGGTAAAAATTCCAAAACTATCATGATTCCTGATGAAAAAGAAAAAATCAACAAAATATATAATAGCCTAGGAATAAGCCTCGCACCTGTGGTCTGGGCTGGCTAACCTGGTGCATCCTTTTCTCAATATCTTTTTTGTGAATTACTTTTTTAAATATGGCCAAAAGTCAAATACATTACCTATTTCCGAGTTTAACAATGGATAGGTATCAAGATTTATCATTCTGGACGACATAATCAAAGAATTTCGGTTATTTTCCTTTTTCAGGTGTCTCCATCAGATGACATGCCAAAACAAGTCTGTTTTAAATGTGTTGAAAAATTAGACATAGCATATGATCTATATTTAATGTGTAATTCGGCACAAACTACTATTAAGCGGCTACTGAAGTTTACTCAAGAGAATTCAAAACCAGCACCAAAGGTAAGCAGGCATTTAATTTCAAAGTTATTTTTACTTGCAAACTGAGATCAAGTCATGCGTTTTGCACCCTTATCCATACTGTTTTAACAAATCTCAAAATCCATGTGTTTAAAAGCTAACAACTGCACTTCTGGGAAACATTTACAAATTGAATGCCTAGTCATCAAAGTGTCAAATGAGGGGCCTGAAGGACAAGACACGTAAGTGCAGTTTCTGCTATTTCAAAAAATACGAGATTGAAGTTTTCATGGAGCATGTGGGCGGAAAGGAAGTTCAAACTCTTTTTTTAATGCTTTGAAGTTGGATTTTAGGCGTGAATTTTTCACAGAATATACTTTCAAACTAGTTTTAGTTACTTAAGTTCATAAACATTTCAAGTTTTTCAAAAACTGCAAGTATGCGCCTTGTTCTTCAAGCTTCTCAAACGGGAGAAGAGCAGTTTTGAACTCTGCCTCCTTATTAAATCCAGCAGGTATTTAATTATGAGAAAAAGCCTGAATATCACATTTTGGAGATTATGACAATTCATGGTGATGGAGCGAAATAGTTACTCAGTTTCTCTCCCCCCCCCTTTATTTCAATAAATTATAATAAAGAATAGATTCTATTGTGCTCACTAAGCTTCTGCTTTTTTTTCAGATTTTAAGGTACTTTCCATCTTTTTTATGTTTCCTGTTTAGTTCTCTTTATTTACCTAATCTAGTCTTCTCTTTTAGTTTATCATGTAATTTTTTTTTTTTTTTTCTTACAGAGTTGCTTTATCACTGAGTGTGAAAAGACAGAGAGACAGCTAGAAAGCTACACGCCGGGTCAACCACTTCCAAACAGGGGTTGCTTTATCGAATCAGGACCTCTTAGCAGGAGACCAGTGGCACCCAGTGGCTTATCAATTTCTACTGAGGTCATCACCACACCACAGATGGTAGTCAGTAGTCCTACTACAGTGCAGCAGAACCCAGCTCATTTCCCTGCATCAGTAGTATTCACCCAGTCAAATTCTACCCAACCATCCAACCAATTTCAGTCTGTAGGACAAATTAGGCCTGCCCACCTTAACCCCACAATTGGCCAAGTTCGACCTGCCTATCAACCGCAAATGCCTGAATATCAATCTGTCGGGCAAATTAGACCCAGCCACCCTATTCCGACACCTGAGTTTCAATCTGTTGGACAAATCATACCCGCTCACTCCGCACAAGTGCCAGTATTCCAGGTGTCTGGACCAAGTAGAAGCACCTTTCATGTTCAAATGCCGGAAATTCAGTCTGTTGGACAAATCAGAAGCAATCACTCTAACCAGCCATCTGAACTTCAGTCTGTGGGGCAAATCAGATATAGTCATCCCGCTCAGATCTCTGAATTTGAGTCTATTGGGCAGATTAGAAACAGTCATCCCACTCAGATGTCTGAATTTCAGTCCGTGGGACAAATCAGGCCTGCCCATCCTATATGCACAGCAGAATTTCAGTCTGTTGGACAGATTAGACCTGCTCAACCTGCATTGACATCAACCTCCGGTCCTAATTTTTCAACGAATCAGGTTGATAGCAAATCGGATATTCTCCTGAAACAAGCAAAACAAGCTGTTGGTGAAATCAAAACTCCAACAAAAAAAGCCTCACCTGTACCAAAATTACCGCAGATTTCTAAAAATGCTAACTCTGTCGTAAATAACGTCAAAGAACCTGGAAATGTAGTTGCCTTGCAGAATTCTGTTCCAATCATTCCTGAGCCTCTAGTTGCAGTGTGTGAAACAGGGACAAAAGAATCAGTAAAAGCAGTCTCTGCAGTGCCTAGTGGACATCTTGTAGATAATTTTGATCCCCTGGGCGACATTAGTGAAATTAAGACCATCTCTCATGATTCAGGAACATCTGCCTCCAAAAGGTATTACTACTATGATTTTGAGATTATTTGATATTTTTTCTCTTAAGTGAACAGTATCATTTTTGGCTGATAGGAAGTAAAGCAGTGAGTCCGAAATAAAAATCTGTAAATGGCATTGACGAACTCTCCAATTCACCCATTTTTTTTATCAATCCAAGCTCATGAGAAGTCGCTATTCAGGGTCATGTAGGGCCCTGAGTAAAGTACCTATGTATGGTTGCCAATCACTGATGTTAATCTCCAATTCTGTGCATTTATTAGGTGCCAAGTGCTACTGGGTATTACTTAAGTTTCAGAGGATTTGTTTATTCGAAGAGGATGTGAAAGACGTTCAACTTTTTTCTCAGCAACAGTATAGATTAGTGGAACAGACGGCACAGAAAGTAAGATACCTCGAAAAAGTCTATGATAGGAGCTCTACATTTCAAAGGAAAATTGTTTTTACAGTAATTGTTGTTGAGTTAAGAATTTTTTTAGATTTTGAAGTAATACGATAACTAAGATCCGACATTTCTTTTGCAATTGCCCCTTTCATTTTCTGAAAGGATATATTAACGCCAAATTGTAATGGTCACCTCTGACTGTTCAACCTATCTAATATAGGAGGTCTCATTCCAAGTGAAGGATCACTTTTTCATGCCTTGAAAATTTAAAATTGGAAATAAAATAGCAAATCAATAGTTTCCATCAGTAGAGTATCCAAGTATCAAAAGGACTGGACACACGTTCAAAGTGAAACTCCAAAGTGGTGGCTGTTTAGTCAAGTGTTGCGCGACGATGGGTGAAAATAGAGAGGGCTGCTCCTTTTTGAAGGTAACCAATGGCAACACTTTGCTAAACAGCCACCACTTTGGAGCTTCACTTTGAACGGGTGTCCAGCTCTAAATCAAAATCACAAGTATTATCATCAGACTGTTTTGTCCTCTTTGCTCTGAACAAACTAATTTCAGTTGAGAGCCTTTCAATTTTTCCTACAAAATTTTAAATTGTGTTCGAGCTCATTTCAAAGATTTCACAGTTTCATTTCCTCTTGTTGAATTTCTCTTCCTTCTTTCTTTCTTTGACTTAGTGTGATGTGAGTGTTAATAATGCTACTTTCAATGAAACCTCTGTGACAAAAATGTCTTCTTTTTTTTGTTTCTCTTCCAGGCCGAAACACTCCAATGTAGAGGTTGCGTGTAAATATTGTGGGAAATTGTTCTCGGAAAATGTTATCACTCTTCATCAAAACCTTCATCTACGGGTGAAGTTTTTCACTTGTGTATCCTGTGATAAGAACTTCACAACAGAAGCAGGCTTAAATAGGCACAAATGTGAAAGCGTGGAACCCGGCACATAGGCTTTAATAAAAAATGTGAGTATCCTTGCCATCTGGGGAGTAGGAGAAGTAGCGCTAGTCGTAAGCCCTCGCACACCTATTACCAGGCCAGCAGCTTGATTGTTGAAACTTCAACTGGCTATATCAGTAAGATAATACAAGACATAGCCCTGTGTTTATCGATTTTAGATGCTTGTCGTGCCAACATACATTCAACCATCAAGCTGCAGGCCTCTTGTCAGCTGTGTGTTCACACTTTGAGAGGCAACAGCCTTGCCCTTTATACATGGGGCCTGTACTTTAGATTGCTTTTAGACCGGCAACATCAGGGGATCTTTTCAAGATGAAAAATCAGAAGACGTTGTCACTTCTCCCACTTGACTTGATAAGCATTTCTAAAAGTGCTCCAGAGTTTTTTTTTACACTCTCTACTTTTATTTTCTTCACAGTTCTGCTTATAGAGCAACATTTTTTTGCTGAAGAGGGGTTGCTGCTATACCCTTCCCATTGGTGTGCACACATAGAGGTCAATAGACCTCTAGACATGGTGCGAATTTAAGCAGTATGATTGATGTTCTCTAACCAAAATTTCAAGTAGAACTTGATTTGTGAAATATAAATTAAGTACTGAGGTTAACTCCCAACTAAGATATTTAACGGTTTTTGATAGGTAAATTCAAACCTCCCACTCATGAAAATACACATGTCCACAGGAGTCAAATTGTTGATTAGGGAACATGTTTTAGAACGCTTAAATCTAGTGGCCCACTGTTCATCTGGATGATGGTGGTTCTTACTGATTTCTCTGGTAAATTGGTATGCTCTTTTCTGTTGAGAAGGCAAAAAATGTTATTGGTGGTGAGAAGAAGGAGGACGTATTTGTGCCCTGTGAGAGCCTGTAGCACCTCTTTAAAAGATGACTGTAAGAATTTCAGTGATAATTTCAATAATTTTTTTTCCTCAAGCTCGGCAAATATTTTCTCAAAATTAAACATGATGTAGTTCATAAATGACGTTTAAAAAAGAGTGAAAGCAATCTGTGTTATCCATGAAGTAACTCAAGTCCATTTAGCAACCTGCTAATTTGTAACCTAAAAATTAGAATGTTGGATGAATGGTTTTTTAAGCTATTAGCGATGAGCAACAAACAGCGTTGTTTTATTATGTGTGAGGCTATGCCATTCAAAGGATGTCTTTTTGTAAAATCAATTTTTCTCCTTTACTCTTTGCAGAATGAATGCTGAACAAAGCTTGCCTACTGCACACAGGCAGTTTATTCATGTGATAAAAATTCAAGATGATAATCTCCGATGATTTTTCTGTATAATGTAATAGTGGAAGATTGGTCACTGAAGAGGTACTTACTCAATTTTTTTTTTTTAACATGTTTAATTTTACACCTATCAGATGTATTACAATGGGCCCGTTGCAAAATTTTGCCAGACAAAAAATAAAAGTTGTTCCTTGTAGATAATGTCTCAAAAATCACGATGAGCGCATCAGCAAACTCTGAATAGTACTCCTAGCTTCACAATCTGCTTAAGAAATTTGCGTTTTTTAAGCTACCCGCTTCAAAAAGGATACTACAGTACGGGTAAACATTTCTTTAGAGGAATTGTTCCATTCAATCCCTGCTCAACATGGCCAACACTTCCGCATGCAAGTTAAGGAGAGCATGAGCTCAATCAAGGCGGATATCTATCAACGCAAGAAAAATGAGAATGTAAACACGCCGATTGTTATCAGGTGGTTAGAATCATCGTCCCATGTTTTTAGGCGGGTTGGCGTCTGCCATGTTGAATATTGCGTGGTATCTTTGCGAGCAGGGGTTGGATGGAATGACTCCTCTAACGAAATGTCCACCTGTGCCCTGGTATCGTTTTGAAGCAGGAAGCTCCAAAAATTGCAAATTTCTTACGGAAATTGTGAAGTAAGGAGTGCATTTCAGACTTTGCTGATGCGCTCATCTTGATTTTTGAGACATTTTCTATGAGCAAAAACTCTTATTTTTGGTCTAGCAAAAGTTTGCAACAGGCCCATTGTATCAGCATGCTGTGGGAAATTGATTCCCTAGGAGGGGTTAAAATTCTGAATTTATTTTTTCCCCTTCACATACCTTAGGGCTGTTCAAGTCTTCAAGCGAAGCAAATGATTTCAAAGTCATGCCCCAAAGGAATTTCCCCATATCTGGCGGTCCCAATTAAGTACCTCAAAAATTTTAGCCTCTCACAGCTCATACGTATCTACTCATATCATCTTTCTTCTTGCCTCTTTTTTTAAAGGAAATATTACATTGATTTAAATGGGGAAGAACTTGCTTTTCACAATAAATACTTTTTTTTTCATATAATGTGGCATAAACGGCCACTTTTAAAAAACCTTGACTATTTTCACTGTAAAGCATCAGATTGCAATTCAGCATTTCCTGAACCCCGGGCACAGGTTTTAACGAAGAGGCTGAAATTCTTACTCCCATAGAACCCTGAAACACAGGAAAATGCCTTTGGAATATGACTGAAAACTTTTGATTTCTTCGAGCAATCCTAATACACATACAGAATACCTCATAACAAATACATTGGTGACTAAAACTTAAAATCGTCAAAAATGGAATATGATCCCTGTAACACAGTGCTTATCAATTGCACTGTAAAAATACTAATAGACTCTTTTTTTTGTTGTTTGAGCATTATAATCAGCATAATAGGAAAATATTAGCAAAAGTATTTAAACTCTATGGTGACCGTTTAACCTCATTTACATTTTACAGTGCCAATTTTCTCTCTCTTTTTTTCCAAAATCATACCATTTTTCAACCAAAGAGGCCCCATTTTTTGGAAAATGGTAGGATTTTTTAATGATTCCAGCTTGATTAGAAAAAGATTGGGGTACCACTTGAGATAAGGTATTTTTCTTCTTCTTTTGTTAAAATTGTGAGTTTATTCAGAGGTCAAACGACTTCAAAATGTATTTTTAACTGTTCAAGTGCTCTTGTCAGTATTTTACACTATCAGTGTATTCCCATGTTTTTTCTAATTGAATCAAATACTTGTTTGTACCTGTTGCTGTATCTTATTGGTTGTATTTAGTGGTAGAGTCTGGATAGAACCACTCATAATGTAATTTTCCGCTTTTCATATCTTCCAAACCAACAGTCAATAAAAAATTACTATTAGGTATGCTCCTAGCATTATCATGTATGATGTATCTTTTTCTTGCTCAGAAAAAAATTAAAATCAAATTTAAAAAATTTACCAAAAAGCACCAGATGCCCGTTGGATCTATTGCAAGCTTCTGTTAGAGCAAAAAGAGGAGTTGTTTCATAAGAAATATGATTTTTTGATAAAAAATATCGAACCGCAATATCAAATTAAGGGTGGAAAAATGAGGATTAAAAGAAATTCTCCACCTCTGCCTCTAAGGCCTGGCTTCTAAGGGAAAAATTAGGCACCTGTGAACTGAGAGGAGGGAATATTGCAACTATGTAGTAGTAGGAAACGAGTTTTCTAGTGGATCACTGGGCTGATTTTCAAAACTTTAGAGCTAGCTTTTAAGCTGAGATTTTTTCTGGCGTGACACTTGTTGTGTTTGTAATTTACCCCTAGTAGTTTGGATGATATGAAATAGGAAAACTTATTTTTTGGATTAAGTTTGTTTTCTGACGAATAGGAGTCGTTAATGCTTATCCTATTTCAAAACTCAATCCATTAGGATTGATGAACAACTTTCTAGATTTTTGTGAAAATTTTAAGGATTGGTGCTTCTCTTAATTTTAAGTTCTGTAGGAAATCTCAAAACAAAACTCGTTTCTCGGAAATTTTGCAAAACACTTGAATTTGATTCGCAAGTGTTCAGTATTGAGTAATAGATCTGAACTATCTATTTCTGTATTTTAACCAAAAGATGTTCTGCTCAACCTATATTTTTTTAGACATGCTCGTGAGATTCCTGAAAGAACTGTCCGTAATTTACGTAACAGGATTCTCGGATTTTTTTACATCGACCGCCCCCTTGTAACACAATCGTAATGTTGGTCCAGACACGTCTAAAATAATTACGTAATATTTGCCGCTCACCCCCTCTCCTTCCTTTCACTTGAAAAAAAACTTGAAAGAAACAAGAGAGAGTAAGATAAAAGGAATTAACATATAACATTGAAAAAGAAACAAAAATTGGAATCCATTACATATTGTTACCTAACGCTGAGCTTGACACCTTCCCTCCCCTTGTCATGCTCGGTCACAAAATTATGAAGAATCACCCACCCCCTGAGTGTTACTTAATTTATGTACAGCCTGGTACAGCCCCATCTTCATTTCTCCTGTATTCAGAAAAATTAGTAATTTTGTACTTCAGGAGTTTTAGTCTCTGAATCTTTTTCTGATCTCTGATATGTACTGAATAATTCAAGCTGAATGAATTTTAAATAGGTAGTCATTATATTTTGTTGATTTCGTATCATAGCATGAAAAGATATTCCTCCATTGAGTTATTTGTTTCTCTTCACTCTTGGGAGTGTTTGAACAAATCTGATCTGTGGCAACAGATACTAATTTTCCAACATCAACTTTTGCCGAAATACTGGAAATCAAATCAAATGAAATAGTATCATTCTTTCACCCTTTCAATTTGTACATTCACACACACACCCTCTCACCAACACACATTCATTTATATACACATGAAGAAATAAAACTCTAATTATTTACAGCAAACCAATTTTTATGGCTAAAATATAGAAGCAAAAGGAAATTTGCTGAGACATCCACATTTTTACAATTATTTTTTTATGAATGATCTGTCAAAATCTTATCTGTTACTAGTTCTATCTTTTGTTATTATTTTCCTAGATTTTTATCATTTGTATTCAGAATTTGGAGGTACAATACTGATCATCGTACTTAATCATTATTCTGCCTCCAGTTTTTACATGAAAAGGTATTTGCACAGGTTTAAAGCCTCTGTTCCCTAATTTTAATTATTTTATAACACACCGAGTACTGACGCCATGCCAGTTTCACTGCGTTCCAGTCACTCTGCTGCTGAACGGACTCCCAACTTCTGAGTTAAAAGTCAGAACCAGATCACTATCAACTCCTGCAGACATTAAAAATTTATCCCACCAGGATAAGCTACAAAAAACATCTGACCTGTCGTAACTTTTTCAATTTTGAAGTTAATATGTTCTGTTCTGCCTTGAAAAATGAGAAGTTGTATTACAGTTGTTTACATTGAAAGTTTTCATCACAGTTCTTGTCTCACAGCTCTTGATCTCATGATTTGATCAAGCAAAAATTTAGACCTTAATTTTTATTTTTATCCAACAGATCATACCCGGGCCCCAAGCACAATATTTTTGAAAATGTGTACTTAAAAGACAAAAGAAAATGTTAAGATCAATGAAAGGAGCAGAGAGGAGGTAGAGAATATAGTTTTAGGATGAGTGGCTAAAATCGAACCACCACATCCATATCTCTACCAAAAGGTATATATAAAAGCTCCAATTTCAGCTTATTTCCCTTTAAGTTGAATTCATGAAACGATTTTCTTTTCGAAGTTATACGAGAGTTTCGAAGTTTTTTCATACCATTATGCATGAAGTCATCTGACGTTTATTTATTCGTTCTTTCTGACAACCTGAGTCAAAAAGTAATTAGACGAGAAATTCTCACATGGCTACTGCAGTTTTATCGCATTGTTCTTCTCAGTGAAACAACATTAAGGTTGTTCCTCATGCAGGGTATAGATCGTTTCAGTTGCTTAGTTGTGTTTGCCAAAATTGTCACTAGAGGCAGTATTTACCCTGTAGCAGGAACATGGAAATGTGTTACAAGGTTGACTACAAATCTTGGATCCTTCTACTTAACATAATTATTATTTTCTTCAGTTTTAGCTCTATACAGTGTTACATTTTGTACTTTTCTATGGTTAGAGTATGCCATTTTCTTTGATTTGCTCATATCTAAGAGTTATTTAAATTTTTGATAATATACTCAATGTTCAAAAAAATATTTTGAAGTGACAATCGTATTCTCTTTCATCTTTTTACGGAATTTCAAGAGGTATTGTCCGTAAAAATAATTTTACCTTTTATAGCCTCAACAAGGCTCACTCAACTTTCCTTTTTCTCCGGGTGGGGTCGGTGTTGGTTAAAAAAATCCGTAATTCAGCATATTACATGATTTATGAATAGCCCTTTTGTGTATTATGCAACAAATTGATGATTTCAATCAGGGGAAAACGGGCGTCTCCATTAAAGTGATATGAAGATGCTCCCTGTTGAGAGAAAATAACATATACAATTCTTTGATTATGTTTATTTTTCCTCCTTTCCAGGTTTAATTCTTTGATTCTTTACAAAACTTTGATGTACTTTATGTGTCAAGATGCAATACAAAGATTAACATTGAATAAACTACAAGAGGAGAGATTTTCTACAAATCTTACACTAGCATAGAACAAGTCTTTTATCAGAGAATCAATGTGCAATGAATCCATCAGATCTGACGCAGATGTGGACTTCTTCATCATTATAATCAGTTTATAAATTAAGGTACCTGAGAGGGACTTTGATAACAACGGTTGTGGGTAAGGGAAATTGAGAACAGCATTTAAAGTTGTGACAAATTGGAAAACAGATTGAAGTTCTGCATAGTAATGAGTGATATGTCTGTCAATCATGTTTTGTGAAGCTTCAGAACTAAGGATTTGTTTAAAACTTTCAAAAGCATTAGATTGAAGGTGTGGAGCATTATGAGTTTCTTGCCAAAGCTGTTTGAGCGATGTTATTGCATTACTTTCACTAGGTGAGTGAACTGAGTAATTTTGATCCAAATTGACCTTCCCCTTTGGTTCAATTTTATTGGCTTCTTGTGCTCGAACATTATTATAGTGGTCAGAGATTTGGTATTCATCTGCCAGGTTTAACAATAAAAAGGACAAAATGTAAGCCCCAAAATAAGAAGGCTTCTGACTAACGGTTAGTCCACTATTTTTTAGCCAAAAAATGAGTATTAGAAAGAAGACAGCCCATTCAAGAGGAATATTTTCATCATCAAAATTAGGGACTTTCAAGGCATTCAGTAATATTAATTTTCGGGATTTAAGTGGTGAATTTGGTAAATTGTTTAGTAAAAGTGAGTTTGAAGGATAAAGTGGGATGAGAGTTTCTATGGCTACATCACAGCTTGCTGTAGATCTTACATAACAAGTTAGTGGGGCTGATTTTTTTCTTTTACTAGTGCCAAGTAAAATACCAGCAATGATTCTCAAAATCGGAAAACTAATAACATGTACAGAGGGTAAATCAAAAGATTCTAACTGTGTCCACAGCAAGACAGTTCTCAAATTGATTATGTTTGAGACATGCCGAGAAAATAATCCTCTTAATTCCATGTCAAGAAACCATTTTGGCAATTCTATGTATTTTCCTGAGGGAGATAAACAATTCATCAGTTCAATTGAATTACAATCTTTTGGTGTGTCTGAATCACCATCTAGGTGTAGAAAATCAAAGCGAGAACACAATTCTTTTTCACATGGAGAGCGACTGAAGCTGCAAAAAAAATCTAGGATATGACTCGATGTCAAATCTTTATGACAGTTTGTCACATGTTGCAACTGCTTCCTTACAAAACGTTTGAATTGTACAGGAACACTCTCTTCAATCTGTAACAGAAGAAATAATTTTGTATTAAACAACAAGAAATGGAAAAAGTCATCAGTGTTCTAGATGGCAACATGGCATAATTTGTTTAACTTCAATAAAAGCTATGTGGAACTTGCTTTAGAAACGTTAGCAGTTGTTTACTTCTGGCTAACGCACTTAGTAGACTTTAGCAATATTTCCTTAGAGAACCTTCGAGTGGAGTAGTGTCTGTTCTTTGAGTGGACAAGGAAAGACTTAGGAGGAATAAAGTTATATGATTGATTGGCTTTGTCATTTTTCCTCTTTAATATGCCCATGTTGGAAGAAAATGACAACAAAGTATCCGCAACTCAAAATGTGACTTCATTGATCCTCATGATTCACGGATCCTGTGAGCAGGCACATTTTGCACCCCTACTGCCATTGTGCCTGGCAGGAGGTAAACAAAAAATTGCAAGGCGGATTAAGAATGGTGGTCGCATTTCGATTTTGGCTGCCATCTTGAAGTGTTGTGATGTCAGGAGGGTACGGGTTTTGCCGCGCAATCCGAGGTTGAGCCGGTCCCCCCGGCCTCGGCCGGCCCATGTACCCGATACCGTGTGACGTCCAGAGGGTGCGAAATGTGACCACCATTCTTTATCCGCCTTGAATAAATTGTAGATAGATAGTTATGAATATGAGCAATTTAAAAAAAAATGAGTTGAGCTTGAACTTTCAGTCACCAAGGCAGTAGTTAGCTTTCAGTTGAATGGCCGGTAATTCACCAGGTACTCTCAGCGATGAGTCTCCATTGTCGATCCCAAGTGCATCTGTTGAGCCAGGACAGGAATTTAAGATCCATTTACTGTTTTATATTCCGTTGAAAGTGACAATTTTTTTTCAATCAAATAGACTGCACCACGGCTTCAGAGGTGTCAATTTAAAGTCTTAATAAGTTGGAACAAAAGCTTACCTTCACAGAAGCAGCTTCCAAAGACTCAAGTTGCCAAAACCAGGTAAATAGTATTTTCAATATTTGATCATAATCAGTTAGTTTAAAGTTTTTTTTTTCATCATTTTCCAACAAGGATAAGTACAACTTCTTGAAATGTTTGATTTCCATGTAATCCCCAAGTAGCAAAGCTAGCAATGATAAAAAAGATTTGTCAGGTAAGCCTCCATAATCTGACAGAAATGAGTCAATCAGAAATAATTTGCAGGCACCTTGAACCTTTGCTTCAGGCTTGCAGGTGACAGAAAAGTTCAGAGATGTAAATGGTATGAACTTAGCATCAGAGAAGTAATAGTCTGAATCTGAACTCAAAATAGGGCAGTTGAAATACCTTGCAACTGCGACTATGTCTGAATCTGCTTCATACCTGCTCTGGGCAAATTTGATTTTCATACTTAGCAAGACTTCTTTGAATGCTTCCATGATTAATAAGGGCAAAAATGGATCCGAGTTTTTCTCTTTGCGAAGGCGACTGATGTCTCGGGTACTATGTGATAACCTTGCTTGAATAGCATTTAATTTCCTCAGCTCATAACCTCCATCTAATATCACAAAAAGTTCAAGTTTTAGGTCCAGAAGTTTGGAGAAAAAACCACACACGCATTGTGCAAAAGTATCATAATCTCCATTATATATAAAATTGGTTTGCGATGCTTGACGATATAAGACACTTGCAATGTTGTTTCCGTCCACAACCAACTTTGATGAATGAAGTTTGATGTCATTGAAGTATGACTTCTTTTTCTTTATAAAAGCACTAAAACCTTTAAAACCCATCTGTGTAGTGTAAGTTTCAATTCACATTAATCGAAGTGATTACTTCCTTGGAAAGTTACTTGACTTGATGGACTACCAGTCAACTAATTTCACCAAAATACATAGTGACAACTTTAAGGAGTAACTGCAGCGAATTTTAAGATGAATATATGATAAATTTTCGCTGCTAGAGAGACACTTTTATTGCTGCAAACACGCTTACAAATGCAAAAAAAGTTGCGTCAGTGATAACGTGAAAACAACTGGTCAAGAAAACGTAAATATAAACATAACCTCAAATATCTTGATGGATGTTGGTGTTTCGGCACATTTTATTTTGAAATTTTGGTGAATTTGATGAGACAACGAACTGTTTATCAAAGTGAGGTTATAAAATTTACACTATTATTGTGGCAAGTGGCAAGTAGCACTCTAGCACTTGAGAATTTAATTTCAGCTTAAAGTTTATGTATCACAAACTAAAATTTTACGAATGCTCTTCCCTATCCGTCATTATAGCACATTGTATTGCACTACTGAGTGAAAATATTTATCCATAATGGTGAGTCAAAGTGTCTCCGTTTTCTCAATTTTCTCCGTCCAAACTCAAGCCAGAGGAATTAACATCTCCTTTCGCTTCTTTCTCCATGGGTAACATGAAACTCTTTTTTCCTCCAGCCCACATATAAGATGGTATACTTCAATACGGTCAGAGTTAACTGAACATTGAATTTAAACGCTTCACTGTAAGATGGTAGAAGATTCTCCTTCATGTTAAAACGCATTATTTTGGCCACAACAATTCGGAACAGCTTGTAACAGCACATTCTGTTGGATGCTCTCTACCACCTTTGTAACTCAAGACTCATTAGCTTTTAGCCAAGAGTTTGTCAGTTGTGCTTGGCACAGAATCTTCTTTTGACCGCTGACACTTACAGAGAGCTAACAGTATTAAGCCCGAAAGTCAAGTTTTACATCCACTACTAATAGAGGTACTGCAAATTGAAAAACACGGCATATGACATCATCTATGGCATGCATACCATGATAACATCTATGCATACCACAATTTGAGGGGCTTGAGAGATAAGGGGCACAAGTGCAGTTTCTTAAAATTTGAGATCAGTGTTCCCGGGTGCTCCGTGTGCGAGATCAGTACGCTCTACCGCTCTCTGTGCTGCTATTGGCTGAGCATCATTCGGTGACGTCACGCGTACGGACTAAATAAGATAGGGAAGTGTTTTCCCATAAGGTTTTGGTCCGTACGCGGTCCGTGTCAGTCTAGGGAATGTCCGCGCGGTACGGATAAGTCTGTACGCTTGGGATCACTGTTTGAGATATTAATGATTTCAAGTAAAACTAGTCTTACTGCATATTCTGTGAAGAATTCGCTCCCAAATTCCAATTTCTGAACAGTTTGAACTTTCTTACCGCCATAAGGATCCATGTAATTTCGAAATTTCAAACACGCATTTCTCGAAATAGCAAAAGCTGCACTCATGTGCCTTGTCCTATAAGCCCCTCATTTCTTTTATCTTGGTTTCTTCTTTGTTTTAATTTGAGCAACCAGCTCATTTAAGCGTGTACCACCGATCGATTTTAGCAAGATGAAAGAAACCATGTTATGTGCTACCGCGGCAGATGACATCATAAGTTTTTTCATCTGGAATATCTCTGTCATTATTGGAGGTAAAAAATTGAGGTTTAGACAGATCTCAATAGTAATAGCCATCCTATAAGCTGAAACCATCATAACATGATTCTTTGATGAGCAAAACTGAGTCATTTCAGATTAAGGTGATTCGATGGTTGGCATTTTTTGTGTCAGAGCGACGAGCGATATATCGCATCAATTCGTTCCATAATTTCAGCTACTATTCATTTTTTTCGAATTGTGAGTTCGCACTTCTGTTGTCATGACTTAATGAGACTAAAGAATTCATGTACCAAATTTGGCAATGAAATTCAATGTATTAAAGGGAGGGTTTTTTCAGAGAAAAAATATCGCATTCAAGTGCAGTTTCGATATCAGTATCAAATGGGATATTTTTCCTCCAAAAAAATCCTGCCTATATTATGTTGAATTTCTTTGTCAAATTTGGTACATGAATTTTTTAGTCTCATGACAACAGAGGTGCGATCTCAAAATTAAAAAAAAATGACAAGCAGCTGAAATTATGGAACGAATTGAAGCGATATATCGGACGTTGCCCTGACGCAAAAAATGGCAACCGTTAAATCACCTCAACTCCACAGTTCAGTTTAATTACAGTTTGTATCAATGCAGCTAAATAGATTGAAACACATATTGAGGTGAATTGCCCTCGAAGAACAAATAATTTTTATTCCATTTGTTTGTTGACAGTCTTTTGATCAGGATGAAGAGGACCAATATGGACCAACTTATAATGTTGGATCTTTCTCCAAAGATTTTGGTTATTTTGACAATGATGAAGTTGGTACCGCTAGACCTGAGCAAAAGCCAAGAATTCTACTCATGGGACTGAGAAGGTTTTATTTTCCTTCATTTTTTCAATTTTTCCTTTATTTAATTCAAAAATCATTTAGTTCAGATGTATCTGTGAAGGGGAATAAGCCTAGACCCTGATCAGAGGTTAAGTCTATTGCGAGATAATGATTAGCAGTGTTCAAATTCAACAGACTCTATGCGCCTTAATATTTTTTGTTGGCACCTAAATAAGTAAAGTCCTAGCCCAAAGTTGGTGCCCTACTATTTAGAGAGAGTTAGCGGAGAAACCGTTGGAACTTGAGACAAACTTTTTTACTTGATACTAAAATCCATGAAAGTCCCATATAAAGGATTCAGTTAGGTGTAGAAAAGCTAAAAAAGTTGTAATTATTTCCATAAAACCTGATTCTAAAGTGCAAGAATACATCTGATACTAATCATTTATAATCACACAAAAAATCATTTTGGCTCCTAAAACAACTCTAATGGTCCCTAAATACTGGGGGCCCAACAGGGCTAGGTACTCTTATTTACTTTTTACTGCTGCCAAAAATTACTGTAGTTTTCACTTGTTTTTCTACCACCCACCAATTTCCAGGAAAATAGGATTTTCTATTTATAAGAGTTTTTTGGCACTCAAATGAAACATTTTTTGAAAAATTCTATTCTCCAAAAAGTTTATGGGTACGGAGAAAGAATATAGGTCAGTTTTGGCTCCAATAGCAAAAATTACAAGAGAATAGCCCATTAGACACAGGTATAATAATTTCTCGATCTTTTTAGACGTAAAATAAACTGTTAATGTTAACGAGTTAATGACAGGATTCTACCATTTGGTGGGAGTAGGTAAAAAACTGAGATCATTACCAGACTTTTTCTGAAAAGTACGAATAAATAATTTCAAATCACCAGCTTTTTTTCTTTTTGCTTAGACCTACACGCAGAAGGAAGAGTACTGTGTTAAGCAGTAAATACTTAGGATGAATGACCTTAAATGTGTTTGTTTTTTTGTTGTTTTTTTAGGAGTGGCAAATCATCTATCCTCAAAGTTGTTTTTCAGAAAATGTCCCCCAATGAAACGCTTTTCTTGGAAAGCACGAATAAGATTGTCAAAGAAGATATCTCGAATTCCTCTTTTGTTCAGTTTCAAATCTGGGATTTTCCGGGGCAAATTAATTTTTTTGACCCGAGCCTAGATTTAGATAACATGTTTGGTGGATGTGGAGTCTTAGTATTCGTTATCGATGCCCAGGTAATCTAACATAATTTTTCTTCATCTAATTTGAATGTTGTTTTCCACTCATCAAAACATGAGTTCTGTATGAAAAGTGATGTCACAGAGGTAGAATTGAGGACCATGCCGGAAGAAGGGCGTATGTACAAGGTTCAGCGTCGTTAGAAAAACGCATTTGAAGATTTGAAATGGTGTCCCGAAAAATGAAATGCAGCAGTTGGTTAAACCAAAGGCAATTCTCGTAAACTAGATCCTACAGCTTTGAAATCCATTAAAAGTTTGAAAAAAATAAATAATTTGCCCTATGTAATCATTGGACAAAGTAAGCCAGAGATACACCCTCCTTTCGAAATCCTTGTATGTACGATAAAAAAAGAGAATCGTTTTTCTTCGATAACCCATAACGTAATGAAAAAGAAGAAAATCGGGGAAATGACTTTCTGCAAATACATTTCAGTATCCTAACGAACCAAAGTTTTTTAAGATCGGGTCACTGGGTGCAGAGAAACCCAGCTTTTTCCGGGCGCACTTATGATTGCTGAAGACGCTAAATTCACTACTAAGTTGATTTCCTTCTTTTGTATCTCGTGACGAAATTAATTTAAAGCAAATCAAAGAAAGCGGTTTCTGCAGAATTTTTTCAGCTTTCTTACGAGTTAAAGTATTTTAAAATCGGAGGTTTATTAGCGGAAAAAACTGAACTTTGCCGGTTGACGTACATAAGAAAAGTTAATTGTTTTTGTTTGAAAACTGATATAACTTGCTGTTGCACCTTATTGAGTCTGGGGGGTCTCCAAAGGTGGTCAAACATTCAATTGGTTACGAATTGCACCCATTGGATTCTGTTTGTCTAATTTCAATTACCTCTTCCCCCCCCCACCGGTATGAGATATATGCTGTGTTGCCAATCGTCCAGAAATGAACCTTAATGGTGTAGCGGTTTCTTTTTAAAATTGTTTTTTCTTTGGTTGTATTTTTAAACTGTGGAATTTCTTTTACCTTGAACCGAGTGTTGCTTAATAATTGGATACATTGTCCGTAAAAATGAACTTTTCAATGGCCAAACCTTCTTCACCGAATGATCCAATTTTATGAGGATGGAACAAGCTTCGATTTAATCATTCAAAAAAATAATGCCCATATAAAGAACTTTTCTTGTCATTTTTCAAGGAATATCTGATGGAAATTCTGTAAACTCTTGTCTGTTAAGCTTCATTGATCTTAAAATGTTGCCAAATTTAATTAACTCTTTGATAAGGTGCGTCCCCTGACCGCTTCGCGCTCCAACCCCCCAAGCGCTTCGTCGGAAAATCATTTTCCATGAAAGTAAACCCATGTTGAATATTCTGTAGTTGTTCATGCGACAGATTTCCACTTTTATTGATTAAAAAAACTTAACATTTGTCCGATGTTGCAAAATTTCCGCAATATTTTTCGTAATATTCTCGAGAAGTACACGTTCGCGCCCGCGAGTAAGGTGGCTGATATATATAGGAAGTTCCACGCTGCGCCGCGTCATCATAGCAGCCATTTGGGAGATTTCATGATCGCGTACTTGTATCTCACATCAAGCATTCACGAGAATTTGATTATAAACTTATAACTCCGAAACTAAAAGCTTCGGACTGCATTTTAACATTGCTAATGTAATGTGCAATAAATCATAATTCTCGCATTTCACGTTGTGTGATGTACAGTAAATAAAAATGAATAAATAATCATTTTATTCGGCTAAAACTATTCCTTTTTATGAGAACAAAATGGAAGTGACACTTCTTTCACCAGAAAACAAGTAAAAATCCATATCACGGAAGGCAAAATGTGTAAATAAGGAGAGAAAGTTCGTTGGCCGGAAGAAGGGCGTATATTCGGTGTACTATACTAGTCAAATATTCACGTAACGAATCGACAGATTTTTCTCAAACTTGGAGGATACTCTTACTATTCGACGTAGAATCAGAAAAGCCGAATGTTGAAAAAAGGGCGTATCTAGAGATACGCCCTTCTTCCGGCATGGTCCTCAATTAATTCAAAAGTGACGCAATGCAACTGAAAATGAGTCTGCCATTCTGAAACTATCATAAATATTTATTTGGGACCTGTGAAGTCAATGCACATATTTTTAGCTTTTTCAAAGTTTTAGTCGTGTAAAAAAAGCTCAATATCTTATTTTAAGATTTTTGGCCTTAACTATAATAGATATTTAATAATCCTGCCAATGATCCTTTTAATATTTTGAGAGAAGCTTATGTAGTACTCGTTGCTTATAATGCTTATCGTGCTACTAAGATTAAATCTCAAACAGATTATAACGTTTTGTTTCAGGATGATCTGACTGAAGCATTAAACAAGCTACATATAACAGTCACAAAAGCTCACAAAATAAACCCGAACATCAAGTGTGAAGTTTTCATTCATAAAGTGGATGGCTTGACTGAGGACAACAAAATGGATGTTCAGAGGGACATCAATCAACGTTCAAACGATGACCTACAAGATGCTGGTAATTTTCCATCATTTTCATATTTCATAGGGGCAAAACTCACCAAAATTGACAGGAAAGACTAGCAGAGATGGTGGAAAGTGCAGACAATATCTGCCTGTGGTAATAATATTAGCACTTGGAGAAATGCAATCTTTGGCTGTATGAAAAATCAAAATCCTGATTTAGGCAGTATTGCTGTAGTCATTTTTATGTAACTTATGTGTGATTTTTCAAATGATCATAAGTATGCAGAAATTTTTTTTTGGATCCTTATCTTTTAATCAAATGTTTAAGAAAGTGTCATAAAAGTATCCACCTTTCAAAAAAATGACAAAACTTGTTGGTGGATGGCCTTTCTTTGCTATTGAAAATTGGTGCTCACTGTTCTCTTTTCTAAGTTTTGAGAATAAAAATCAGTAATATTTTAGTGTTGTAAAGCTCTATTTTGATAGTTCAACTTTTCATCCGACAAAAATGGCCGTAAAGTCTAATGGGAAGTTGAACGCAAAAAAATTTAACTCAATTACCAATGTCAGGTGATATGGTACATTGACATGGGACATTGGCATTCAGATATTTCCACCAGCTTCTTGTTCATGAAGCTACAGCGTAATGTTGGTAAAAAAAAGTCAAGTTTCTGTTTAACTTTTCATCCGATTGATGTGCTCTTGTGCCAGTATCACACGATTCGACTTTTCATCCCACAAAAATGGAAGAAAAGTTGAAAGAAAAATTTGACCATGTAAATGGGGTTTTAAAGCTTAGTGAGAAACACAGGTGTCTTTTAGGATTTGAGAAATTCTCACTTAAAAATTTAGCAAGACCTGTAGAACATAACTTATACAACAATAATTGCTGAAAGCGTCTCCGATCAAACATCTAAGTTATGCAGTGCCTTCATTTAAACTTCCTGCTCAGAAACAAAACCATAATCTACTTGAATCAAATCGCAATTTCAACGTTTTCATGATTGTCTCCGCAGCATAGAAATATGACAACCTCAATATTGGATCTTTGGCTCTGCTATCGCATGTTGTTTATATTTTGAACAGCACAGAGTGAGAAAGGAATATTGCTTATTAAGAAGCCTGCCGTAACCATTTTAGTGCACGATTTGATTCAAGTAAACTTTGGTTTTTCTTGTGAGCAGGAAATTTAAATTTTGTGTAACCAATGCTAATTAAAAACTTTAATAGCTAGGTTGGGAATATACTTCAGTAACTTTCCTTTTGCAAATTGTGTTCTGTATGAGATTTCGAAGAGGGAACATATATATGAATGCTTAAATTCGTACCTGGTCCAGAGAAGTAATGAGAGATCATTATATGTGTCTATCAGAAATGAAGTGTGATGTCAAGTTATGTAAAGTGTGTGTGAACGTAGTTTCGATACGTCTAACATATCTTTTGAAATTTAACTTTCAGGAATAGACTCAATCCATTTAAGCTTCTACTTAACTTCAATTTATGACCATAGCATATTTGAAGCCTTCAGTAAAGTTGTGCAGAAATTAATACCTCAGTTACCAGCCTTAGAGAACCTTTTGAATATTTTAATTTCTGTAAGTAATTAATTTCGCATTTTGACAAATCATTTTACTTTTGGAGCAGATGTGTCTAATCAGCTCCGTGCATGTGTGTATGTGCACATTTTTACTCAGCTCCAAATCATGGTGGAGCAGGAAACAAAGGCTTTGAATCTCAAAAAAAAAGTATAAGTGTAAGAAAAAAATGAATTAAGCCTGGACAATGTATTCGAACAATTTTCATGGGTAAAAGTTGGTTAGATGAAATTTTAAGGGAAAAAAAGGAAATGATAAGCGACTGGTTGGCAAGTATTAGCAGTGATATGAAACAAAATGCAAGATTATGGGTTATGTAGAAATGAATTAATTCACATGGTAGTGAAACATAACTACTAGATCTAGATCTGCCAATTACCAAACCAATTTTTCAAGTTATGTAAGACTAATTTCTGAAATACTCTGTGAGCATAACTTTCCTGGGTCCAGTGAACCTGCTCAGAATACATGGCTGCATTATAAGAGTCTTTGACTCAATTTTTCTATTCTTATTTTATGCTCAAAAATCATTAGGGGAAAGGGAGGAGGAAATTTAATCAGATGTATTCATAGGAGAGGAGCCTGCCTACGAGGTCTGTTAGATTAGAAACCGGATTTTGGTCATAACTAGCCCACAATGCGTCCGAATTAGGTTTTCTTGAGCTTTTCTGATAGCTGGAAATATACTTAAGAACGCTACCTTCACAGATTTTGTTTATTCTGTGTCATCTTGAATGCGAGTAAGTCAGGTGCGTTTTGCGATTTTCATCATACGATCGCTGATAGAGCAAAGATTCAACATTAAATTATGCTTTAAACTCGGTATACCTTATACCGAAACTTTTGGTATATGCTAAGTAAATGTTTACTATGATCATTGTATGAGATGTTTCCACTGTTTTGAATGGGTTAAACGATTCACAACTGGTCAGGAGTTCGTCAAAGATGAGGAGCATGGGAATCGACCCTCAACGGCAACTGACATTTGTCACGTGAAAGAAGTTCGGGCAAAAAAGCTCGGAAATGGTCGTTTCGAGCTTGTTGAACAGAGTCTAATTTCTGAAGGTTCTGTACGTACAATTTTGATAGAATATGTAGACACACATCGAGTTTCAGGTACATTTGCCCCTTGATTGTTGTCCGTTGAACGAAAATCCAACCAAATGTCAATTTCCCTTTAGCTGCTTGAACGTTCTAACAATGATCCTACATTTTTGGATAGGATAATTTTCGGTGACAATACTTTAGTTTACGGCTACGATATGGAGACGAAACTCCAATCGTCCTTGTGGGTTGAAAAATGTAGTGCAAGACCGAAAAAAAAGAGACAAGTTCGGTCAAACATAAAAATCGCAAAACACCCTTGAGGTTGCCTTACTTCAAGCCACATACCAACGAAGCTGATTTGGCTTTTTCAAATTTGTGAACGTAGCGTTCTTAAATATATTTTCAGCTATCAGAAAAGCTCAAGAAAACGTAATTTGGACGCATTGTGGGCTAGTTATGACCAAAATCCGGTTTCTAATCTAACAGACCTCGTATATGCATTAAGGGAATTAAGAAAGAACCTGGTTGTTTTATAGATATATTTTATTTTGGAGGCTAGTTTAGAATAGTTCTTATGAAGAAAAGTTCCCATAAATGGAGAACAAAGAAGTAAAAGGATACGACTTAACCTGGAGCAGATAGAGTTTTTCCTGAAGTTCTCATCCAGTAGGTAGAGTTGGAAATGCGGAATTGGCTCTGAACTGGTTTTCAGTGGAGTCTTGAGCGAGTTATTGCCTCTCATATTTGTGCTTCCTGTGACCTCCAGTTTTTTCTATGCGTCTGTTTTTGCACGTCTGTTTGTTTTGCTTCTTTTGAAAGTTTCCAATGTTGATGGGTCTGTTTAAATATGAGCAATTCAGCCTCATCTTTTTAGAAAATTTGAGTTTAAATACCAGGAAAAATCCTCAAAATTGTCTTGATAGATCGATTCGTATGTCTTCGATTTTTTATCCTTAAGTTCAGTATTTAATCGATCTTACTATCATTTTCTCTTTTCAGAACTCAGCTATAGAGAAGGCGTTTTTATTTGATGTAGTCTCAAAGATATATATTGCGACCGACTCCTCGCCGGTTGATATGCAAAGTTACCAACTTTGTTGTGATATGATAGATGTGGTAATTGATGTCTCAGGAATTTATGGGTTAGTTTTATTGTTATGCTTTTATTTCATTGCTTAGTTTTAAAAATCTTAGCTTTGATTAAATTGCAGCCTTCCCTCTTTGAAACAAGAAGACTGAAAGAATGAAGTTATGAAGTTATTTTTTTGTCCCCGACCGAAACACCGAAGCTAAGGGGTTTCATTTCGCCTTCTTCATGTTACTTTCAAGATTTTTTTAAATATCTTTGAAACTTATTGCTTTGTTCAAAGTAAGTAAATAACTTGTTTGGAAAGAAGAATTCGAAAAATAAAACCTTATTTACATAAAAAAAATAGTGTTACCTTGTCAAGAGCTTGAAATTTACCGCTGAAATAATGTCATCTCTTTCCATTGTTCAATTAATTAAGTTTTTCCTCCTGGAAATTCGCCGATATTGTAATATTTTTTTTAATGTGAGGAGACTTATTTATCTCCTCTTTGCAGTCTTTTTCCCAATTCATGCTCTTTTGATTACGCGAAACAAATTGATCAATCTTACACATAGAAGTCGCCACTGCATCTCAAATAATTTGTCCCTTAGTGACCTCATATTTTCTATCGTTTTGGAATGCTCATATAAGCTCTATCTTCACATATGACAACAAATAATAATTTGGTATCTTATAGCTTCATTCTTGCCTCCGACTTTCTGATATTCCCATTAGAGACCATTGATAGTTGACAAATTTCCTGTTAAAAAAAGGCAGTGTTGGTTCTGTCAAATCACTTTCTTCATAACTTTAAGAGACACTCTTATTTTCAATGACAGGTTCTTCAAAGTGAATAATTCTTTCGATGAATTTTTGTTGTTGATTTCAGAGTTCAAGATGACTGTGATTCAACTGCCTTTGACAGTCAAAGTTTCAGCTTAATTAAGTTGAACAATAGCACTGTTTTGTACTTAAGAGAAGTGAGCACATGCTTAGCTTTAGTTTGCATCCTACGAGAAGACAACTTTGAAAAGCAAGGTAAATCATGATCTAATAGCGACCCTAATTCATTGATGAATCTCCCTTCTGTACCGCGAGAAATGAAGCTAAAGAGTAGTATTCTGCCTTCTTCCTAATTTTAGGAGCTATCTTGGCAGGAAAGCTCAGTCCTTCAGAACCAATTACGATTTTTTAGGCGCCAAATTAATTTTTTGCATAAGCATCATAGTGCGCATGAAATTGCAAGTTTGAAAAACTCGGTGTGGTACATCAATTTTTTCAGGCGCCATGATGGCCTAGTTCCCCCAATTTTTAGGCGCCTAAGCCGGATTTTCAAGCGTGTTCAGCGCTTGAGGAAGGCAGAATACTGCTGAAGAGGAAAACAAGACAACTTAAATGTCAGGAACCAAGTAGTTTTCTCTCTGCTTGAAAGCACTCTTCCTGAGTAAACTAACATTCAAATGTGTCACAAATATTTCTTTTGATCGGTTCAAAAGGAGTTGCAATGGACTCCTAGACAAAGTGCGAGTTTAAGCATTTCGATATATGTATTCTCTCATCAAAATTTCACGTAGGGCACCATTTGTAGAACAAAAATTACTGAAAGTAACTCCTATTAAAAATATTAACATTTTACAATGCATAGTTCAAACCACCCCCTCCCAGAAAACCATTATCTACTTGAGTCAAACCGCACACTAAATATTACTGTGACAGTCTTCGCAGTATGAAAATATGACAACCTCAATAATAGCACTTTGGCTCAGCGATTGCATGCTGTTTTCAAGAAAGATAGGAACTCGCTTACTTAATGCTTTATTCTAGGTCTGGGAATTTTGGAGTGGTCAACAACTACCACGAAACGCATTTTAAAAATGTGTTCTCACCACAATAAATTGGAGGCCTTTTAGTGTATTTAAAAACTTAAGAAGACACAAATCAATTATTGTTGTCAATTAGCGTTTGCATCATTCTAATAATTTTTGTTTGGTTTTTTTCAGGTGTGATCGACTATAACTTTTTATGTTTCCGCAAAGCAATACAACAAGTCTTTGAACTTAGGAATAAGTCCCTTGCATCAGGTAGCCCCACAGATGATGCTCCACCTGTCACTAATTCTGATTCTCAACTCAATTGAGTTGTCTGTAGCGGAATTGAGTTTTCAAATCTGGCCCCAAAGATTTTACTTGTGTGCTATTTACAGCTCAGTTTTGCTTGTTAGGAATGTGCCAAAGACTTATACCATAGTGGAAGGCGAGACTTAAAAATTTGCTTTATTTCATGAGCTTTTCATGCACTGTTCAGTGAGGCAGCTCGGAATTTTCACTCGAAGCAATTTTGGATGCAAGTTTTTTGTTTTATCAGTTGTAAAATTTTGGAAACTTTTGAATGTCATCTTTCATCTCTGGTTAGGATTGTAAAAAGGAAAGGAGAGAATGAAAATCAAGCTGGGCCTTAGAAATTATTTTTTATAAATTCTGGTTGAATATACGTAGCAGCACTTTGTATGTATTTTTGTCAGATAAAGAGTGGCCATAGCACAAATGGAGAGGTGGAGTAGTTGATGTCGTTCAAAAATTCTGTTGCCTCAACAAATGTGTCCATCAAGTTCCATGTGAAAAATATTTTCTGCACGTCCTATAGTGAATAATGATTGTGCCCGGTGTTTTTGCCATATTGTAAATATGTAGTTATGAATGTGTACAAAGAGTGAACTTTCCATTGTTACAACTTACAAGAGGGTTTATATTTTTCTGTAAATAAATAATAAATCTAATTTTTATTATTTTCGCATCCTTAATCAACAGGTATTTTTCTGAAATAATTGGAAAAATTTGGTTTTTCCCGTTTGTATACATTTTTCAGGCAACCAGCTTTAGCATCGGCAGTTGGATCTTAGCATTAGCAAAAACCAGCCACTTGCGTAAAATTACATTTTTCTCATCACTAGATCTATTTTATTGTCAACATGAATTAGTCTCTGGAAGTATCACTCAAGGTTCATTTTTTAAGGAAAACGTCATGTTCAGGAGGTTCCTTCATTAACTGGTTTTATGGGCAAAAGTATTTGGTCCGTGTGCTCAGAACTAGAATCGCTGTTAAAATTTTCGACCTTTTTTGGAGACCATAAATAGGTAAGTATAAAGAAATTGTGTAAGAAGTTTACTTGCACAGAGCACATGGTTTTTATATCGTTTCCGGATAGTATTGAGTTGGAAAAGTTGGATTTTTGCACTTTCCAGCACAAGGAGTAACAAGCTGGCTAAACAGGTGGAGGGTATAAAACCGCCTTTTTTACAGATTCTTTCTCGAACATCATTGAGAGCCAATTAAGTTGTTTTTTCAGTAAGAGGCATCAGGCTCGGTCTAGATGGTCGATCTTTAGAGAAACTTATTTGCCAAATAGGATTTATCTCGGCTAAAAGTAGTTTTAAAACGAACTCTGTAGGAGTTTTGAGTAGAAGATGCCATCAAGTTGTTGCTGAGGTTATGCATGAAGCTCGGTCCAAATAGTCAAATTTTTTGTCAGGGCCCTTGGGTAGAAAATGCCCGCCTCTGATTTTCGATTCTTCATTTGATCCTCAGTATTTCATTTTCCCTCCAGTTGGGACACGTTCCATTCAAGGCTAATATTTGTAGATTAATTTTTTAAGATTTTGCTTAAGTATTTACGGTCACGAACAGAACCTATCCTAACTGGAGGGGAAGTGCAACACTTAGGGTTGAATATCAGAAGTGGGCATTTTCTACAGAAGAGCCACAATGAACAGTTCGACTGGGTGGATTCTGTCTATCACACTATCTTAGTGACACCTGGTGATGTTTTGAGTTTCTACTCTAGATATGCCATAACACTTAGATTGTCCTAGGGGTAAACTGTGCTTTTGATGGAAACTCAATAAAAAATAATTGTAACAGCCAACTAAAAAAAAAATTCAGTTCAAATATATTTACAGTTGATTCATTTACACTTATATCACTATGTACAGAAAATTGATGTAAGTAAAAGAGCAAGGGAAAACATTGATTTACCTGACTGAGAGACAGTTCAAAAGCAAGCTTTATGATGCTATCATTATTTAATTCAGAGATAAATGGTAAATACAGTTTTGACTCCACACCCTATTCGGTTTTCAGCTTTGTTCTCCTGGATCAAGAAATATTATCTATAGAGGAAGGCTAAAACACAATCTATAACTTTTCATGGCGAGCTACTTAAAAGAATAGAGTAAATTAAAAGTCAGAACTACTTACCTACCTAAGTTTAAGATCAAAATTGAAAAATTAGTATTTGAAGTTTCCATTTTATTTTATTTATTTACTTTTTCTTCGCACATTTCTGAATCTTTCTGCTCGCAAAAGGGCCTCTTGCTGATCATTAGTGAGCTTCAAAAAATTTACAGTGCAAAAAACTTTGTGACCCTACCAAAAACTGTTGAGCACTCTTGGATGAAAGGAGGCAGGGTGGTTTTGTATTGCAAGAGATAAACCAAAACATCGGAGCACAGACAACAAATTCTGAACAAATTAAAGCTGAAAACAAGGTGAATACAATGACATCTCTGATCCTTCATGTCCCTCGTTTGTATTTTTCTGCCTGGACGTAATCAGTCATTCCTTTGCCACTGACTCCGCAGGTTCCTATTCCAACTCGGCCTTTCACATTGTCTGGTGAGGCAAAAATGCTCTTTTTCATTATTCCTTTTTTCGAAGCCTAAAAATAAAACAATTAAAACTATAATTAGTTTATGTGCTATATGCAGAGCCTAAAAATATATCAAGGCCATCTCCATGTTTTTGCTTCTTACCTAAATTTTGGTGAACCTTAAAAATATTTGAGACACATTAAGGTACCAAAAAGATAGTCTCCCATGCCAAATTACTATACATTTTGACAAGTAGTTGAAAAATATGTACACAGAAAATTTAAGTCGATCGAATGTGTTAGACAAATACATAAACTTTTCATAAGTTCGACTTTATTTCACTTCGGGGATCTTAAAATGCCTAAAATGACGCAACTACTTACGACTCTCATCAACATTTTTACTTTTTTGATAACAAATATTACTCTACTTCTAGAGAATGAGAAAGTCTATACATGATAGACTAAATGAATCGGCACAAGCGAAAAAGTCCGATGTCCATTTATTTGGATTTTGACATTTTGGGCTCAACGTCATCTTCGAGGGTAGGCGCATCTGTGCGTAGATGGATTTGACCTGTTTCTGGGGTTTCTCCCGGCCCAGGCAAGGCCCTGCTAGGTTTTTTGTCTCAGAGTTCAAATTTTATTTTCTTTAACATTGAAACACCCTACTTTATAAAATTACAATCGATTTTATGCATTCTAGGCAGTCCTGAATACATTTCTTGAGGGGTGATCTCAAATCATGCAAGACGTTCAATGTCCATTATTTTTCTTTTTCCGCTGTCACATAACTTTCATTGGAACGTAGAAGAAGGGTGGAAATTTTTTTTTGTGTCAATAGGAGCCTGACATTATGTTTTACTCTACTTTCAAGGTTTTTTGAGGGATCAAAAATAGTTATTTTAGAGCAGATTGTTGCGACTCATGCAAAAACATCTGATGTCCAGAGCCCTTTTTTTAAAATTACTGAGCACTGGGTAAAAATTGAGAAGGAAAACAGTAGTAAGCCTTTTCTACAACCCTGTACTAAGATACACATACTTCGATTTTCTTCAAAACACCGATTCCAAGGCCCCCACAGTATTTTGCAGTTTATCAAAAGTTGGTTTTTTGGACATCGGACGTTTTTGCATGTGCCAATTCAAGTAATACCCAGCCATACTAATATATTCGAAATACCTCAGAGAAAATAGAATGAGTGAAGTTATACTTACTTTGGAACTGAATGAAAGCCATTTATTTTTTTCTTGCTCTCTTTCCTCTTCGATTTGCTTGGACCTTTGTAGTTTCTTCTGCTTTTTCTTTTTCTGGTACTCCCGTATTTTCGTCACAGGCTGTTTCCTGAAACCAAGAAAATTTAGCCTGAGTCAAAACGCCATGAAAATTAAATCTTTAATGACCTGCGACTTTTCATATTAGATTAAGATGAGATACAAATGATTTTGTTGGGATTTGTTTTAAGCCACCTCAGTGCCGAGAATAGCGGAAGAATCAGGCATGACGTGGCAACAGGAAGGTTCCAGACCTCTCATCGGCTATTGTTGTTTGGGTGAAGAGTAATGGCATGTGGTTTCAAATAGCTCTAAAAGTGGTGTGCTTAAATGATTTTGTGGCCATTACTTGTGAACAAACTAGCGGTAGAGATTTCATAATCAGTATAGTATGGAGAACTACATACCATTTTTAGATGAAAAAAAGGAACAATAGTTTTTCAATATTTCTCTGAAGGTGAGATAAAATGTAGTCTTAAATCCGACTGTGTCAGATTTCCCAAACTTTTAGCCATGGTAAGTATGCAACATGAATTCTTTTTATATAGCTTACTTAGTATGGGGGCTCCTTGAGCAAACAGCATGTCAATATCTTGATTTTTAAAAAAATTATGAGGTAATGTTTCGCACCAGTTTTTTCAACTTTAAACCCCCGCATCTCTTGCCACATATTTTGGGGGGCTGACATTTTGGGAGAAGATGCCCCCTTGTATTCTCTTTTAATTCACCTGTAATAACAAAAAATCCAGAGGGGATTTTACATCAACTTCTTTACACTTGCTTTGGGAAAAGGAGAAGATATCTTCCTCGTCTTCAAGAAAAACTTAAATTTATAAGGGCAAACCATTGGATGTCCAGAAAGGGCTCATATTTAATTTTGGGATGTTACAACTCTTAGAATGTACGACAGAGAAACATTGGGTGAAGGAAAATTCCTTCATATGATATATTTTTGGGATTATAAAATTTAAAAATTTAAAAGGACCTTTGGGGAGGCTTGATTTTTTAAACCGGTGAAAAAAAAACAACACTCACTTAAAGGAACTGGAACTTTCTTGAGCTTTTGCTGATTCTTTGATGAATTCTATTGTTGTAACAACTGCACTTTTTCCATAACTATCGAAAATGACAGAAACCTCTTCCCCTTCGATAGACTCAATAACTGCTTCATAATATCTGGAAAAAATCAAACAAATTTTCAAACAATTCAAAGATGGAAAGAATAAAAAAAAACAGATGAAAGCGATTCAGACACAATCATGGCGGTGGAATCATGTGTTTGACTGTCACCTTTCAGTGAATGAGCACGCTTAAACTCATGTTGACGATGAAATAAACAGAAAACCCTCTCAGTCTCCAAAGCAGCTAGCAACGTTGTTAATCTTCTAGCAGATTTCATTATCATGAACGGATACCAACATTTCAGAATATTTTGAATGATTTTTTCTTTTACTATTCCTAAATTTCTCATACACACTAAATCGGCGTTATTCATTGGTATGGTCCTGAAGCCTCTATTGTCATTTGTTGATACCGCACAGACATGTTTACCGCTGTTTTTTGGCACCAGTTTGATTGAAAAGGCAAAAGAAAGTTACCAACTGCCACAAATGTGACCGTGTTTAGGAGAGGAGGATTAAAAGGAGAGGCCAAATTTTCCAAGGGAACGAAAAAATTCAATTCAGGTCAAAATTGTCGATTTGGCATTTTTGATGAAAATCACTTAGCAAATTTATGAGCATATGAAATGAGCTAGGTCAGACAGGCATCAGCATGTTAGTTCTATCTTCGGCTGCCTTTTTTTTTGAAATCGCGATATTTCGACTTCAATTTCTGAAATGCTCTGGAGAAATTAAGTTTTGGGCGTTCTTTCCAGGAAACAGTGCAGAATTAACTCCTCTAGGCAATAGTATACTTATCTCTAATTTGGTCTCTTTTACTTTTGAGTCTCCATTTCCTATGCCTGGTCACAAATTATTACGAAAATTACATTCAGTCAGTCATTTACTGTTAAGCTGTTATGCAGAGACAAGAGAAAGGATGCTTACTGGCCATCTTCAACCCATAGGGCTTGGCACTTGTCGCCAGGTTTCCAGTCCTGTCGGGATTTGGTTGCTGCTGCAAGTGCTTCCACATCTTCAACATCAACGTCTGAAGCTGATAATGCTGTGGTAGAAGAGAAAAAGTGATGAAAAAAATTGCAGGACTTGAATTAGAATCTAGGATTTTTTATTTTATTTATTTATTTTATTTTAAAATTCTTGTACATGAAAGCTGCAATTACAGCCGTAATACAGGTCAGTAACAAAAAATTACAATGACAACAAATTAGCATGAAGCATAATCTTTCAGAATCAGCTCATCAATACTATAATTTATTTATTTTATTTATCTATTTTTTTCTTTTATTTATTAATAAAACGCTTCTTGATAGATAGATGAGCAAAACAAATAAAATTTTCCTCATAGGTATCCTGTATCATTATATATTGACTGTGAAACTGCAAAAATGCGCAACTCCATTACAATGTTTCATAACCTCCGCTCCTATTTCATTTTTTAAAAGAAGATCAAACCTTCATCATGGCTTGAAATTTTCACAGTATCATTATATTACACTGAGAAGAATGAAAATACTGATCGATCAAAACTGATTCTGTGGAGTAGATAGACATTTCAAAAACTCTTAGATAGATTTAAAAAAGTGAAAATGTTTGATCTTCTTGTGTTCAATTTTGTACAGCTATAAGTGGGATTACCTACTCAAAATATAGATCAACACTTTAAGCAAAGTATCTAAGTAAGTACAGTCTAAATGAAAAATATTAAGGAATTCCAGAAATCTTGGGGGCGTTTTAAATTCTAGCCACACAAAAACTTACATTGACCAGTCTTTGCAGAAACTTCTTCCAAAAGCTGAGCTTTAATCAATTCAGTGGTCAAATTGATAACTTCTTCCAAATCTAGTTTCAACTTGTTCAATTCTTCATCATCAGGAGAAGTGGTTAAGGCAGCAGTCACCTGAGAAAAAATTGGGTTTGTAGTTTTTAATCATTTTTTCTGGAGGTCAAACGGACAGCATTCTACTTCAAGATGATCTGTCCCAGATTCTTGGCGTTGTCCAACTGGCACTTGATGAATCGCATTAATTAAGTAAAAAATCTTGGCATACTACTTTGTAGCCAAAAAATAGGCTGTTAGCTCCTGTGCATAAGTCTAAAGCAAAGGCATTGAATCACATATACCGTGCGTCCGGCTTAGTTTTGTACGGGCGAAGCGGGACATGTTTCTCGGAGCCCCATGATGGGCGGGCAGGGAAGGGGAGAGAGCGTCTGTCCCAACCGATCAAAGAGACTGCAGAGAAGCAATGGAGAATTCATTTAGGCGCTCTGTTTTTCGAGAATATCTTGTTTTGGGTCCATTTTTAGACAAAATTCCTGAGAAGAAAAGTTTTAGAACATATAATTTTGCAACCGAATAGCAATGTTTCATTTTTCCGAACTAATTGTTGACCGAGAAAAAAAGCCTCACAATCTGACGAAAATTCACTGGAGCCGCTACTGCGCAAGTGCAGATGTATGCAATGGGGACACTCGAACTCACCAATGCAAGGTCCGGTGCGCCATGCAAATTTTTAAAATTTGTCACACCTTCCATGACACAGGATGCATGGTCTAAGTGATTCAATGTTTTTGGTCTAAAGTATCGTTCTCAACCAAAAAATTTCAACTCTTGGAGAAACAAAAACAGGACTTGCCTACAAGAAGAATGTTGCGTTCGATACAGCACTTAATCTCTGTATTGAATAAACATTTTTCTCATGACCAAATCCTACTCTCATTTTTCCAGTTGAACTTTTTTTGTTGCAAATGATTTTCATTCATGCACTTCATTTATCGTCGTTTTGAGGCTCAAAAGATAAAATCTCCCAGATTTCTAACTTCATTGATGCAATTAATAGCATGTGTGTCCGATCTTGCCAAAAACGCAGAATGCATCACTTCAGACAAAATCTTCTAAAACCTAACTAAGTACGTTGAGGGCTAGGGTAAGAGAACGGTGCTCCCCGGTAGCTGAAACTCACCATACTCCTTTCTGCATGGTGACTCATTCAGTCTCTGATGACAGTCTGCAGGTTGTTCCTATCATTGCAGATAATAAACCACTGTATGCTGTATTCTTGTGTGCGTGGGTCATCACCAATTTCGGCGCACTAGCCACAGGAGTTAGAGACAAAAAAGTTCCAAACAGGGGTCTGAGCATAGCACCAGAACTGCAGCAACTCTGATGAAGGCTTTGAATATGCTGTCTACGACAGTTTAGCAGCATCAATGCTTAGAGAAGGACAACATATCTACCGATGATCGTCAGAGAGAATCTTGACAATGGCAGCTACGCGCCCTTACAGTTCGGAACTAACCTCAAAAGTAAGAGGAGTTCTTCGGGGATATAAGTGAATCAAATACCTATTTCAGCGGAGGCGAGCTCGGATTGACAATACGAAAGGAATCGGTGTCAGTACATAGTTAGTCAATAAAATTAGGAATTAGTACCTGTTGAAGTTGAAGTTTGTAACTTTGCAGGTTAGCTTGTAAATCTTCAGCCATGATTTTGAGGACTGATGCTCAAGTAAGCTTCGTCACTGATTAAAAAATTAGGTGATTGTAACTTAGAGTATGAATTCTGCACTAAATAATAGTGACCATTAACACAACGAAGTTGAAAAAAATCATAATCTAGCCAATTCTATCCAGCAATAATAAATGATAAACTTTAACACAGAGATAAGGAATTGAAGAGGGGGATTCAGACGGAGAATTGTGAATTGTGACGCGGTCATGAGATAAGTAGGCCAAGATGCGCCGTGATCTGCTACAATTTTAAGCTCATGCAGTTTCATAAAGTTGCATATCAAGCTGGGGGCTGGGCACTTTGACGCAACGTTTCACAAAAGAGCTCCATAGAGACACCATAGAGAGACTATGAGAGACCATCAAGTTATTATTGTTTACATCCCCATAAACTGCCATAAAGAAAATTCCAAATTCTTATCTGGGGAAGTCTTGCGGAAGAATTAGATTGAATTGAAAGTGTTTTTTCTTCAATAATTGATAGTGTTTCAGCAGAGAAATAGTCCGTTCGTGATTACAGATTAGATTAATAGATTCATGAAATTCTGCACCAGTTGTTAAAATGCATTTTCAAACATTCTTTTGAGGTCCTGAGTGTGCTCTGCGAGATTAATATCCTGCCATTGTGTGATGTTGACACTCTTCGTTCATATTTTAAATATTCGTTTGCATTTGTAATTTAATTGGTATCTATAGTGCATACAGATTGCAGCCTCTCATCTTTTGTTTCTCGAAACCTGGCTGTTCGTTCAATCATCTCCGCACGCTTATGATACTCAACCTACTTCAGTGACATAAACTTTAAAATCATGGCATATGCTTATCCCAATCACATAGGTGATATTGTTCATCTCAATGTTGGCGGAACCAGGTAATGGACGATTTTCTTGCGTACTGATATCGTTTCAGGTGTATCATGTCGCTATCGTTGAACATGACCTTGCCTACAAGGATCAGGCTTCAAATCCTTCTAAATTGCAGTAAATCAAGAATATAAATTTGAACACCATCAAATATCCAAATAACGCCTGTATGTATGAGAATAATATTGATTTAAGGATGAGATACATGCTTGGGTTGCCATTTTCTACATTCCTCCAAGCATACCAAAGGATTAAATTCTTATTTTAAGGGCTTTTGCTCACCATTGACATATTTGGTATGGCTTGAGCTTTTCAGGAGAAAAATTCAGTCGCAGGAACCCGATATAATGATGGGACTGCGGAAATAAGGGCATGAATTTTTATGCTCCGCAGGGTAGAATTTCGAAATCTGATTCCACTTTGTCTTCAGGGTAAGGTAAGGCTTTAAGAGTCTCACCGCTGAGAAGTTTTGCAGTCGTACTGATCTAGAATTTCTTTCCCCTAATCACAGTAGATTCAAACTTTACCTTTTACCCTGTGATTTGTGCTGACGCGAGAGGGTTAGAGTCTATGCCAAATAAGTTCATGCACTTTTAGACTGCGACGGAAGAGCTGGCATCCTGCATCTTGTGAAAGTGATATCAGACAATCTTCTGTTGCAGTTCAGAAGTGCGTAAACTGATTTGGCGTGGACTTTACTATTGTTTTTTGCGACCGAAATCGGCAATGTTTGACCAATTTTTTAACAGACTGACTCCAAATTCTTATTCTCCAAACTCGAGCCAACTCAATAGGGTTTTTAGTGGCAAAAATCTGTCCTATGCAACCAATTTACCAACACAATGATTATGCTGTTTACTTACCCCCTGATCAGGAAGAGTTGTCATTGTTTTCCGTGGCTGAAGCACGAATGATAATGATAATGATGACTGCATCAATCAATATTTCAATCAGTACCTACAGTCCATTCACACTCTCATCATTTTCTACAGGGTGAAATCAATGATATGTCAATTGATGTCGTCTCTCTTGGATACCGAGGTTTAATAGGAATAATTCTGTGCCACATCGTATCAAATCAGTCATCTTGTTTCATAGGCCGTTACTTATTTCTCTCAGTTTACTCAGATCCGCATTTTGTTCTAGGTTTTCAACCTCCAGGCAGACTTTGATGCTTGTTCCTGATTCTTTTTTCACCGCTTTATTAAGTGGAAGAATCTCCAGCTTGAAAGATGAGACAGGTGCCATCTTTATCGATCGAGATCCAAAGACTTTCGCTATAATTTTGAATTACCTCAGAACTCGAGATATTGATCTCAAGAACACAGATATTAGAACTCTTCGTTTAGAGGCAGAATACTATGGAATTGCTCCACTTGTGAAGAGATTAGTGTTATGTGAAGATTTAACCCAGTCATCCTGCGGTGATGTCCTCTTTTATGGCTATTTGCCTCCCCCAAGTAAGTTCACCTTTGCAGCTACGTAATGTTTTGATAAATATAAGTAGGTACCTACTTAACAGTTACTCAGTTTCCGTAAAATTTCCTACAGTTTGAATTTTGTACTGTATTGTTTGGAGGAAGAGGAATCAAAATACCTTTTGGCTCTTTAAAATTCGTTGAAAAGTATTAGCTCCCAAAGAGTGCTTCATCTGCCATATGAACTTGATCCCATTTTTTGGTATTGAAAGGCATAGGTAAGGAAGATTTCTGGGAAGCCCAAACAGGGTTGAATTTTTTATCTTGCCCTCCTGTGGTGGGAAGACCGAGCTCTCTTAAAAACAGTTGTTTACTCATAACTTTTGAACAGTTTAAGACAATGCGCCAAACATTTCTTTTCTAAATTATTAAAAGAACTTTTTGATCTATAATTTTTGAAAGTGTTTGGGGGTGGGTTAAAGTTAAAGGGTAGGTTTGTTCAGCAGAGCACCACTCTGGAGTACATGAGTCCTCTTTATCTTGATGCCCATCCCGCTCCTATAATATTCTGCAACATAAACCAAGGAAGACTTCTTTTAGTGATTTTTTGAACAAATATGTACATGAAGCATGTGTCCTAATCTGGTATAATTAAGATTAATATTTTGGTGGAAACACTTTAAAAATGGGAAGCTTTATACCCATCCCTTAAATTTTTTAATTTGTTTTTTTTTAGAGTATTTTTCGAATATTTACCCCATCAAGCTAGAATTGATTAAAGTTGTCAACTTTCAACTTCGAGACGTCTGTGCACGGGAATCTTCGAGTTAATGTTGCATGCTGTTTGCCTGTACCTTGGTTTGTACAAATTGACCAAGTTTAACGTACTGTTAATGTAGATGTTCAGTCTCATTTTTACATCTGACCTCTTATTTCAGACATACCCGTTCAAGATTCGGGTGGACCAGCGAGTAAGGTGGAGGAGCCGAGCACGTCAACTCGGGGTGATCAGATCACTACTCCATGTGTTCATCCAAACCCACCTCCGAACTCTCCCTCAGCCTCTCCGATACCACATACTCATGGAGCATACCAAAGATGTCACTCGAGGAATTCCTCTCTAGATATGCGTGTTTCAACTAATTTCCCTCGAAGCTCAAGCGACACGCGAAGAAATGGCACCAACAATGGTCATTCTAGAACAGCTTCCTTGGATCTTCGTCATACAAGAAATTCCTCAGCTGATCTGAATAAATATATTCGAAATGATATTGGTCTCGTATTCGGTTGCTCTCAAGGTGAGTGTAGCTCTTTTTGTTTTTGTGTAATGAAGAGAAGAAATATATATTCAAATTGCATACCCTGCTCTCCAACAACTACAATTTTTAAAAGTAAATTTAGTAGTTATAAGAATTCTCAAAATATCTTGCAACCGTTATCTGTCATCGGAGATCCTAACGTATCCTCTACATTATTAGTGCAATTTCGTTTAAGATTGTATCATCTGTTCGCATTGTTCTCATTCCAAAAGATTTCAATGAGAGTTGGATATTTTAGAAAAATTTGCCTTGGATTAAAAAAAAATCTGTAGTACATTCCTTCCTAGAAAATAAATTAATGATACAACAATGATCAAGTGAATTGATATCAAACATCAAGTAAATCTTTGTGAAAAATTTCATTACAATGTTCCAAAAAGCATTTTTAAGATGAGAAGCTAATCAAAACTCCATCAATCAAAAGCCTACAGTCTAGGCAATATATAAAATTAATGAATTAATTATATGAAAAAGGTTTGAAAAGTAAATGAAAATTTAGTTACTCAATTAAACATAGAATAAACAATGTAAGCAGCAAGGCAATGCCTGAAGTTGAGTTTAGTCAATCAAAGAACACTGTTTCCCCCGCCTGGTTTTGTCATCAGAACTGATCAAAAATATCGTTTCAAACTGATCCCATTTTTGGCATTTTTGAAACGGTGCCTTTTTGCCACTTAAGGTACAAAAATTGGGGATAATTCCCTGGAGTTGAGTTCACTTTGTACTTTCAGGAGTTTAATTAAAATTAATGGGTCTATTGACCCATCCTCTGTTACTAGTCCCAAGTGAAGAGATGGATAGGATTTCAACCCTAGGAGTTTTTAGAAATGAACTGATCATAAGTAAAATATAAACCTAATATCCTTTAGGGTTGGCATGGCTGTGAGTTGTGATGAACTGTGTATTTTGTGGATTTAGTGTTTTAAGTCCCATCCCAGAGATGAAAAATGTGGAATTTTAACTTTTGCGAAGTTTCTTAAAATATGGAAAAGAAGTTTCAATGCATTTAAATTATCTATATTTTATACACATGGAAAATTTATTTGTAGCAGTCATCATTTTTTTCTTTCTTTCTTTTTAGGTTCAAACTGGACAGAAGCAAACAAAGTGCAAATCATCAAAGCTCACCATCATTGGATTGCAATTGCCTATGCTCACTTCATTGTTTGCTACAAGTATACTTTCCTTTTTGTTGTTTCTTAATATTATTTTTGTTTTTTATTGCTTTGCCTGGATATTATTCTTTAATGGAGTGTAATATCAACAGCAACTAGTTTTCTCTCTTGGTTGCTTTGTGAGCCCATGAAGAAGGCATTCAACCGATAGCCCTTAAGCGATTCAGCAGTCAAGCACTGAAAGCACCAACCTCGAAATTAATTTAGTGGCTAATTTGATATAAGTAGACTTTGGTTTTTTTTTTTTGGCGAGTGAAAAGCTAAAATGGACCAGAGCTGAAAATTATGATCTCTCATTCATGTGTTGCATTGGGGAATTTTTTATGTGTCCATTGTGTTCTGAGTGAAATTGTATGAGGTCACATAATTTACCCAAACGGTAAATGACAAATTTCTAACTTCGGCACACTGAGCAAATAGTTAAAAATTTGTAAAACTTGTAGTGACTTAAGACTATCATCAGAATGTTGTGTTAAAATATCAAGATGATATCCCTAAGGTATCACAAAAAATCAATTAGAGTAAGTTGGCACCTCTCCTAAATTTTCACAATCATTTAACATCTTGAGGGAGGAAAAGTCTAATTTTTGAAATCAAGTTTGGCATGTGAGCTTTATTCTGAGTATACAAACTACTAGAGAATGGATAAAGCAAATTAATTGCCTGATTAACTCCTGAGTAAGTAGTTATTAGTAGTCAGTGCTCATTTTTTAAGAGCAAAGTGGAGTCTCTAGATAGGTTCTTTAGCTACCAGTGAGATAGTCTGGCTACTTTTTCGACTTTTTTACCTATGCAAAACAGGATTCTCTCCTTTTATAAATTATATGACTATTAACTTAATTTATATTTCATTTTTAGACTCAAAGATCATACGGGATGGCAACACGTTTTTACCTCCAGTTATATAGAAAGCTATATTGAACGGTTAGCAATTAATGCCAAAATAGGTCAGCCCGGTGTTGGTGAAGCAACCAATAAAATGATTGCCATTTCTTATGGAAGTCAAGTCAGATTGTGGGGAATCTCTGAAAATGGAAATCGAACAAATATTGGTAAGAGAAACAAGTTTCTTCTACTATAGACACTATGGACAAATGGTAGTTGAGTCTACTGCCTTATTTTCCCATTGCTATACCATCAACTGACCTATTTATCAATCATTATGCTCGTTGTTTTTTTAATTTCAACATCAATTTTCAAGTCCTAGCAAAGTTGTTTAGAAATGAGGGGGAAAAAACGCTAAGAAGTGGCCTGAAATGTACGTAACAAGGTGGAGAAATGGTGCTGTTGTTGTTTTTAAACCTAAGCAACCTGAAGTTTACAAATTTGCTTTCTGTGTTCCCCTACATCGGAACAAAAGTCAACATGCATTTGGAGATATTTCAAAATAAAGACCGTACCTAGTTTCATCAAGAAACTGTTCATATTTTATACACGGAATGTGGATGAACATGCTGCTAATCGCCTAAAATGAAACAGAATACCTTAAGTTAACCGTTAAACACAAATTCTGCATTACGCAGTTCACGTACAAACTTGGAAGAACTGTACCTCTATCATAATTTTTTACTAATAGAGAAATGCTCATCACTACACACTCTTTCCTCCTTGATAGATAACAGTTGTGTGCAAAATTCCAGGACTCAGATAATTTTTTTGAACTACGATTTTCCAGATGCGCTTGACGGCACCAGGCTTCTTGGCAAATGAGGCAAAGTTTTCTCGCAGTTTTTGGCTGAATTTAACTTTATTTATTAAGATTTCCAATGTCTACTCTTCAAGAAAAAATATTCAAAAGAACTCTTCATTTTTATTTCAACAAAAGACAACAAAGTTTTAAACTTTTTGATTAATTTTCATTCTAGGAACTTTTAATCTTAGTGTGAGAGTGGAGCACTTATTTTTCATCGGAAACCAGCTTGTGGGATTATCATCAACAGGCAAAATAGGTGTATGGCATTCAATGACACAGCACTGGCAGGTCCAAGATGTCGTTCCCATTTCATCATTCGACACAGCTGGTTCTTTCCTGCTCCTTGGCTGCAACAATGGCTCCATCTATTACATTGGTATTTTTTAGTTTTGTATATTTTTGCAATTTATTGTTAATTTTAATATGTACTGAATTAGTTTTTTCTACATTTTGTTTTTAAAACACGAAATGGTTTTCATTCAAATCTGATGTGCAAAAGTTTGAGGACTTTATCCTCCTTTGATCCTGAAATAAGGTAACTAATGATGTAAGAGTCCAAATTGGCAATTTCCTTTTGAATGGGATTTTAAACTGTTCGATCATCATATTGATGATGAAGCTACTAAAATGCGTATCTTGGTTTGCGGCATTGCAGACTTTTTGTTATACTTTACATTTTACATTGAAAACTAATCAATGTAATTTCTTGAAATTTTCATTTTTTTTTCTTCTCTATCAGTTTCATTAATTTTCCGTAAAATTTCCTTTTTCTTTAAAAAAAAGGGCCCCATTCAGTTGATAAATTTTACTGTATCATCAAGGCAAAGATTAGAAGCAAAAGTGTACCATTGAGTTAAAAATGTTAAAGATGACTCGTCCTGGAATCTTGCAGGCTTACAGAAACACCTTCAAATACTAAGACAATAATACTATCACTGCTCCTATGTATGTGACTTTCAGATATGCAAAAGTTCCCACTCCGCATGAAAGATAATGATCTACTGGTAACTGAGCTGTATAAAGATCCATCAAATGATCCTATCACGGCAATTTCTGTTTATCTAACTCCAAAAACAAGTAAGTTTTAGCCCTGCATAACTTAAAGCATACTTTGTTTTTTTAACATTTGTTTTCTATTTGCTGTTCCATATGATGCCATATCTAAAACTGCGGAATGGTTCCTAGTTCAGTCTCAACGCTCGGCTAACAGAAGGCTAGAAAACCCCTGTTAGAGGATTGACTCCTATGGCTCTCCGTACGAAACAACTCTAATGCGCTCTATAAATTCAATTGACCGACCCGTAGACATGTCAAAATAAAATAATTTTTGAAATTTATAAGTGAGAACATCTCTGTCCTATTGATACTGATTTTTAATACTTCTTATCCAGAAAACATTGCAATTTCAGAAAATATGATTAGCAAAGTCCTTATTTGAACATTCTTACACTGTAGGTAGGTACCTTTTATTCCAATTTTGAGCCAGATTTTGGATTCATCTTTCAGGTGAAAAAAATCCATCAGCATGAGAAATTTTGACTCTTAAAAGTCTTAGTATCTATGTCAGTGGAAGAGGACTATTACATCTAATCTTGGACTTAGTAATTTTTTCCTATTTTTGCCTTTCACGTGGTTTGAATTTTTGAGGAATGTGATTTTTTTTTCCAGACGTCTGTGGAAATTGGATTGAAATAGCTTACGGCACTTGTTCTGGGATTGTTCGAGTAATTGTGCAACATCCAGAAACTGTGGGGAATGCACCTCAGTTGTTCCAAACTTTCACTGTTCATCAGAGCCCTGTTACGAAGGTGATCATCATACTTAGCTGCATATTTCCTACCTTAAAAGCAGATAGTAAGGTCATTACAAAAGACAAGAGGTTTTCAAGGATGTACTCATCATACAAGCAGTGATAAAATCAGTTTTACAGGGAAAAGGAAAGGTAGAAGGAAAAACAACACTTAAATATTTCATTGTTTCGATCCCTTTAGAACTTGAACTACAGTAAGCATTAGATAGCAAAATGCAAACCAGTCATATTTATATTGGGCCTTTTTGAAAAGAGCCTATCTATTCAGCAGAAGCATGTGGGTATTATTTCATCGGCTAGGAGTTGGATGTGGGGTAATGGGCCTGTTGCAAACTTTTGCTAGAGCAAAAATAAGAGTTGTTTCTTGTAGGTAATGCCTCAAAAATCACGATGAGCGCATCGGCAAAGTCTGAAATGCACTCATAACTTCACAATCTGCGTAAGAAATTTGCGTTTTTTTAAGCTTCCCGCTTCAAAAACGATACTACGGCACAGGTGAACATTTTGTTAGAGGAGTCGCTCCATCGTCGGCGATATTCATCACGGCCGACGCTTGCGCGCAGTTCCGCGCGTAATTCGAGGAGAGTTCAAGGTCAATCAATTCGGGCGTGGAAAACATGAACGTTAACACACCGATTGTTATCTGGTCTAATCCAGTTCAGGTGTTATCTCGTCCCATTAAACGTGTTTCGGCGGATTGGCGTCGGCCATGATGATTATTGCCGACGATGGAACGACTCCTCTTACAAAATGTTCACCTGTGCCGTAGTATCGTTTTTGAAGCGGGAAGCTCAAAAAACCGCAAATTTCTTACGCAGACTGTGAAGTTATGAGTGCATTTCAGACTTTGCCGATGCGCTCATCGTGATTTTTGAGGCATTATCTATAAGAAACAACTCTTATTTTTGCTCTAGCAAAAGTTTGCAACAGGCCCATTATGTACAACAAGCCCTTCAATGTAGAAGATTAAAATTGAAATTGTCTCTTGAGTGGCCTTTCGCAGGTGGAATGTTTTCCGTTCTCCACTTTTCAAGATATGACTGTATTGCTGAACTATTCTAGCAGGAATGGCACTAATCAAATGGGTCATATAAGCAGGAGAATTAAAAACAACAACCGTATTTGTCGGATTCCAAGACATGGCGTTGAGACAGTCTCTCTCCTGGCAGGGGGAAAGCTCATCACTTTCACATAAGAGATTCAGGAAAGAAGACCGGACATTGGATTTCGGTTTGGCGAGAAGAGAGAGGGCTGGCAAGCAATCACATAACCACTACGAAGAAAAGAAAGAAAAGATGGTTTGTCGGGTTTAGCCCCCTGACAAGGCTAAACTAAGTTTTACACTTTCACTGAAAATACTGAGTGAATTGGTCTCAAAAGAAGACGAAAGTTGAACTAATACACAACCACCAGAACAGAACAAGAGAAGCAGAAGAAAAAGGGGGGGGGGCAGAAATTCAGTCGCCACACGACCACTAGCATTACTTGGCAGGGTTAAATTTTGAAAAATGAAGGGGTAGGGGGAAACCCCGTTACAGTTTTTTCGAAGACAGCTTTTGCTGGAAGAGTTCTAAATGAAGCATTGTTTTCAATAGGTCTCTAGAAATGTACCATCAGTCCCTTCCTAGACTTTGATGAATGCGCTCTTTCATCACTTTTTTTTTATTGAAATCTACAGCAGCATTTTGATGAATAACGTATAAGTATTCTTTTCTGATGATTTTAGGTAACTTTATCAGAAAAATATCTGGTCTCTCTTTGCTGTGAGTATAATCATGTCCGCTCATGGAGTGTGAATCGATTCAGGGGAATGATATCAACGCAACCAGGCTCTACACCAATTGCCTCTTTCAAAATATTATCTTTGGATGAAGTGGAGCCATGTGTTAGCTATGCTGCTGGAAACGATTGTGGTAAATACATCTTTTTTGCCGTTGTATGATTATATTTGAAATTATTAAAGAGGTCATGAAAATACTTCTTGTTAAATCAGGTTATGAACATTTCAGGGATGCAGAAACTGCCTAGCCTTCCTATTTTAAAAACTTCCTAACCCCAAAGTTTCAAAGCTACCACCAACTTTTTGTTTTTTAATCACAAATTGCAGCGATGATTTGAAAAACACTTAATTGCCACTGAAATTTTTGATGAAATGCGTAATTTTTATACTACAGCAAGCTGACCTTTCCAATATCTTCCCAAGTCTTCCCATTTTTTCATGAGTGTGGCTACGGGATCATGATCATGTTATTGGGAAACAAAAATGTTGGTATCCCTCCTGAAAATGAAAATAAGAGATGAGATTTTGTGACACTGCAATTTCGATGTGACTATTTTGCTCAACTCCATCCAGTTGTAAACTCGCTCAATGTTGGGCAGCACTCCCAAAAAATGCATTAAATCTTTTTGTCTTGATCTTAAAACTTTATTTTCTCTCTTTAAGGTCCTTTTGGAGAGCAAGATGACGAACAAATTTTTGTTCAGAAAGTGGTGCCTGAAACTTGCGAGCTTTTTATTCGGTTAGCATCTAATGGAAGAAGGTGAGTTCTTATTTCATAATTTTTCTTTTTTTTTCTTTGAAGTGGAGTATGAAAAGGGCACTTTTTCTACACGTGCAATGTATTCAAGAGCCGATAAAAAAATTTGCATCGAGTACGTACACTTACTTAGTATTTTTGCGCTCCTGTGGTCATGGTGGAACAAAATTGATGTCTTGCGAAAATCACAATCACAATATAGTTTTCAATTCTGGTACTGATTACCCCAAGATTTTAATGATGTCTGAATTATTTTTGAATCTTTGTGGTTGGAGAGTTGAGATTTGGGGACCATCCTTCAAGTAAAAAAAGAAACTATCTTTTCAGGATCTCACCTTGGAGGAGGGTCATGACCCTCTCCCCGTGGTCATGACCAAGGGAGGTTTCTTTTCACAACTTTCTGAGAAATCCAAACATGGAAAATGAAAATAGATGCCTTTTAGTGAGAGTTCAATGCACAATTTTTTTCAGAAATTTTTCCCAGCATCATGAGCCTCCACTTTCATATTTTTTGTTGTCTAATTTACGCAAATATTTGTGAGTCTCCAGTTTTTAGTGAATTAATTTCTCTGAAATACAATAAAGATTCAAATGTATTTTCAAATCTGCAGTACATCTTCCTGAAATGAGCTCCCAACTAGCCAAACGCAGTCTCTCAAGGCGACGACAAGAGTTGCGATCAGAATCATAGACTGAAAACATGTATAGATTTAGTTTTTGATTTATATTGTAAATTCTAATACTTTAGGTTTTTAATTTTTCGTATTAGTTGTGTACAGGTTGTCATTTTCCTGTTACACCTCAGGTGGCTTTTGACTTGCCAGCTTTTCTTTCTTGAGTTTTTCTTAAGTTTTCTTCAGTGCCTATTTTGCATACTTTATTTGAAGAACTCAACAATTTCCTGTGGAGAAACAACGTCCATATTGTATGTCAGTGGAAAAGTATCCATTTGAATCATTTCACTTTATATTTTAGGGTTTGTGTCATTCGAGCAGCGGATGGAGTCACTATCACATCATTTTGCGTCCATGAATGCGAAGGCTCTAGTCGGATGGGGTCAAGACCACGGCGCTTCATCTTTACAGGACATAGCAATGGAGGTGTTCAAATCTGGGATCTGACTGCTGCATTAGAGCTGGTCTCCAAAGGGGAACCTCTCCAAACGTATGGAGGCCCTACACCTCACGAACTACTGAGACTTCTGGACCAGTGCGATTTGAGCAACAGTCACTGCTCAACTCCGTGTATCTCACCTTGTCCGGCTAACTTAAGTGGAGCAGCCGCAGCTCGCATCAAGGCTGCCAATATGGACTTCTTGAACCAGCAAATGGCTGCCTCAACCCCTCCCACTCCTGGCACGCACCACTAGTAACAGGCAATAAATCTTGCTGGAAGAAAGACACCGAAGATCTCTGGTTTTATAAAAATCGATACTTCTGAGAATCTTCAAAACATTTTCTCAAAAATGCTCTGATCAATCCCTCATCCCCCCTGAAATGAGGTTGAAATTTTGTTTTACTCTATTCCTCACAGTATTTTGGGAAATCCTTCAGGTCTTCTTTGCTTTTCACTGCTTGCTGTTCGTTTTTCAACTGAAATTTCTATCAAAAGTAAGTAACAATGCAATTTTCAAAGAAAATTTATGAAAGCAAGATCAAAAGAAGACTTGTGATTTTTTAAATATGTGGGTGAAGTTTACTCATCTCATACATTTTCAGCTTGAATTTGGCTGGTCGCGTTCGACTGCAAATCGAACAAACATAACCTTACAAGTAGCTGAATTGGTCAATGAGAGCTTATAGCTGATTCATGGACCACTTGAGTCAGCTGTAACTGACACACGGCTGATCAACAAAATTTGGCTCCTCGGATATTGCAATTTTTTGTCATGTGTGATTTTAACCTTATGATTTATGTTGTCGATTCTTTAACTATCAGTTTATGAAATTTTACTCAGTGGAAAAGGTGTGTATTGGTTTATGTTTCTCTATGGGTCCAACCCACGATCTCTAGAAGATTAAATTTTGTTGATTTTGTCATCGTTTCCCCTTTGTAAAACATTCGATTTTACCATTCCATCTTTATTTTTAATGTACGATAAGACTTTAAATGACTTCAAAATTGAATCATCACAATATCAGAGAATTTTTCTTGTCTAATGAATCTCTGAAGACTACCTAGAAAGGTTGGTTTCAGAAACATCCTAACAGAAAGGTGTACCTTTATCAGGCTTTGCACTAATAATAGAAACTCACTTTAAGGTAGCCTCCTCTAAGCAACTTGACCAATGGACCACTAAACAAGGTGCAAATTTAGGCGTTCGGATATGTGTGGTGTATCCTGTTCAACATTTCACGGGAAACACAATTTGGGCAATGAAAATCACAGAAATTACTTCCTTTGTGAGACACTTAATGTGTCTTGATGTGTGGATTCAAACCTCCCACTCATGTAAAAACAAAAGTTTACGTGAGTCAAATTGCGCACAAAACGTTACTGTAACAGTCTCTGCGGTATCAAATTATAGTAGACTCAATCTCTGTGCTTTGACTCAGCTGTTGTACGTTATTAACACTTTGAATAACACAAGGCAGAGGAGGAATCCTGCTCAATTAAGAAACCTGCCAAAACCGTTGAACAACACAAGGTGGAGAAGGAGTCCTGCTCGATTAAACCGTTGGAGTGCGCGATTTGATACAAGTAGACTATTATTTCCCTTGTGAGCAAGGAATTCAAATTTCTGGTAGCCAATGTAAACTATGTACAATAATATCTTAGTTAGAAATTGATTTTGGTATTTTTTTTTTTTTTTCGGCTAATCAAGCTCTACGTGAAATTTTGGTTCGGAAACATAGATTAGAATGCTTACATTCGCAATTTGTCTAGTGGCTTGTTGAATTGTTGATCAAACTGCTCAGAAAAATTTTCTCAAAACTAATCCAGGCATTTTTTCCAATGCATTTCTACTTTTGACAACATCTGAATCCTGTTTCCACAAACTGTTTTCATGCCTCGTTTACTTGTGAAAGGAGTCCTGTTTTTAAAACTTGCGGAAGTCTTACCTGCATTTTTCTGAAACATTTTTTCATTAGTGAGAGATACTTGAAGGTATCGTACCCTACTTGAATAATACCTATAATAACATGTATGTATTTATGTACATCAGATGGCTTCTTTCATCAAAACTCTGTCTTCTTCAGTTTCTTCATTTATTTTTTTCATCTGTATTTTTATTCTCACCATGAGTCTGATTCTAACCATGAGTCAATGAAGATCAATCATTTTCCGCAATGAATAAGTGGACTCATAATCCATGCTGAGAAATTGCATGGTTATATCAATGACCAAAGTGCGAAACCATGTATCTCCATCGCGATGAATCAAAATTTCCGCTCCTAAATTATTTTTTTAAAGGATATCAAGGGAACCTTATAACTTTAAATTCACATAGAATACTTCTTACAGGGAAGAAAAAATCACGTAAGTTTTCAAGAAAAGATGGTCACTAATTTCCCAAAGGAAAAATAAAGCATGACAGGAAGTCTGCAATGCCACAAAAGGAGATACGTTGTTTCGCACTTCAGCCATCGATATGTAAATCTGTTATGTTATTAATTTTTCACAAAACTTTATTTATTTCACCCTATGTAAACATAGGTAAGCATGTGCTCTGTAATCATAGGTAGTTCAAAATTATCGTTGTATCATAATGCTTTAATGCTATAAATATACAAATCTGATCAAATATTTTATTCCATGTCTTCTTCTTCTTGAAATTTAATTTTACAGTACCTATATAACATTGGCTAAACAATGACAATGCGAATCTCAATTGCTATGTTGGAAAATTTCATATTATGTTTTATTTCCTTTGAGAAAAACTTAGTATAATGTTTCCTAATAAATTTTTGTAATTTTCTGAGGACGATAGAAGAAAATTCAGAGAAAATTTTAATACAGTGCAATGTCTGGTTCAGTTTTCCTTTAAAAAACCATGAGCAGAGACATTCAAGGCTGCAATCTGAGGTATGCATTTTTCAATTTTAGGCATCGTTATGAAAGTTTGAGAAGATATATGAGGCTTCGTGATATTTTGCTTTACCTAAATGGTTAAAATACGAATATATCTTTTGCTAATTTCAATCCTTAAGGCCCAATTCTACCATCTTCGAAGACCGAAAGTGGCCCTTTACTTGCCTCATAATCGTCTCACAAGTCATTTGAGTCGATTTGGGTGAGAATCAAAGCTTTTTAGTTTTTGATAGGAGATGCGTCAGGCGGATATCGTGATATGATAAATACAAATTCAAAACGAAAGGAAACTTCTCATGGTTTCAGATATAACAAGTATCTGCTGGGCTATTTTTTTGTAAGAATGCACAAAGCGCATTTTTTTAATCTGATTTTCATGAAATTTTAGCCTCATAATTTAAGACTGTTGCTTCCAATGTCCGTTTTTAAAATTTCGAAGGATACAATGCTAATAATCTCTTGAGTAGCTGCACAGACAGAAACAACAAAAATTAACCTCCCAACAGCTGTGCGAAATTCTTTTCGATTCATCCCACATTTAAAGTCACCTACTTACTGAAGAGCATCATGAAAAATTAAAGAATGTTAATATTTAAAAACTGTAAATGTACATAACTAGGCCTGAATTTTGTTGCCAGGTTTGTTGCTGACCGCTAGTTGAGGCGAGAATGTTGACTACGTAATTCAATCGCTGACTAATGGTTTGCACCGTTGAGGGACTAAGGATGGCTCGAACCTGCTGTAAAGAAAGCTCAAATTGCGCACATCTGAGTTTTGGTGTAATATTTCTGACTTAAAGTCAAATTCAGAGATCGCCCGTAGTCTACAGAATTTACGCCCTGACTCAAAAAAAAAAAATAAAAAAAAATAAAATAAAATAAGGATTTTCTGTAGAATAGCAATGCTCTTGGAGAATTCATTTTTAGCACTTAATTTTTTCAAATTGGTTCTTTGAAGAAACCGCACAGCTTTCATGCCAGCAAAAAAGCAGGAGAACGGTATGAAGGAAAGATAAAATTATGTACTCATAAAAATAACAGTTTTTATTAGATACTGCAATTCGCACAGTTATTATTTAAAACCTTTAAAACAATGGATAACTTTCAATTAAAAAAAAACAAGAAATACCAACTAGTTCCAAACATTTTAACCGGTATAAGTTAATTTTTGGAATGAAACCTCAGTGGAACTTGCTGAGATGCCAATGTTTTACAAGGAAAACAAGTTTAATGAACGTGACTCAACTGTACGCTATGTATAAGGGTGACTAGGACTTTTATTTTTGACAAAATATAATATTCTCAGAACTCGGTCAGGAAGTTTCAAAGTATATCACAACTTCTCTCATGCTAATTCAAATTCAACAGTATCACAAGTTTTTCGGGGATAAACATGGAGACAAAGAGTCATGATAAAAAGAAATAATGAAAAAAAGGATGCATATTGAACGTAAGGATAAATTGAGATACATAATCAATCACTTGACCAATTCATGTGCAAGGGTCATTTTGAAAGTAATAATCTGTTTGTTTTTCTCTGAAAATTATTGATGACAAAATTGATTCGTTTGTATTGTTGGATTTTTCATTCTTTCAACTTCCACATTAATTTACGTATGCTAAATTCCAAGTCACTAAGAGGTTAATTACTCTCAAAGATAATAAAGGACTGGCTGTCCCTACGGATCTAGGAGTATAAAGACAATATTAAAAGATGAAATCCATTTCATTTGGCATTAAACACATAAAGCTCATTTCCTAGAAAATTACAAACGTTGATTGTTTCCTTTAGTTGGTTTTGCTTGATGCATGTGAGAAGTCACTTGACATTATGTACATAATTTCTTCAAAAAGCATGAATATTGGAATCTTTACATCATGAGCCCAGCCATGTCTACTTGCGCTTTTCAGGTTTAAAAACTTAATTGTTCGGGCACACCCCTCATTGGAAAATTAAAGATTTCTCTCTCGTAGTCTCAACCTAGTTCCCTCAAATTTTCATCTTCCTCCAAAAATGAGAGGGAAAATAGATCATGAATGAAGGTTGAAAAAGAAAAGCCTGGTGTCAATTTGGCCCAAAAAGTGACGGACTTCGCACCATTACTGTGAGATTTTTAAGCTTGTGCCACACCTACAGAAACGTTAGGAACTCAGTAGCAAATCAAGAACAACGATTTATCTATCGATAGACCTGCATTTTTCAAGCTTGGTTCTTCAGGGCCTTGATTTTGCAGTGGAATAGGTAATTCTTTTTTCAAGGAATTGAAGGTCAAAAATCCATACGATTAAGTCGTATGATCAATTTCTTAGAGAAATCAGATTTGCTAAGTATCAAGAGCGTTAGAGAGAACTGAAACATGTTTCACTTTAAAATAACCCTTGAATACAAAAGTTGACCTATTGAAATCAACAATTCAATCATGAACACACAATATGCTGAAACAACTTCATGTTAGTTAAAAACATTCTTGAAACAAATCCAAACTGTTAAGAACTTCATTTGAAAACTTAGATGGAGGGTTATTTTAAAGACTTTTAGAAAAATATCATCTTTTCAAAATAAAATAAGAATGATAAAAAGCCAGTATAAAAGGAGAAGTCTAGAAAAGTAATTATTCTACTTATTACTATTTCTAAATCTACATCGATTGAAGATGGTTTTGAATGCACTATTATGATGATTACGATAATTACATCAACAAGGAAGAAGAATAGAAACAAATAAAGAAACTTATTTCAGTTACAACATATAAAAACATTAGTTCCGAAAAATTAAAATTGAAGACATGGAGATAAACAGAATTAAAGGGCCCTTAAGAAAAAGGGAGAAAAAAGTTAAAGCTAAGAGAGAGGGAAAACATGATAGAGAGATAATAAAAGTGAGAGATGGGGAATAAAATCCGTGTGAATGTACTCAATACAATAGACAAGTGATAAATTTGTGATAGTGTAAAAATAAAATGCAGATAGAAAATATACTGAAAGGCGATCAGCCTCTGACAAAAAAAGCAAGTGAAAAAAAAAAGAAAAAACGAAATAAATATTAGTTGACGCAATACCATAAGAGACCATAGTAACTCAACACCAAGAGAATAATGGGCTTTTATCTTGGAACTTCTGCGTGAAAGTTGTACTGAAGGACCGGAAACGTGATGTTGTCCCAACTCTGCCTTTCGATCTGAAGAAAGTAAAAGGAGGAGAAGTTAATGAGTTACCTCAGTTAGAGGATGATATTGAGATTAAATGGGGGAAAGGAGGGTGGATGTCTTTGGAAAAAAAATTATGATTTTCATGAAAACTCAAAAATTGCATAAAACTGGACAATAGGAAGCCTGGTAAAGTGAGCACTAAAAAAGCCAAGGTTGATCTGGTCAATTCTTGCTTTCGAACTCATGATAAATCTTCATCAGTGACTTGTAACTCTTGGGAAAAATTTCACATAATTTATGTTCTGAAAAGCTTGCGAAAAAAGATTTCCTGGCCAAACGTAAAAGATAGCCGATGTATCCAAGTTGAATAGCTTGAAAATTGCATTTACAAGTTCAAACTAGTGAGTACATATAAACTAATGAGTGAGAAAACTAGCATAGAGCAATTTAGTAGCGACAATATTCTTGTGAAATAGACATATTAATTTGCGATGATTGCAATACTCAACATAATGATTTGTGATGGTTCGACTAAAACAATAGAACATAACCTCGTGTACTAATTCTGTGTTGCATCAAATTTTTCAATTTACTGTAATTTTATCATTAACGATCATAAGTCTATTAATAACTCATTACTTACCTCTCCAGGCTGAATGGGGTCATTTGAACCAACTGAACGGGGCTTTTGTCATCTTTGAGAGCTTTCACTAGATTAGCAATCTGACCTCGCATCACACTCATTTGCTTCTCACATAAATGCCTATCAAAACCTTTATCTTGCTGCAAGAGAAAAAACAATTTGCTAATGAGAATATAGAGGGAATTATTGTACATCCCACCGGATTTTAAAAGATTTTTGGGAGGAGTAAAAAGTGGCACTCATTAGAACTCGCGTTAGGTAAGTTGGCAGTTGTTTACTTTAGACTGCCTGCTGTTACTTGATTGTTTCAGCAACATCTCTCAAGAGGAAGTTGCTTTCCAGTATCTGCACACAATGGCAGCATGGTATCATCATCCCTCTCAATTGATCCTTGATTCCTATTGGACAGAGGCAGCGCAGGTGCTTGTGAACAGTAGGTAAGCAACTGCTGACTTAACCTACATGAGTTCTAGTAGGGATTACAAAATGCATTTGCGTCTCATACACCTCCTTATGAAAAATCTGACGAATACAATGTGCATACAACTTGAAAAACTAAACTTTGACAGAGGCCTGTTTGAAACGAAGAAGAAATCTTCGAGAAATGCATGAGAAAGATTTTATCATGGAATACTCCCTTTCCTCTTCATGGAGAATTTCTGTTGCCCTTAATCTTGAAAAGCTCAAAAAAAAATCTGGGTTGACTTCGCTGCATTAAGTTTACTACATTACCAACCTAAAAGGTGCGATATACTATTCAGAGTAGACCAGAGGAACAGTTACCTTGAATAAATTATAAAGTTCATCACAGAGATCTTGCACAAAGTTCATATCAGAGAGTAATGGGAGAACTAAATCTTTCGTTTCTTTACTGAATGGAGTTTTTGCTTGAGGTAACCAGGCCCAATGATAAGGATACGTTCGCCAAGAGTCGGGGTGTTTGAAAGGAAAAGCTAAACCATTGTCAATGGCAGCAATCGTTATTGAAGGACTATCCACGACATTCCAATCCTGTTAAGAACGAAAACAGAGGAAAAATATGAGTATTTAGAATACATAGATTATCTTAACCAAAGGAGGTGGATTGATTCTGCCATTGCATGACTAAAAATGCTTAAGAGGTGATCTTGGTTTCGCTTTAAAAACCAGATCATGAGATATAAACCAAGGCATCTCATTCTGCGAAATATTGACAAAGTAATTGTCGAAGTAATGATAAATTTTGAAAGGGAAGAATTGCTGCTGCCTATAAGTTCTTTTCAAACAAATTTTTCTCAAAACTACATTTTTTGAACGACTTACTTCAAACCACCATAACTTTAGTTAGGTTTGAAAATTGTGGGCGCTTTTTGTTCCAAAATGTTCTTGGAAGACTTCTTTGTACTCAGCTGTCAATAAATTGATAGTGCATTGTTGAGGACAGAAGTTTCTTTTACAGTGGGCAATCACATTCGGATAAATATTTTGCGTCTTCTTTTCTTTGTACCCAAGTTACAGTGAGCATACCGTCTCAGTTGTTTTTTACTTTTGAAAGCGTTAGTTAGTCATTCAATTGATGGTTTATCATATGATAAAATAAATATTTGATTCGGAGGGTAAGGTCCTCCTTACGACTAACTTCTCAATTATTTCTAAAAAAAGAGGACAAAAATGAAGAATATATTGCAAAAACTCACATTTTCATTTTGTTCTACACTGCGGATTAAAATTGAAATACAAGTTCCAGACAGAATGCAGTGGCACTTGTCTTTATCAAAGAATTTTTTCATACTTAAAAGAATAGTTCAGAAGAAAATGATCAGTTAATTTTAATGTATTTCAGTTACTTGACTATACTCCATATTTGACACATTGCCTGCCATGGTGTTTTGGGTGCATGTTTCCCCCGGCTCTACAGCACCGCCCACCCCCTCCTCCCAAAAATAAACTAAAAACATAGTTCAGTGGTGCCTTCTCTTGCTGAGACCATGCGAACATGATCATATACATGGCTCTGATTACGGCTGTCCTGGCGGTAGCCTAGTAACAAAGAAGCAACCACATACCCGTGGGAACGACCGGCATGACACTCACAGGACCCTTCAATGCTGATAGATATCACTGACAAAGCAGGCAACATGTTAAAAATATTTTTACCTTCCCCAGGACCTATAAAGTGAGATTCCTTTAAAAAGATTATACAACACATGGAATATCGTAACAGAGGATCTCACCGATGCATTATGCGTATCAAATTCTGATTCAGCATCTCCACCAGGAATAGACTCAATGTTGCTGATTTCTGGCTGGTGGTATTTGATAAGCCAGTTATCATTCACACGGTCGGTGTTCCTAATAATGTAGTCAAGCACTACCATCTTCTCAAACTGGAGCTGGAACTGTTTTTCCACACTTGCTGACAGCGGCTCTAGTTCCAATCGACGCAACCAGTATTCAGCATCCTTAAAACCCTCGACAAATAATTGGAACGAACCAATCTGAAATACAAAATCCAAAGCTCATAGTTCATGGAAATTTATCAAAACTTTACTTAAAAGAGAGGTGACAATTTAATGTGTTCATGTATTAGACTCTTGAGGTATTAGGTGTAAAAATGAACATAATTCTACAATTGAAGTTTGATGTTTTGACCAATAAAGTATTTTCATGCTGCAGTGCAGGGGGTTGGGGGAAAAGAACTAACCTAGGAACCAACCACTTTTGGTATGGAAACCTCTTTTAAACAAAATGAACAGGACACAAAACAAACACTTCCACTTTCAGTGTGGTTACAATATACAAACCCGATAATGTGAAGGAACGCTACACATCACTACTCTAACAAGGGCTGACCAGGTCATGCTCTTGCACAATGACTGAAGATTGACCCCTAGAAAAGCACACTTGCCTCTTTTAGGCGGCACATGAAAAGCTTTCTGCAAACAGACTGTAACCGCAGTTATTTATACAGTACTTCGCGATTAATGTTAAATGGAGGAAAAAACAAGAATTCCTTTTGAATTATATGTATTAGGGACAAGAATCTTACCTTCGGTTTTAAACCCAGTCTTGAAAAACGACGGCCAATTTTTGGGCAGCGCTCATTGATTACATGTTTCATCCGTGTTTTTTCACGATCAATGCGAGGATAATTGAATGTTTCGCTAGCTAGTCTAACGACCTGCAAGGCAACCAGAGGTTTAAAAGTTAGGATGTTGATAGTAAAAAAGATGCAGACTGATTGTGGAAAAAAATTAAATTACGTTAGGTTAGATAAGTGATTTAGGAATGAGATTGTATTTCTCTGATTATCAAATTAAATACTTCAACTGATAATTTAAATTAGTATAGACCTCTAGAGAGGTGGAAATCTATTTACGTAGGTTTCAATGAGCTGTTTTCTTTTTGTTATTAAACAAATAAAATCGTAGGTTTACCCATTCATGGTCTCTGATGGAAGCAGGGACCGAAAAAAACCTTGATTGTCAACATTTCAAAAGTAATAGAAATTTCAAGTTCAGAAACCATCTTGAACTGAGATTCTGCATAAATGACTCCATTATTATAGATTGATATGAGGGAGATGATTAGAAAGGTAACTATCACCTCCTTGTTAATCAGTCAAGCTGATGATTATTTCAGAATTTTGAAAAACCAAAATGGAAGTGGGGAGTTGGTCTAACCTTCGTCTTTGGTACGATATTCAAGTTGAGTTTATGGTCAACCAGACTAGCTCCAGCCTCAGACAAGTAACCTTGGTTAGGGATGAGACATGAGCGGCCAAAACAGCACGGACAGCAAAGTTTGTGCATCCATTTGGTCCACTTAGGATTTAATCTACCATACGGCTCTTCATCCTTCGGCTTAAAGACACCGATAATTTTCTGCAAGGAAAAAAAAAGTTAAAGAGGAAGAAACCAAAATTCACATCCTAGTAAATGGAAAAAAAATAGACATCATTAGAAAAACCTTGATCATAATGCATCTATCATTGCCTGAAAGTTGCTGACAGCTTATGTTATAGAGCATCATGTATCATCAAGCAATTGCAAGAGGATAATACACCTAAATACTAAACAGTACTTAAGAAAATAATGAATACGAAAGGAAAATCCAGCATCAGATAAGTACTAACAGTGGAGGTTCAAAACCATAGATCTCTCAAGCACTAATGTAGGGAGAGTATTGCCAGTCCTATCTTTTTAAAGAAGAAAAGCTATGCAGCTTTATGATTGGTCTGCGCCTTTTAGGCTGACGTACTTAGTGCTCTTTAGGCCAAGAGTAAAAAAGTGCTCCTTTTAGTCCATAGATTTTAGGAAGCTTATTACAATGCTCTTCTGAGAAAATCCACCCGATGAACTGTAAATCAGTTATTTTCGCTCGTAACTAAACAGTCTGCAGCCTACTGTGCAGAAAAGCACTGTTTCTATTGCATACATGAATAATAGTTGTACCTTCAACTCCTAACTTCCTGTCTGGCTATTTTTTGAACACTCGGAATTTAAGATCAAATTTTGCGATATAAAATTCTCAATTTTATTAATGTCGAAAATTCTTAGAGAAATCTCTGAGCTGTAGATCTTTTAGCTACTGTAAGAGGAGAAGTAGAACTGAGGAAAGAAAAGAGTAGACAAAAGTCACATCAGTCTGAATGCATCAATCATCAGTTGGCCCATTGTTTAGCATGTAAATATCTATTGAATGGTGCAATTTTTGGATGTGACATTTGTCTTTTCCTTTTCTCCCCCAGTTCTAAAAGAGTTGAAAAACTATCTTGGAGCGATAACTCTAGTTTCAGGAAATATTTGTGACAGCAATATTTTCATGTTTGTCAGATCAGATAGAAGTACCTACAAAGAAAACAATGCACTTACCCCTGCTGTGTTTTTAACAAAATAACTTCCACTTGAGCCTTGATAAATGCGTTGTGGAAGAATCCCATTTTCTATTGCTAGTTCAGCTTGTTTAATTACTTGTTTAAATTCCAAATCATCTGAAAGAAAAAATTACAAAATCAATGAGCCGTGTGTATGAAATCATCGAGATTTGATATATTCTGTTTCCGTTCATTTTTTCACGATTCTTGACTTAAAAACTTTTCATAACCTAAGATCGATATGAATCTTCCTGCAGTAACAGAAAAGAATGGCTCCTTATATGCTCCTCATAAGTCTGCCTGCCTTTGCAAAGCAGACTTCTTGAGGTAAAACCATTTTTGCATGTTACTCCTAGCTATCCTTGCATTCATGAATTCATTTTCATACCCCACTATAGAACATGGCTGTAAACATGAAAAAAGGTACAAATCAAGAGTTCTCATCTGTAGACAGTGGCAACAGTAATTTCACCATAGGTCATGAATACTAGTAGGATTCAAAGGGTTTAGGAGGAAAAATCAACTAAGTCTCTAGTAGAACAGCTGAACATAGTAGATGTGATTGGTTGACTATCGCCTGGAAGCAGTTGATACCAACCGCAGCTAACTAATAATGACTGTATTTTGGTGATGTCAACTGATTATTTTAATTAACAAAGCTGCTTGTACGTTCTCTTTAGTTCATTAGGGAACTAAGTATTTCCACGATCATAGCTCACAAATCCATGGAAAGGTGTACCTCCATTGCAACATCTCAAAATCTCAGATTTTTTTTATTTCTTTTTAAAAGGAAACTAACCAGAGTATTTCACTGGAAATTTCTAGGAATATTTTGAAATCAGTGAACACATTACTCAGAAAATTTCAAGGATATCTGTTAAGGAGTGCAGCGATTCTATTAAAAGACGATATGTGAGAGGGAATTTACAAGGTTGCAATCAAAAGTACACATTTTTAGACTTCTGCTAAGTGATAAAATTTTAAGTATTATTAGTAATAAAATCATTTGAAAAGAGGAGTATAAGCAAATGTTTCAAAAGAAAATGAGTTGACTAATTGGTTAGCAGACTAGCTGACGATAAGTCTTCACAGAAGACAAAGAGATTCAACGAGAGTCTGAAACTGAACTTTCGGAAAGTTCATCAGGCACAGTTCAAAGTGCTATTCATTTGCGAATAATCCGTGATTTTCACATGACTTCTCTCAAAATGATCCTAAAAAATTTCAGAGGATGTTGAATGATTGGCTGACAAGTCATTCTGCACATTTTATGGGATGAGCACAGTGGTGATGTGCTAGATGATGTACTGAATCCATTCAATGCGTTTCTGCTGATTCTAACCTCTGACACACAATTGCATAACTGGAGGGAATGCCTAAAATGGGCAAGTCTTTTTGTAGAAATTACAAAAATATCCGTCTAATGAAATTCTGTATTCATGATGAAACTATTAATTTTAAGAGAGTAAATTTTACCCGGAAAGTGGTTGTATGAGGTATCAAAATCCATTCGGCCTAGTAGAGGCTGATGTTCGCAGTTGCTTCTCGGTGAGTCCAGGGAAGCCCTGTTGCTGGGTCCTGGGGCAAAATCAACATCTGGTACTGTACATGAATCTTCACCAATATCTGATGAAGAGAGAGAAATTACTGAATTTGTGCTTTGAACGTCATCGGAAGGAAGAGAGAGTTTTAAATGTGTTTGCTCCTCTGACATTGAGATGCTGTGATTTACTTGACATGAACGAAATGCACTTGGGTTGGTTAATCACTTGACTGCACTGAATAACTCATGTAGACGACGAATTGAGAAAATGCGGAGCAATAATTAAAAATTAAAACGTAGCTGAAGTAATTGACAATTGCAATCTGACAGACAAAAATGTAACGAAACGATGAAACGAAACGAGATAAGAAACCTTGATTTTTGACAGGTAAGGAAACAAGGAACAGAAGGAAGGACTAGTGCTGCTAGGAGCGGATGTTTACCTCTTTAAAATGCCTTCAGTTCTGTGAATATGCAATTTTTATAACAAGTTGCACAAAATTCAAACATGCACTGCCGCTCTCTGTTGACTAAAATTGGAAACAAAGCCGAGAGTGGAAAGTAAGGTTATGTTTCTAATAGACATGGATGATTTGAATTAAAGTTTCGTGATATCTAGGTTTTAATTTCAGTTTCAGTTCATAACAAATATTTCTTTTGATTTTTTATGGTTGTTCCAGTCATAATTATCAGTTAATGTGCATTGATTTGATTCCTTGGTGTTATTTTCTTTGAAATTGTTCAATTCGATATATCAATGCACCTCTGAGGTCGCTCGCCTTGTCTTTGATTATTAAATAAATGAAGCAGTTCAGCTCTTCAGTATTTAGCCAAATAAGTTTAGGTTTTTAAAGTAGCCATTACTTCTGAAAATCATCTTGAATAGAATTCTTTCTGTGCGTGTGTTTGTTTTGTGCTTGTTGGATGCATCTCAATCCTCATCTAAACCTGCAGTCGCTGAACCTATGAGCAATGAAATCCGTGTTTTGGCTCATGCAATAGATCCTTGAAACGGCCCAATGCTACCCTCCAAAGGATTTTTCAACAACTTCAACTGCCCTTTCAATGAATATGATGTTTGTAACAGACCTCATTGCCACTATCGTCACTTTCGAAAGAGTAAGGACATATTTTTCAATTTTTTTCTCATTTCCTCTTTCATGTCAAAATATGTGTTTCCATTAAAAACTTGTATGTATAATTTGCAATGGATGTTGGTTCCCAACCTTGTAAGCACAAAGAGCTTTTTAAGTCGAACTTTCTATGTGCCAATCTCAATCTCTCAGAGGGTTGAGGAGACAATTTTTCGATCCTCTAAAACGTGTTCTCTAATGGAGTTGTGGGGCTATTGCTGTTGTTTAGTATATGTAGACGCTCCGCTGCACGCTGTTATCATTTAGAGGACTTTGACTCTATTTGCCTATTCCATCTTCATGGCCTGCAAGGAAATAATAGATCGCCTCAATCACCAACTATTTGCAGCAAAGTCTACTAAAAACTGCAACTAAAATGTTGAAAAATTCACATCTCACCTTTCCTTTTCTGTAGATTGGTACATTATAAGTTGAATTGTAAAGCTTAAAGCTCACTGTAATCAGAAGGTCATGAGGAATATCACATTAAGTAACATTAAAATTTAGTTGCCACCGAATTTCTTTGTCTTTTATGCACAGTCCATTGACGATCAATGCAGGGTAAATTTAACGAGCGAACTGGATAATTAACCAAGTAGATGAAGGAATGATTTATCTCCAGAGATGAGAATGTTTGTGGGGCTTCAAGGAGGAGGAGTCCAACTTTTCATAGTCCTCCACACAAGAGGCAGCAAGAGTGCTCGGAGGATTATATGCAATTCTTTTTTGATGTTGAAATTTATTTTATTCATATGGAAACAGTGTTACAAGACAAACGAAAGTAATACCTCACACACCAAAAGAATACCTTGTGTGGTGTGTGTTACCAAAGAGAGAGAGGGGGGGAGAGAGAGAAAAAAATAATAACAAGAAGAAAATACAGATAATTCTTAGCCTCTTGCCTGCAACCTGATTGTTGAAATTTATGTCGGCACGACAAAAATCGAAAATCAATGTATTACACAGCGCAGATAGGGCTATGTCTTGTCTTATGGTGCCGACAAAGCCAGTTAAAGTCTCAACAATCAGGCTGCTGGGTAGGATAAGCCTTCTAGCGGATGTATATTTGACGAAGGAGTTGCAATTAATAAGAGGGATTTGATTTGTCACTCAGTCGCTTAATTTTCGGGAATGAACACAGTTAGAAGCCACACAGGAGCATTGTTTTACTATCGAAAACGATTTAGTTTGCTGTCCACAAGACTGCAGACTCTTGAATTAAGGCCAAAAATTGTTAGTAGATTTGACTAAAAAATGATATGAATTGAGATTGTTTTGAGTGCAAAAAGAGCATGTGTTCCTGTGAAGAGGGTTTGGTTTTGATTTCCGGCCAGGCTAAGTACCTAAGTTCGATAATTTCAAACTAGGGCCTCTGGGTCTGAGGCTGAGAATGAGGGCTAGAAATTGGGATGTTAAGCAGAAGAATAGCCTCTGAGGGTCTTACTTAAAAGAAATAATAATATAAAGAAAAGAGTTTTGTTACCTGTAAGGATTTTCATAGAATGAATATTTTATCTTTGGTAATATTTTCCTCTATTTTCTCTTTTTCAGAAAAACAAAAACCAGAAGAAAACGGAGGTGGAAATGCTGGTGCCATGCTAGCCAATTTTAGCTCTGAGGATGTTAATACATTATTGTTTTCAGAATTAATCTCAGAAGCTGTTCAAAATTTGTTAAATAAGTCCAAGAATGTATTAGGTAGTGAGGAAGAAGATAAAGCATCAGAAGCTTTACCTCTACCCTTGCCAACATCACAGCCTGAATCAACTCCAGTTCCTACTTATAAGCCAACTCCGATTTCAGAGCTCAGCAGGAGACATCTCCCAACCCTATATGTTCCGTCAAGAGCAGAGCCACGGAAAACAAAAGCTGATGGCTCCTCTGAATCGACTCAACCCATCAAGAAGAAGCGAGTGCAAGAGTATAGACCAAAACCTACCAAGAAACTTGACCAGCCAATACCTGAATACTGCCCGTCTGCAATCACCTCAATGCCGGAATCTCAGATCTCAGCTTTGGCCGAGGAACTCAGCTTTCTTGACAATATTTTTGATGATAAAGATCTTCTTGAAAGTGAAGAAGGTGCGAATCAAGCTGCCAAGACCGAAAATATCAGTAAGCCCGAGTCTGTGAATTTTGAACCTCGATTTTCGAGCGACGAAGAGGAAAATGACTCGGACAAAGCATCCATACCAGTCGAGTCTGAAATCAAAGAGAATGAATGTCAGTCCTCGGTAAATATTGACATTTCCCAGGTAAAGGAAGAACCTGAAGATTCTCCAAAGGTCAAGGAGAAGAAAGATTCCAGCAAAAATGAAAAAAAAGAAGACTCTAAGAAAAAAGATAGCTCCAGCTCAAAAAAGCACTCATCAAGTCATTCGAGATCAAAATCCTCATCCTCTAGACATAGTAGTCATAGCAGCCGTAGATCTGTGGACAAAAAAGATTCGAGAAAGTCTCATCACTCCAGTTCAAGTCGACATAAAAGTTCCTCTAGAGCAAAAGACGATAAAAATCGACATTCATCAACCTCATCAAAAAGTTCCCGCCATAAAAGCAGCAGCTCTAGGAAACATAGGCAGAGTTCTAAAGACAGAAGGAGCAGTACTAGTTCCCACAGTAAAAGTAAATCCAGTAGTAAGAAGTCATCAAGTAGCAGTAGGGATAAAAAATATGAGAATCATGTTTGCGATTGTAAGTACTGCCCAACGAACAAGAAGAAAACTAAAAAAAGCGAAACAGAATCAGAAGCCGAAGAGTCAGAACAGACTGCGTCTGAAAACGAATCATCATCTGCCGAAAGTGTCATCTACTGCTCTCCTGAAAGAACCAAAATTGGTAAGTTCTAATTTTGTGTTTTTTTCATGTCTATGTATGTCTGATTAAGGAGGCGATAAATGTATGCTCTGCTTCCCCATCTGCTGCCCTTACAATTCCTAAAATTTTGGATCAAATTTATTGGTAGGAATCTCGAAATTATATCTGAGGTAATTTAAAATCATTATATTCCCCAATATTTTTACATATAAAGTCAGTACTGTGCAAATGGAGCACATTATTGACAGATTTTTTTCAAAAATATTAGTTACTATCCTTGGGCTCCAAGCAACTGACATGTCAATTGTTACAAATGATTACTTACCTCAAAAGTTAAAATTTGTACAGTAATTTTTTGTGCTCCTATTTGAAAAACAGTTCTTTTCTTCAGGAGGGCTCTTATCTGTATCTGAGTTTCACCATTATTAATGTCTGACAAATTTTACACAAAAGAATTCTTTTTATCGCTATTTAGTGTGGTAATCACCCATGCATAGTTTTTCTTCTTTCTTCGAAGTGCAATAGGGTTTTGCTGAAGTTTGCTGCAGAGGAAATAATCATGACCAAGTTGGAAAACTGTCTGCCATACTTGCATTTTGTCCTTAATGTTGACGATTTTTAATAACCATATTTTCTTTTAAATTGTCATTGACTGAGACCTACTAATAAAACTCTTTTATTGTAGAAATCATCAGTTCTTCCGATGAGGAAGCTGAAGAGAGAGAGGGCCAATCAATGGGAAATGATTCAAACTCAGAACCTGATAATGATGAGGAGAATAGTGCACTGCCTGATTTATCAGATGGAGAAGGAACAAGCAGCGGTGGAGAGGATTTGCTAGCCAAGCAAGTTTTCGAAAAATTTAAGGGTGCAAACTTTAAGGTAACTCACTTCTACCTCCCTCTTTGAAGAGTACATCAAAGGAATAAAAAATGAATAGGAAACGGTTGCTGAAAGATGTCCGCTGCAGGGCTGTAGAAAGTTTTTTGAGCTTTAGTAGCAATCTCAAGCTGAAAATTTTCTCCTACAAAGCAGCTTATCTATTTTTATCTCATTTCCTGCTTAAAAAAATACAAATGATTATTAAAATAAGTTCTGGGGGGAAAATTCTCTCATACATTTACAGATTTTTTCATGCCATGCGCAAGCTGGGGCTAAAATGTTGGAACTTTATCTGCCTCTCTAGGCTGCTGATTAATTTAACTGTTTACTTTTATTTAAAAAGGCTCAAGCAAAGTCTTTCTTGTTTCTTTCTCTTAAATGCAACTGTCAGAGATCATGAGTATTGGACGCTTTGACGCCTTGAAAATAAACTGATTGATGCATGGGACCGATCAAGAAAATTATACCTTTTGAATGTGAAGATCTTCAGCAAAATTAAAGCAAGGAACAGAATCAGGATTAGATCAAAGTGTAGTGGATTTTACCTGACTTCCAACACCACCCTTGTTTAACACTTTTTTTATCATTCTACTCTGTAATTATTCATATTATTATTTTTTGTTCTATTTTACAAATAAAAGGGGCTGCTAACTTTACAAAAACCAATCACAGACAAACAACAGAAAGAAGACAAATTATTGGTTTCTCGGTGACTGTTATAAATATATTTAAAAGTCCGACACTTTCACTTGTGAGTCTTCAATCCCTCCATTTTAATTGCAAGGTTTCAATACCAAAAGATGGCCAGCACTCTTTGAAAACATTTTTAAAACAGAAATCTCATTGTAAGTTTATCTTTTATTTTTCAGCCTGTCTCTGCACAACCAGAGAGTATCAATCAAAGTGGATCTAAGAAGCGAGTTGCTTATGATAGCGTAGCAAATGCCACTTCAAGTTGGCCGCAAGATAACTACAATGCTCCAAAAATACACAATAAAGGGAATGACTCCCTCACCCCTGCTCAGGTACTCACAATATTTTTTCCATAATCAAGAGCCTACCCAAATAATGTTAGGTCGCCTTGCAAGAATTCTGTTTTTGAACGACTTAACTCTTCCATTCAAAAATGCCTGGTAGATACTCCTGTTAATTATAAATTGATAATTAGTGCATTTTTATTTATGTTTCTTTGAATGTTGAATGGGAGGGAATGACTAGATCCAAAGTGGCAGCACGAAAAAGAGGTTTTTAGCATCAATTCATAAGCAGTTGACCATCATACTAGGAATTTTATAAATAAAAATGACCCATAAGTTTGTAAAAATTGAGAAATAGGTACCGATCTTTTTCGGTCCATCCAGGGGTATTTAAATATACTTAAGATGAGTCACAACTGTACATAGGTCTGTCCTAGCACTTCTGCTTGGCTGGTGGTGCGATTTTAACTTATTGACAGACGTTGCATTTCTGTGTAAAAGTACTGACAAAACACAGACCCTGGCTTCAAATGTGGGGCCATTGCTTCCTACAAAAGAGCAGACTTTCCAATTTACTAAATTGTCTAGTTAACCTGTTTCCGGCATCTGCTGACAAGTCTGGTAAATTGAGCTTGCACCATACATTCAAATACATTTTTCATAAGTCTGAAAATCTATGAGTATGCAGTGAAGATCTGAAGAAGGTATAAGAACTGCACTGATGTTTAGTGCTTACTTTTCCAAATGAGCCTCTCACAAGTATGATGCTCTCGTAACATTTATTACTCTTTCCCAAAAATGCACTTAGTACCAAATGTAAGTACCAAAATTGAGTTTTGATTATTTGTTTGTTTTAGCTAATGGCCCAGAGGTGGGAAAAAATACAACAACTGAAGAATGCAGCTCCGCCAAATCCGACCGGTCCACAATCACCTGCACCAGGTAATATTATGAGTTTACAAAATTAAACCAGTGTTAATTGATAAGTACATTTATTCGTTTTAATTTGAGAGGAGAAAATTCCTGTGAAGGAAGTCTTTTTACTTTTCCATAAATAAAAGACATCCCAGAAAGCCCAAATAGTCATTTGTAGTTTTCTTTGAAACTTCATGTAAAGCATTGTTGTTGCTTCGATGATGTGTAAGTAAATGACTATCGTACATCAAGGATATTGTAAAAATGTGTAAAGCAAATGCCAATTAGTAATACTAACTGTGGCAAATCTCCAGAAATTTCTCTTTGATCCAGAGGTGCAGAAAATATCCAATCACACACCCAAGAAGCGTGTGGGAATGGGAAAACATGTTGAAAGGTCAAAAGTTTTGCAGGGTTTTATCTTAGTTGGCATATAGACTTATGATACTTGCGCACTGTTGCAGACAATCTCCACAATTAGCGTGAAATTTTGAATTACTCCAGAAGAGAAAGTCACTAGTTAGCTAATTTTGATTGTCTGTGTCATGTTTCTTGTTTCCACTCCTGATGGTATGATCGTTTCAAAATCAGGGAAAGGCTACAAAAATGTCCATACTCTCTTTTTAATTTTTTGACAAGCACAAAAAAAAGAGAAAAGGGTCGCTTTTGAGATTGGAATTTGATTTTTTTTTGGCGGAAAATTTTGTGGAAAGCTGGATGGTGGACATCAGGGAATATGGAAGCCTGGAAGATTCTCTATCCCTTGGAAATTCCTGGAGTGTTTCCTAATTATTTAAAATCTAAGTACTCCTTTGATGTATTTTTGAACTGCTCAGGAACTGAATCCATTATCATGAGTATATGGGTATCGATGTTCAAGTAATAAGCTAGAATCAGGTCATTATAAAAATGATGCATCATATCTCTGATGAAGATCATTATGCAAGTGTAAATTTGCAAACTTTCTGCCAATAACTGTGATATTTATTTTGACTTTCCAATTGATTAGATTTATTTTTTTTTGACCAGGTAAATTGCGGATTGCCCATGTTCCAAATGTTTCCTCATTGATTGAGCGAAAGAAACAACTCATCGAACAGAGAGTTCAACCATACCCATCAAACAAACCTCAACCACCGACTAATTCTAGTCTGAAAGCAAATAGTTCGAAGGCTGAGTCTGATAAGTTATCTGCTCAAGAAGTTTTTGTAAGTATCTTACCATGTATTCTATTTCCTCCTCCTTATTGCACTACGTCAGAACAAACTAAAAGTCTCACATTTTTTTTTCATTGACTTTATTTGCATATTTATTTTTTATGTAATACAATGAGGCCTCCAATTGAAGCTATGGTATTTGTGGTAGTAGCTGTAGGTCATACACTTCCAAATCTCTGTAAAATATCTCTGGATATAAAATAGGATACAATTTACTGTAATTAATTTTAGTCACTGTATAGAAAACTTTATGGCAGAACACTTGGAGACTCAAAACTCTGAAAAGATCCTTAAGTTTCTTGAAGTAAATTGTTCTTTCTCTTATGGTAAAGTATCATTATTATTGACTCCCTCGAAAATCCTGAATCCACTATTTGACTTTGCATGGCAATGGGTTGTGAGTGCGCATCAAATCAGAACTGTTTGGGCGTGTATGCCAAACGTATTCCAACAAGAGCAAAATTGGCTGCGTTCAGTTGACAGGCCTGTTTCTTTGCCCTTACTGAACTGTTCTCAATCAAGACTTTCATAAGCAGAGCAGCGCTTTGCTCAAAAAAAACTTATAATGACTGCATAAAATTAAAATATCGGCCGAACAATAAACAGCCGAAATGTGAACTTACTCTCCACTTTTAATTTAGACGCACTAAACTAGGCTCTTGAATTTGATTGTGCAGTCGTCTCTTTCAAAATACAGAGAATATGAAAGTGAAGGGGGATCAACAGTGAAAAGACTTTTACTGTTAATGTCAAGTGGAAGAAAAATTAGCTTAAACTCTTTTTAGCACCCTTGACTTACAGATTTTGGTTCTCTTTTATCTAGCAGAGCTGCCTGTGGCAAGTATTGCGGTGAACCACACTATTACTGTATTTTTCCTTTTGTATAATTTAATTTCAGGCCTTACTCAAAAGACAGCTGACAGGAAATCATGAGAAAGTAACGGAGCATGAAAGTAAAGTGGGGGTGGAGGCTTTGACCTTAGCTTATGCCTGGCTGTATGACAATGCAGAGGAGGCTCATGAAAAGGTATGTTTTACTGAAATTGAACTAAAATTGAACCGTTGAGATTGGTGCCAACTAAACCTCGTTACAAAATTACCCTATAAACGTACGAACCGAAAGAGTCGAAAACAAACGAAACTAACGGAAAAAACCGAGGTAACAAACTGTGAGCTAATTAAATGAGAAAACAGAGAAGAATCGGAAAATTAAAAAACTCAAACTCACAAAATAAAATTGTGTGTGTGTGTCAATTTTATTTTGTGAGTTTGAGTTTTTTAATTTTCCGATTCTTCTCTGTTTTCTCTTACCCTATAAATCCTGTTCTTTCATGCATTTGCGAGCTCTTCTCATTTTTCACTGAGTGTAAATTAAACTTCCGACTATCGAAACTAATTCTGGCCAAGCCCATTTGGATAATAAATAATAAATTGAAGCTCATACCTCACTTCCATAGGTTGAAAATAGGCAATGATTACTCAAAAAATGCAATGATATTATATAAGTATATTATAAGTTCTTAAATGAGGTCTAAGTATGCAATAAATACTAAATATTTGACCTGTGCACAATCAGATGTTCCATTCAATGGAGTCTGTCAGTTTCGAGATCCAGTCAAGCCTACTTGTCACATCAGCTCAGATAATCTGGAGTTTACTGTATAGTCTTTATAAGCAATAGCAAATCCTGCCTGTTGACACAGCATCAATCCTCAGATAGTTTACGCCAATTAAGCTTATGCAATATTAGAGTTCAGCAGAAAATCAGCTGTCTTCAGTTTAGCTGTGAACGTAATTACAAAAATTAAGATGGCGGGAATTTCTGTGAGACTATAAAAATGAGGAAACTTATTTGGCATGGACTCTAGGAAAAACAGAATTTTAGGAATATGGGACTTAGTGCTAAGACGCAATTTCTGTGTGTTTAGGAAGAGATAAAACAAATCATCGACCTTGATGTAGAGTCACACATTGTAACAAATAATATTCCTTTGTTCTAGGCAGTAGAGCTTGAAAAAACAGTATCAAATGCTGCACATCAAGTCATAACTTATCGAAGAGCATTGTTCCTGAAAATCAAGAACATAGCAGACCAAGCTAAAGAAATAGAAAAGAACGGTAAGTAAGCCTCAAATCTCTCATCGATTCTTAATTACTCCTAATTTTGGTACATGTTAATATGAGTGATTTCATCATCTGTTAATTGTAGTCTACAATACGAAAAGTGGCGGCTGGAGGGTGGAATCAGTGATTGACTTGGGGTATTCATGTTATTAAAGGTTTGAATTGTAGGTAAATTGGCACACTCAAGCAATCGACCTTCGAATAATACATCGAAGCCACCACCGAAAAATAAATCCACCGATAAATCGAGCTGCCTCTTTTTGTGTCAAAGATCATAAATGAGCTTCCCTTCATATAATGTTGAAGTTCTAAGATTTAGTCTTCACCAGTCTCTTTGTGTAATCTCTATCTTTTTCATCAGCATCATCATCATCATAATATAGTATTCCGTAAGCCCGATCCTTTGGGTCAAATTCAGCAGGGACCGCAGGGCCGATCCAGGCGTGGGTGGTACCCAAGGTAAGTGAAATGAAGCTATGCTCTTCCTGACCCTTCCCGCCAGAACTCGGCTTTCTGTTTTCGGCTCCCACTGCTAGAGCTGTGGCGCAAGTTTGAATTTCAACAATTTTGCAGTCTTGGCCGAAAACAAATACAACCATCTGCTGTTGATTAAAACAAACAAATTCAATGCAAGCAAATTCTTTAAAAATGAACATAAATTTGCTTTTAGTATTTTGGCTGTTTTTTCGTTTTTATCAACAGCATGCGGTCATATTTGTTTTCGGTCAAAACTGCAAAATGTCGAAATTTAAACTTTGCGTCACAACTCTAGCGGCGGGAGCCAGAGCCGAGTTCTAGCCGAAAGAATCGGGAAGAGCATACCTTCGTTTCACTTACCTTGGGTGGCTTGGCTTGGGTGGTAATCCATTATTTTTGATATCTTGGTTTGAAGTTTTTGGTAAGATTAATAATTTTAATCTCAGTTCTATCCTTTTATTTCTATTTGCAAATATTTTTCTTTGTTATAGTAATATTTAGTAGATGAGTAAAATGATATACTAGCAATTTTATTAAGTTACTAATTATATTATTTTATGTATATATATTATTCACCCTCTCCTTCTCTATTGCTAATGATCTGGAAAAATAGAGGAATCGCGCGGTGGGACCCTGGCGCCCTTCGACAAATTGGTTATCCAGTTCGTCCCGCGGGGAGATGCTCAGTTGTTTATTTTCCCCCGGCGATTTTTTTTTCGGTCAGCTGATGATTTGGCAGCCCGAGTGTTACATGCCTTCTTCTATTTTCATCTCTTCTTCATTTCTATTATGTATTCAATTTTGTAAGTACTTATTTATGGAAAGCGTAAAAGTGTTTCATCAGGAATTATTTATTCTTGTTTTCAGGGAGGAGTGCTGTTTTAACTTTCAACACTTATAGTTTTACATATGGTAAGTACATCTATTATTAGTCACGTTAGGGTAAATCCATCTTAGTCCAGCTCTGGAGGTACCTTCTTTTCCTGAACCCTATCATTCCTACCCTTACAAGGGTAAATTCAACGTAAGAATAAGCTGAGCTTTCTCCATATATATTTTATTAGTTCAGTCATTCCTTACCATGTGATGGATCTTTATTCAGTAATTTTATCTTGAGGTAAGAAAAGAGATAAATGAATCAGTGAGAACAAAAACACACCAACTCGGTAACTCAAAAATGCTCATTTTTCAATAAAGAGCGCCAGTTTTCATAAAGGTCATTGAAGTTAACGCATCTGTTCCAACTTAGATCTTTAAAGTGTCCTTGAATATTTGTCTTTTGGCACCAAAAATATTTTTCTTGTGCTAACTTCTTCAACTACTGTGCAGTTTTGCGTGTGTCTTGATTATTTTCATTTTTTCGAGTTGGTGTGTTTTCGTTCTCACTGATTCAAATATCAATGCGTTCATGAGAGACTGGAGAGAAAAGAATATTGAGACAACTTGCTGAACTACTTAGTTTCTAACCAGGGTGTTGGCAGTCAGGAACACCAGAGAAGTCAGGGAATCTTACGAGTAGGGTATCGACTCCACAACTTCAGTCAGTGCAATTCGAGAGAGTGCAAACAATTTGTTAGTGCCTTTTCTCCTAATTTGAATCTCTGGAAGTTGAGATTTTGTCCATAGTCTAGCAAAAGTAGACTTAACTAAAATAAAAGTAAAATAAGAAATTTAAGGAGAAAAAAAATCAAATTTGAGGTTTTGATGAAAGGTCAGGGAAAGTCAGGGAATAAGAAAATAAAGAAGTTATGGAAACTCGCTTAATTTGTGTCCCCTCATTTTCATGGTAGTTCAATACTCAATTCCTCAGGCCAACAACTATAAAATGTTTGTCTAATGGGTTGAGCTTTGAACTATCATGACCGTCACCGAATGAAAGTCATCGATGAACCCCTAGATTTTTCATATTTTTGCATTAAGTACAAATTTTTAATGCTTTCAACAGGTCACAACTTATACCTGTGTTTTGCAAAATTCCTGATGTCTGAGGAAGATCTAGACATGTATGGGTACCCTCGACCTCACGAAAACTATGGCTATGCTCTCATATCTGAAAATGTTCTTCGCAAAGACCCACCTTACTCTACAGATAGCAGAAGAGTCTGTGAAAAATGCGCAGAGCCGTACACAGTAGATGAGGATGGATATCCCATTGAGGGAATAGGAAAATGCATCTATCATGCCCGTAAAGGGTTCATCAGGAATCGAAGTAAGTTGAAAAGTTCCTTTTTTGAGCATTTTTCAGTTCTAGGTCAGTGACTGTAGGAATATGAGACCTGGGCACTCCATGAGACTGCATTCCAATTTGGAAAATAAAAAGTGAACAAGTAGATGGACAAAATCTATTGTCTGGGAAAAAGCAGCATAGTACACAGGGTTTTACCAATAACTTCAATATCTTGGCACAAAAATGAAGTTTCTTCTCTTCGCTTATATTTATTTGTTCAATATACGTTTAAAGCAAGGCCAAAAACAGTGACCTTTAATATGGATCATATGAGAGGACATGAAGCTCAAATCAGGAATGTTAAAGATTCCACGTAGTGATCAGACTCAAGTCAGAAACTCACTTGTTTATTTCGAATTATCATAGTTTGGTGAAGGTAGAGCTCACAGATACAAATATGATTAGCCCAGAGCTGGCAATTAGAAGATCTGCTCTTTAATTTTTGTTGATGTTCACGGTGAAGGTGGAACTTTGAGAAACTTGTTTCCGGAACTTATTATAACCCAGCCATAACTTACTCTGCAAGATCTAAGTTCATTCAACTAATTCGCTCGAAATTTCCGCGGACTGCTGTCATGTAGGCATGGTCTAAGCTTTAGTGCTGGTATAGTATCTAGCAGTGCCAATGCACCACTTGAGGTTAAAATATACACAAGAATTTTCGTGGATTTTGACACGGTGGCCTTAAATATCAAAGCCCAGTCTTTTAAATCTGCGTCAATCTTAACAAATTTTTAAAACGTTAAGTCAAAGTCAGGAGTCACTGATGTGAGTCTGACACTAATTTTAAGTTTATTAACATCCATGGCTCAAATATTCCTTTTATTTTCTATCATCTTTTATCAAGGCATCATCTTTTCATCTTGTATGTTTTCCTAGACCTAACATTTCATTTTCATTTTTCAGCAAATAGACATCACGAAGATGTGCGCCACAAATGCTGCAGACAAGAAAAAGGCTCTCCCGGTTGCATAACCTCCAAGTATCATGCTAGTCACAATGTTGATCCAAAATGTCTAACAGGATTTATCACTCTTAGAGATCCTCCAGATGATGGAGAGAAAGAAAACAACGTTTATGCCTTAGATTGTGAGATGGTTTTCACAACCAAAGGCAGGGAATTAGCCAGATTAACAATTATTGATGTAAAACTAAGAACTGTCTTTGACAAGCTTATCAAACCTAAGGGAGCTCTCTTGGACTGTATCACACAGTGAGTACATTTTAATTCTTTTTTTCCTTTAAAACAGAATTTCGAAATTTCTCAGCCCGTGAAAATCTACTTATGCCTCTTTATTTTGTCAAACAAAGCAGAATTCCCAACCATATTTGTTTATTGACTTTCTTTTTCTCCCCAAGAACTTATTGTTGCGTTCAAGGGAATAAACCTGAAGGGTTTACATTTATTGCTCACTGTGTCGCTTTTGAAGGACGATACCAGATGAATTTGGCACTATGTCACCTTAAGATGATGGTTGGCCTTTAAACGGCACTTTCTGAAAAAGCGTTCGGATCGACAAATTAAAAATTATAAAAAAATACTTTGAGGGAAAGCAAATTTTGGAGATACCACTCACATTTGTATTAGGAGCACAGGAATGTGAGATTGACATGAACGTTGCATCACACTGCACTTGAATTTTAAACAGGAATGCTAAAATTTCCGACTTGCGGTTGAGCTAAAAGGCATTGACATAATGCCTCACTAAGATGTTGGAAACCAAAGGTGGTGGAAACGGAAGTGAAGTTCATTTTCAAAGACTCACAAGCCTGGAGAAGAGTTTGGAAACTTTTAAGGCAGATTGCATCAGCCATCCGGTGCTTTGATAGAGAAAAGTATCAAATCAGTAAGATGGTGCGTCTGATTGTATGCAAGCACGGGCCAAGGCCTAAAATGCTTGACAAGTTAAAACTAAGAAAGAGACAGAAGAAATGAGAGGGAAAAGGATGGACTAAAAATCTGTCTCTGGAACAATTTAGAAAACAGGCGTTGCGTAACATGCGACACTTACATTTGTAACAAATGAACTGTGGTTAATGTAATTGTTTTAATTTCAGATGGTCCGGTATTACAGAAGCAGATCTGAAAACAGCAACGGTCTCATTTGAGGAAGTTCAACGTTATGTGAAGAAGTTATTCAATAGCAAAACCATTCTTGTTGGCCATGGCCTTGAAAATGATTTAAGATCTATGAAGGTAACTATCCCCGCAAAATTATATTTGAAGGGTAATTAATATGTAGCTGTTTGATTTATTTACGCTTTCCGCCTCTCATGAAATTCCATAACGTGTCATGAAGTTCACTTTTTCTTGTGGAAGAAACAGCCACACCTCATCGGTAGGGAATTTTTTTCTTTATTCCTCTGATTTATATCAGTAAGCAGCTACCATACTGCAATCCTAGAGCAGAATTCTATATCATTTATTTATTATTCCTGCATGGAAACACTCCTTTGTTCTATTTTTTTTTCATATTTCTTAATTTCTTAACCTCTTCAAGTACATTGAGGTGGTAATCTTTTGCCTACAGTCAAAGGCTCTCTCCTTTTAACCTCTGATCAACAACCAGCCCAAGTCAACTGTAGTTTGAGACTATTAAACTTGGCTCGCTTGGTAGGAAATCGAATTCGAGACCTCCTGATCATAAAGCCATCGCTGCAATCACTACTCCTCCAGAATCTGTCATCTAGTTGGCACCAAATATTTGGTTGAAAGAAAGCAGGTCTAAACTAATGATTGCCTTGTTACTTATTGTTTTATAAGCGAAAATACGATTTTAAGGGAAAGCTGATCTGAGGTTCATTGAATTTTTAGGCATCTGAGATCGGGAAGGAAAGACTTTCTGATTTTCCGTTTGACTAATGTTATTATATTGATTTGTGTGTTTCCATATAGGTTTTACATGATAAAATAGTCGATACCAGTGTTGTTTTTCCACACAAGTATGCTCCACAAATGAAAGAGTCACTCCAAAAATTGGCTGAACAGTTCTTACAGAAGCTTATTCAGACTGGCGAAGGTATTGTGAAACCTGCTCTTCTTCCCTTTATATTTTTTCCCCGAGAAATGTGAATGTGAATCCAAATAATTTTCAATAAATTATTTTTCTAGTTCATTGAGCCTTTTTGCATGCTCAGCCAGACTCATACAAGAGCACGAACATTGGGTCTCTAGCATGCAAGAGCAGTCTTTTTTGGTACGTGCTGGGCGCTGTACATGTGCTGTTTCTCAGACTCTGTGTTGAGGCTGTGTCTGTATTCTTCTTGCACCACCTATAGACCTAAAGGCGGTGCCTTGTACTTAAATTCACAGGGAGCTGGGAAGCTGCTTTGCATTTGTGAGCATAAACGAGCAGGGCATATTGTTGCTTTCATGACTTAAGGGCGTAACAACACTTTGCAATGAACCCTGTTGTCCATAGAATTCAATGCTTTTCAGGGCTCATCTCAATACCCCAATGTGCAGTTCTCATGTGGGCAATGAAATTATGCTGGGGGAGCAAGAATTCATGTATAGCAAATGGAAATTTGATGTGAAGTGGTTCTTTTCGTTTTAGCTTTGTTTATACTTTAATTTTGCGCAAAATTCCTGAAACAACAAACAGTGAACAAATTAAGCCATTGCTATGACAGACGCTACTAAGTGTGGACGGCCATCCTCTTACTAAGCTGGACTCGGTTGTTTCAATCTCCACTTTACTCAAAAGTGAAACCAGCAGTTGCGTACTTAGTGATTTATCCTCGGTTCATCCTCCACATGTCTTCTTTAAATTGGAGTTATCCAAAACTTAATCACAACCTAGTGGAACAGTTTAGATAGACTGTTGCCGCAAGGTCATGTCCTTGGCCAACCCTGTCATCTTGAAGGGACAGACAGGGATTCTGCAGTTTTCCTGAAATCAGAATCAGTTTTTAATAATGCACCAAGAAAACCTAATAGACATTAAACAGTTTTATTTGCGTCTTGCTGTCAGAACTAGTATTCGTTGAACTTAATAAAAACCAAGGAAAAAAATCATTTTATGTTTCTAAAAAATGCTTTTGCTCAAATAGTCTCTAAAAATAATTTGTGTTTCCAGGCATGTCAAGTCTGTGGTACTAAATTCATTGTTCTTAATTTGCAGAAACTCTGGGTCACTCGAGTGAGGAGGATGCTCGAACATGCATGGAATTAATGTTAATGAAAATAAAAGAAGACTGTAAACAGTATGCACCAAAGGTAAGCTCTTTCATCTGATTTTCCATTAAATATTAATCCAGAGTTTCATTAGCTTTGCCTCCGTTTTTCTGATTGCAACTCGTATCTCGTAACAGGCTGTGTGTAGATTCAATGTATGATTTTATCCAACTATTGAGGATATTGTTGAGTGTTTTTTCTACAAATTGCCTGTGAAACTGCAAAAATGCGTATCTTGGTCGCAGAGTGTTCCAAAATTTCTGATCCTATTTTATTTTTTAAGAAGAGTCCACACCAACATCATAACTTGAAATAAATATAGAAATATAGAGAAGAAGAAATGCCAAAGTTTTGAAAAATGTTGTTTAGTAGTTTTCAATGCAGAAATATGTATGACAAAAAATCTGCAATGCTGCAAACCAAGATACATTTCTGCAGTTTCATCATCCAAATGTTTTCCTAAGGCAAAAGTTGATTTGCCTCAGTTCAAGTTTCATTTAGGCCTATAATTTTATTAATTAGCTATTCTAGCTGTCATCATTGACCAACCAATGATCTTCTTAAGCTGGTTGTTTTGTCCAATATCAATTTTAAGTTTAATATTTTGTGGCAGATGATCATTGCCTGGCCAATGGCAGCAATGGATTTGGCCTCACATTATATTTAAAACAGACCTGTGTTATATTTCAAGGGAGATTATGAGACTGTTAACACCCATAGCAGCCAATTTCAAATCAAATGAAAAAAAACCTTTTTATCAACCACTATTTTAAGCTCTGTCTCCCCCCTTTTCTATTTTTTATGCATATGATTGTCGCCATGCCTGAAATGTTTTTTTCAGAATCTCATACCTAATGGAACATCATTTTTGGGGAGGGATAGGTGAAAATCTATATATTGCACAAATTTTCCCACCAATTTCGTTGGCAAAGTTTATGTTTTTTGCCTCAGGCATACCAAGAAGGAAAGGGTCTCTATTTTTAGGATCAAAAGTTTACACTTCGCCTCCTAATTCTCACACCTTTTTCTAATCCCTATATCATACATTTGGCTCTCATGAATTTTTGTAGTTCAGAGTTTTACTTTCTCTGTACATACTTTGATTCCATATCTTTATGCCCCTGTCTTTTTTTTTATCCTATCTGAATAACCTCGCCTCTTTTTCACTTTTGCTCACTAAAGAGTTTTTTCTCTCTTGCAGAAAGTGGTAAACCTGAATATTTCCCGGAGATAATGTTTGCCTTTGCAAAATAGTTTTTGGCATTCTTTACTGTTGGAGCTTAAGGATGAGGAATTGCTGATGATTTTTCAAGTAGGTGGTACCCTATGTAACAGAACATACAGATTTGCTATTTCAAATCTTTCCTTTTGAATTTAGAATTACATCGGACGTAAAGCACTTTGTTCAAGTTCAACTGGCTAATTTTGTTGGAATGATCTTTCAACTGCAAGGGTTCTCTAGGAAAATATAAGTATTTAAATTAGAATATTATTAAAAACAACTAAGGATTTTACTGGATTTGATATCCTTTATCTCTAGAAATAGTTGTTACCAACTTGTAAATAATTTTTACACCTTTTTAATTTTATAATGCTCGCAACTGTATTTTGAATTTCTGCAATGAAATCGGGTAACCTTTTTTTGTAACTGTTTATTCAAATTAGCGTTATATTTTGTAAATGTTGATCATTTTTGTTACATAATTGTTGAATTTATTTTGTGAATCAATACAACAAATTTATTTATTTCAGTGTTATGTATATCATTAGATTGAGACTCACCCAGTCACTTGTCGTATTGACCATGAAATACCCATTGACGTTATAGACAAAATACATATATTTTGATAGAATTCATGGATGTATTGAAAATGAATCCCTCTTGAATCTTAACAACCAGAACGAAGGATTGACTAAAGACTGAAGATATTCAATTAATTCACTGTGAACAATATGATGGAAATTCTACCATAGTTAATTCTCAAAGCCTGAATAATGGGTCAGTTGCGCTAGTCACAAAATCGTGTTTTGATCATTTTAGTTTATAGATCAGCAAAAAATAATAAGACCTGTCCAAACGCCTAGTTTTAAAGTTCAATAATAATAGCAATATTTGCAATCGAAAAACATGGCATATGATGTCCTTCATTGTAGGTAGTGCACACCTCGATTTCTTTCACCTAAATTTCATCTGCGTTCTACGTCGAGTAACCAGCGTATTTGCGCAGTATCACTGATTGTTTTGAAGCCACGGTAGAAGAAACCATGGTGTGCACTACTGCGCTGGATGACCACACATGTTGTGTTCTTCAATATCTCTGATAGAATTGGTTGTAGAAATTGGGAATTTAAACAAATCTTATTAATTTTTGCTAATCTATGAGCTAAAACCATCAAAACATGGTTCTGTGATCAGCGCAACTGCCCATTTTCCATGCCTCTTCTTCTCAAGCGTGTGTAGTGCTATCCTGTTGTCTAATTTAAGGAAATTCTAGAACAAAGTAAAAGTGAAAATATTTCCACTAGTTTCTATCTAAATTTTGTTAATTTTCTACAGCTAGCCGAGGTTAAATTTGTTTTACCTTTATCTAAGAATGCAAACTATCTGAAATGGTTGCAATGTTTTTGATGCAATTTGAAAGATTCTCTAGTCATTTGCTATCATTCATTCCCTACCCATAGCAATCTTCTTGTGATCATATTAAGGCAGTTTCAGGAGGAAAATGGGAAAATTACAAAGAAATTTGATACCTCATTCCTGTAATTGAAACATTTGATATGAAATTTCTTATAATCAATGAATGGATTGTTCTGATTTATTTTATTATTTTTCCTTCAAAGGTAAAGAAAAATAGTCTATTGACTACTGACTAAGATCTTGACAGTATCTTATTTCTTTGAAGAGAAAATTTTGCTCAACTCCTTGCATTAAAAAAATGTTCAGTTTTATCTGAAAATTGAAAACTGAATCTAATGTGAGGCGGCTCATGCACCACTTCTGTCCAAAAATCCTGTATCACATTTCTTCCAAATTTTTCTTTTTGCTTTCCTTTCAAAAGACAACTATCATATTTTTATGGAGTTATCAAGAATATATTACGTCTAAAAGACGAATTAATTAAAATCTCACAAATTCAAAATGTCAGCTTTTTCTAGTGAAAGAAATGCAGCAGGTAGTTTGCAATCACAAACCAAGATACAGGGTTTCACCATCATAATAGTATTCAAAATCGTCCTGTGGTCATGTAACACTTCTGTCACTTTTGAACAAATTGCGTGAGAGTCTTGACACTTTATCAATGCTCCCTATTCCCAGGTAAAAGGGTAGATAATTTTATGTACAAGTATGGATTACTTCAAATTATACCACTCAAGCATCCTCAAAGCCCCTCGAGGGATCCGATATCTTTGAATACTAGTACCTCAACTATTCATGGTTTCAGCTATCTGGCTCACGGATAAGGCACTATCGACATCCTTATTTTTATTTGACATTCATGTCAGCTCATCCAGTGGAGTTGCATGGTATTGAAATCAGGGTGATGTTTCTTTCTGCAAATTCCCTAGCCATCTAAAGCTCTGTAGGGTGCTGTTAGGACTCAAAAAAAGATGTGGATAAAAACTAGTGAGGGTCTCACTGACAGCATTTATACCTCACTGTTTCTGTAATTATACAGCATGCTCAATAGAGGTTGACTATTCAGACTCAAATTATTGGTTGACCAAGGTGGTTTATATTTTGTTACATGGAATTTCGATTATTCTGCAACCATATTTGCCAACTGGCTCAGACCTCTGCTGTAAATTTCAGATGGTGGAGATATTATTGTACTTTTATAATTTAATTTATAGGCCATAATTCAGCCTGTGACTTAATCGGGCCAGACAAATTTTACAACGTAGCACTTATATAAACTTCATCAAAGTAAAATTTATAAGAAAAGTCTAACTTATTGAAAAACCTTACTTTGTTCTTTTTCAGATTTGAAATTAGTGCATCCATTTTTATATTTTTTATTCAGCTGCCTAACATGTTTGTACTCTTAATTTTGTATTTTTTGCCGGTCAAACCCTTGTGCTAGGAAAATAAAATCAATTTTCGTCCTCTGATAATACCCTTTCATAAAATGTCAATTCTCAGGAAACACTATATGCGTACGCAAGTATCAAACCACGTTGTAAAAGTATAAATAAACAAATACTCTCAATTTTAAGAATTTTTATTGATTTATAACTGGAACCAAGGACTTTAAATCATGAAGTAAGAATTATGTGCGATGAATATAAGAACGGAATAAGTAATGAATGTAAAACGCAAAATACATAATAGAAAGCAGTAAGGTTAAAATAATCCTAAAACAAAAGAATATGGGTAGTCTATAAATTCACCATAAGTTTTTGCAGAAAGGACAAAGTTAGTGTAGAATGAACACATAGATACAATTCAAATGCAAGGCCTCTCTTTAATCTTGTTTTGAGAAAAAATAGCTACATTAATGAATGAGTTTATTTAAATTCTGAAAGAGGTTGAATTACCTGAGGTAGCCTTTTCATCCTTAGATCAAACCCCTCGCATAGTTTGATTGGTGATAAGGGAAAAAAAGTAAAATAGAAAATAAATGGATATAAGTTACTTAGATGAAGAAATGTTATCACTTGATTGTAGAACAATTGTAGAAAAATACCTTTCGGTTAAAGAAAGACCTGGCATTCAATCGATCGATAGTTTATCAATTGAAACCCATAACAGATTATGAATAATGATTTACTTACTTTAAAATTACTCTGTGGAGTAGGTATATTTGAAATTTTCATAGAAAATTACCTCTAGTAGTCATTAATAATCAAAAGTGAACTCTAATAAATAAAAAGATTTCAGCAAGATTGTTCTGTGCCCTGAATTGTTTTCATAAATTTGATCAGAAATGTATCATTCTGCTTTCCTCGGCTTTCAATGGACCAAAATTTTGATTAGCCTAGTGGTATTGAGTTAATTATAACATGGGAATCTTTAGAGACATGATTACAAAACAAAGGGCCAGTAAACAAGGTCCGAAATTCAGCACCACCATACTTGATTCCTTATCGAAAATTCACGTAGCATACCATGTACGCATCAGAACTTTCCAAATTCAACACATAAGTTAAAAAATAATTGTTTTTTTTCATGGTAATTTTCACTTCTCGCTCATAAAAAAATCAGTCCACTCAAGCAAAATGCAGCCATTTAACTAATTTCGGTGTACCTCGCAGAGGAAGCGTTTTCCTTTGTACTGACTTTTTTCATACAAAATCAAAGGTACCTTGTATCAGCAAAGGAAGGTAGTGTGTACAAAACCAAGCTCTAGTTACCTATTTGCGTAACTTATGGATTGATTTCAATGCCTAATTTGGCTCATGTTGTTTAGCGTTTTTGGGGGGAGCAGGGAATTGGAATTTACTGTTTATAATGCAAACTACAAACGTTAGTAACTTTAGTAAGAAACTCACAAGTTAATTTTAGAAGTTTTCGATCGATTCAGTGAGTTCTTTGTGAAATTTTGATGAGAATACATGTGCAGTAGTGCTTAATTTCTCAGCCCGTTTAGTGATCCGTTTAACTTAAATTTTAATGTCAAGAAGTTACTTTCAAAGATGATGGGTAGAAATTTGTAGTATGTGAATCTTGCGTTTGCCATCAGACAGAGTCTGCGCTTTTTTTTCACCAAATAGAGACAGAGGAGACTTTTAAATAATCTCATAAAATAACAGGAATGCTCTGCAAGTTTTCTTTCATGCAAATAATTGTAAATTAGGAACGAAGTCTTTTCTTTCTCAGCAAGTGTCGCATAATTTTTATACCTACATTTTCAGATGTAGGTATCACTAAACACACGGAGTAAAATTATCAAAATACTTACACATTAAACCAATTCGTTAATAAGATAATAATCATCTATAAAAATATCAGATATAATAATTTCTGTCAAAATACTGAATACATTGGACATAGGAAGGATACCTTCTTGGGAAACCTTTTTTTTAAGACGTACCAAAGCAAACACTTTTTTTCTCCCTATCAGTGCGCTTTACTTCATTATGCTCATAATACTTTCTATTAATCGAATGACAAGTCATACCACACCCAGTAGTGGGTAGATGGAAACTTGTTTTAAATCTTATTTCAATGTCTCCTAGAGTCCTATCCCCAAGAGATGATTATCGCCTATTATATGCATTTCTAAAGTTACTTTGATAAAATTTGTGTAACCTTGGAAATGAAGATAGAAAGAGCGTTTTGTAGTACAATGAATGAAGGGGAGAGTGAAGCATAAACCCGTAAGGACTGATCATCGTTTATTATGAGCTAAATGAATCAATCTAAATTATGAACCATTTTCTCTTTGACAGCCACAAGCAAGTAATTCTGGTGCGTAAGAGCTGTGTAACTGAGAACCAGGATTATATATTTTCATCACTACTTTCAACCAGAGAGAAAGCAATGAAAGAAGAGACACATACTTAAGAAACTGGTTTTAATTTCCTCTTATTTTAAATGTTTGAAAAATGGAACTTTTGTTACGGAAGTTCAATTTGTTTCATTAAAATAACGAAGATTTTAGCTTTAGTTTTATCGAATTTTCAACAAGTTTCTGCATGGACTTAACGCACAAAAATTTATTCTCACAATATTTTGGGACAAAACTCGCAACCAAGACGTTTCCTTTTCTTTTCTTTTTTCTTAAAAAAAAAAAAAAAAGACTCAAAGCTATTATAAATTGGACACCATGGAAAATAATAGGTAATAAGTACAGCCTATAGGTAAAGGTAGGTATGCACTTTAAAATGGTGAGTACGTAACCAACTGAATGCACATATTACACGTATAAGTTAAAAAAGTTTAACTTTTAACATTGAAAGGTAAGTATAAATATCACAGGTTTTACAAATTTACTTATTGCCATTAAACAAACAATAAGTTGACTGAATAAAGATGCTTCGTCAAATTTATTCTCTAAAAAGTAAAAAGAATCCTCGGAGTAAAAACACATTGATTGATTGATGTGAGGAATAATGTTAAGTACCTAGTTTATTTATAAGTTGATGAAAACTGAGACTGCACGGACAGAATTTATGTAACTAACTGATGCAGAAGTCGATTCAAATTGTCATGATAAATAAAAAATAGAATGAATAAATAAGGAATCAAACATGATATCAAAGCATCCAGCGGGCTAAGGATTATGCAACTGTCAAATACTTAAGAGAAATAAAAATATAATACCTAAAATTACTGTGTATTTTTACGTAACAAATGAAACATTAGATTTAAGATCTTACCCTCAGTGGGTTTTACTTTCCTCTGGAGAGGAATGAACTTAGCTCTGAATCACTCACTGAAGAAGAACCATTTTTAATTTATATTCAATGATCTCTCATCATTTATGTCTGAGATCCATACAGAAGGAAAGGGAAAACATCAAAAATTCCAGTGTTTCACGAGGAACTTCATACTAATCAGACCTTTTTCCATTTAATTATTTTCAAGAAATATGATGCTATTTTTAGCTCCAGAGAAACTATTGGATTTCTCTCTTTCAATATAAACCTTTTTCTAAGTTAATTTTCTGAGGACTCAGGTAAAAAATAACATTTTACTTGCAGCCTATTATTGAGATGAACTACCTACTAGAATACTAGATAAAACCCCCAATATAAGGAGAACGCTTGGTTTCGTTAATGAGCAGGTATTGAAGGATTCGATTCCGTATCCCAAGCAAATTAGTGAAAATAGTATGTCTGTTGTTAGAGCAATCTTCATTTTTTTTACGGATTAATTTTCGGTTTGAAGGATTGAGAAAAGGATTTCCCAGCACCACCTTTTGAGTAGGTATCTAGCCAGTACGATTTCGTGTTGTCTTACAAATGTATTTTTTGTTTGTTTGTACTTACAGCAAATTTTCCTTGAAAAATTATACTCAATGAGTGAATCTTCGACATTATACAAGTAATCAATATATTTTTGCAAAAAGAGATGTTCCATTTCAAGTTTTTTAGACTGCACATTCAGCCCAAAGAATGAAAGATCCTTGAGCGCGATTCAAGACTGAAGGGTCGTCAAGAATTCCCTTGAGAAATTTTCTCTGCACTTCAGGAAATTATTTTAAAGTGTGTAGCTAAGCTTTCACTAGACAGAGCACCGCCGATGATAGATTTCCTTCAACCTGAAATACGTCCCCCTTTTTGACCATGGATGCAAAGTTCCAATTCACCTCTCTTTTACCCACTCTCTCTAATCCTCTCAGAAGAGCATTGAAAGCAAGCTTTCCATGTAGTAATTGAAAGATGTCTCAGAAGTAATTTTCTACTAAATTTCTTTTACTCTTGGAATGAATTTTTTAAAAAAGAAGCATGAGGCAGATATTTCATCTCTCTCTAAACCGTATATGAGATAAAACTTTGAAATTTTTTTGTTGTATCACTCATGCTAACACAAATTTGTGATGAGGTATTTGTTTTTGAACACCCCATAAAACATTCTTAATCATGTTTCTGCTGCCAGCAAGCAAATTAGATGTGTTAAGGTCCTCAGAAATCCTAGTCTTTAAATTTTTATAGGCTACTTGATAGAACTTTGAACGTCTTCATCACTGTTCTCTTTCATGAATTAAACTTATCCTCTTGGAAGACCTGCTTTTTAAGTCTTGAACCACTTACGGAAAAGAGTTTTGAAAAAACTGGATATCAACATCAGGTATGAACTTTTTGTCATGATATACATTTGTTTAGTATTGCTTCATACCAATTTAGTGTAAGAATGATGTCAAAAAACATACTTTGACCCAGAATTCAATACTGATAATTTTACTACGTGAAAATAGATGGACACCTACAAAAAGGACAAAAACCCCAAAATAAAATGGTGATAGTGGCTCAGTATGTAAAAAGCCTGTTACTGATAAATAAGACAGAAATAACTTTTACCAACGATTGGTGTTGTTTCATTTATTTATTTATTCAATATCGCAAAAACAAACAAACAGAAAATTGAAAAGGAAAAAAGAAAAAAAAAAAGGAAAAGATAAATGATGCCACTAGACGAAAAGTAAATTTCCTATGTTATAAAAGAAAGAAAGAAAAAAAGAAAGAAATCAAAAGCATACGTTAGAAAATTGCAAAGTTTAACAATAAGAGAAGTTTCAACTGTAGTTGAAACTTTTCAAAAAAATCAAAATTATGTCAATTAAGAAATGTAAACTTGTAAGAAAATCTACAAGATTTTTTTAATGGAATTGTAGACAGATTGCACAGCTTTCATAGGGAAATAAGATAACATAAATGTTCCTAGGAGCTACAACTGGAAACAAGAGCTCTAAAACCTGCGGTTGGTAAATCTTTCGATTTTGCATGTGGTTCCTGACAAGCAAAATTAGGAAACTTCGGATTGGTCGAACCCGAACAAACTGGTGTTTTCAAATGTGACATTCACTGAAGTTCGTAAAACCTAATTTACACGGAGATCTTCAATATTTTTATCCGTTTCGTTATTAACAATAAACAAAAAAAAACTATCAATGAAGATAACGGTCAGGGATCAATGTTCCAAGATTAAGTACAAATTTAGTCAAGAGAAGCGAATAAAAAATTGTGCCAATTAGGTCAACCTTTCGGAGGGGTATGCCAAAATATTCTAATTCAAAAGAAATATGATATTGCTTGAAAATGGAGAATTGAAACTAGATGAGCTGAAATGAAACTCAGATGTGGCACACTCTCAAAGGTTTAAATTAAATTACTAGAAACTTCAAGTTTAAGGACGAAGTACTATCAAGTTGAAAATTTAATTAGCTGACTTAGAGCTTATAAGCTTCAAAAATATATGTGATGATGACAAGGAGTTGAATTGGCATGAAATCTCCGCCAGGAAAATCTTTCCAAAGCTGCATTGCATAAAGCAGTCATACAATGGTATTGAAAAAATTACTCTTTAAAAAATTTCAAGCGAAAACTTAATATTTTAATTGGTGTGAAAAAATGCTTAAGAGCTGACAAGAAGCAGCGAAAGCAGCGTTTATAAAAATTAATAAATTTCCCATTCAAGAAAAAAAAAGCCCGATGTAAAGTTGTAAAATGATGTGATGTCTCAGAATTGATACAACCAACTGTAAACATTTTGTTACACTAATTTGAAACACAAGAGTCGTATGAGAGAGAGAGAGAAGACATACGAAACCAAAGTGATAAAAAGTAGGACATTAGCTAACTGGCAACTAAATAAACAGACAAACAAATAAATAAATAAATAAATAGTCACTTAATAATTCGTGCATATAAGTACTGACTAATACATATTTTATCTAGGTTTTTGTTTTCAAAAAATATCATTTAAATATAATACAGAGTTAAAAATTTAGTAAAAAATTTTTTTAAAGATCTTTAAGCAGACTAGAAATAATTTTTCTTCTTGTATCTTTTGTCTCTTTTTCGGTCAGATAAATAGTATTTATACATGGTGAGAATTTTTTATACACGAAAAAATTATTTACACTACCAGTGTTTGTAACCAACATTATCACAAGAGCCTAGGATTTGTTTTGATCCAATGTACGATTCTCTAATTCCATTCTTCTACAAACAGAAAAATAAAAGCAGCTGACACGCAAAATTCTTTTATAAATATAATATCACTTTTTTTTGCTTATTTAACTAGTACCAAACTTCTTTACCTATACAATTCGGTACTTAACGTAAAAAGGAGGTACACAATTTTTACCACAATTTTACCGCTGACACTTTGAAGCATGCAAAAACTTTGCTCATTAGACGGCCGTTAAATTTCGATTAAGCATGTTCCCTCTTTGAGTGAATTAAATTGCAGCATTGTAGTATTAGATATATAATGTCATTCTGCAGAGGACGACCTTGAAAAACTGCAAACTTTGGTAATTCTTATTTTGCTAAAGGACTATCACAATCTATTTTTTGGTTTTAGATGAATCTAAGATCTATATAAAAACAACTTGGTCAGAAAAAGAATTAAGTTCTAAATGCCGGTCCTTAACTGGTTCATTTCAGACAGTTTGCTGTTTTTCAGAGATAGTAAAATGAGACATGAGTTATAGTAGGCTGTGAGAAAAACTGTAAGATAAAAATTTTTCGATTCACAGTTGAAACTACCTGATGATTTCGATGAAAGAGAATTAAGTAATTATGATAATGGGTGTTATAAAATAATAGTTCAATCTTTCTCTCAGATAGAGCTATAAAATTCTAATGGTGGAGACTCTAGTTCCTCGAAACACAAGGAAAAAATATACCTACTCGCTTTTTTTTTTCTTTTTATAGCTTGGGCTTAATCACAGTATGTATGCTTGAAGATATTTTTTATAGTTTGAAATGCAGACAGGAGTACTTAAAGAATCAACTACACTGTTGTCCTCACAGCTGAGTTATTGTTCTGGCCATCATTCTTCAAGTGAAATTTAGCTTTAAAGAACTGCCTCTTTGGTCTTTAAAGCAGACGATAAAAAGACAAATGCAGGAACTTTCTCATACATGCTGATAAAATCATAAGTACCGGTGACTTTCTTGATCACTCTTGAATTTAACTAAGAACGATTTTGATCAGAGGACAATTAAAGTTTTGGAAGGAATGGACTAACAAATTAGTGAGAAATATTTATTCCCCCCATTAGAGTGTTTCAAATTACCTTGAGAAGGCTTCAACAAATATGGCAGACACTGTCTTTACACACATTCGATGAGTTCATCAAATAAATGGATAAGTAAAGTAAGTGAACGGTTGACAATAAATGTTCTTTGAACAAACAACCTAGGATTTTGAGTCAGCATGAAGTTAATACATGAGCATTGTTTGTCTCATGCCAAATACAAGCTGATAGAGCTCGTTCTCAAGCCAGGAGCACAATATATTCTAGGAAACAAATGAATATTTATTTTACTTATAATATAATCTCCAACAAACATTAATTTTTAACAAATATAGTGAGTTTTTCCTTTTTTCAACATAAACTATTCACAGTCGTAAAGAGTTTTAATGACTAGTGACTGCTCACCGCATTAAGTTACTTCAGAGAAATTCCGTTTTGATGAAAACTGAGTGACATTGCAGAGGGGTCATTCGAAATATTCACTGCCTTGAAATTGAAAGAAAAAAAATTCTCATGAACTGGATCAAGGTGAAAATACAAACTTGCTGATTCAGAGACTGTATCTAAGAAACAGGAAAAAATTAATTTATTTATCACAAAATATCTGGATCAAATTCTGCTTGGATACTTTAATTTTCTTTCCTTAGTTTCATATTATGAACTCAGAACTGATCGATGAGTATGGTATACCGATAAAATAATTCCAAAATGTAAAATGACTTTAAGTTCAGTCAACGAATTGAATGGCACAGGCAACTCAGGCAGCTAGGCACCTCGATGTCCATCTTTCATGCAGTGCCACTTCATAGGATTGATATTCAAAACTAAAAAGATCGAGGTTCAAAGGGCAAGAAGTAACTACAGTAAAGAACAGAGGGCCGAAGGAAGTAGATAGACAATACAAGGTGGAATGTTATTTCCATCAAATATTAAAAAATACTTACTCTGAAATGGGAGGTCTATCAAACATTGGGATGAATAGCTATTCAGAGAAAACATACACCTGCTCAAACAAGCCAGCCTCTGTTTTCCTATCAGTACTTAAAGCAAAGAAATTCATTTTTAATTTTGCTTTACTTTTGATTGATAAACTTAATTCAAATGCCACTTGCCCTTGATAATGATAATATGCTGACCCCATTTAGAAAAGAAAGGACATAGAACAACTTGGTTACTGTGAAATCTCCGAAGTAACTTAGATCAGCAACAGTTTAACATTACAAATTAATTTATTTATTTAATAAATAAATTGAATTATCCACTTGATGAGGTACGTAACAATTTAACCTAGCTTTGAGGAAAAGAATACACTAGTATGATAATTCTCATTTGAGATCTTGATTAAACGAATCTTAAATCTAGGAGGGAAATAATGAAATAGAAATCAGAGAGAGTACTAAAATCCAGACAGATAGCAAATATTTCGCTTGCAAATTTTGGTTGGATTCAGTAACATTTTCTTCCAGTTTTCAGGAAAAGAAACTCGGAGGAGGGATAAACAAAGACTCCGTGTTGGGAGTCAAAGAAGTTGATCAAGATAGGAAAAAAATATAAAGTTCTTCTGAACAATAAAAATTCCATACAAAATTTCTTGTTACGCTATTTTTTAATTTAAATAATTTTAATAAATATAAGTTTAAAATATTTAATAAAATTTGAGCTTTATGTGCAATATATTGAACATTTCAACAATATAAAAGTATCTCGAATTCTTTAAAAATTTCAATAAAACATGCCTGTGTGCAAGTCATGCCGACTTTTGACTTGTAAAATTGGAATTCAAAAACTAGTCTGTAAAAATTTTAGTTCAAAAATGTCAAACTTTCCCTGTCTATTGTGTTCTAAGCAGTTTATACAACACTGTCTTCCACTTAAAGCAGTTTTAAACAAATTCTCATTACATGTTTAAAAACCGATTCACTCATTTCATATTCCTTGATGTCAGCTAGAAGATTCGGAAGCATACGATTGATTTCTAGACTAGATCAAAAAAAGCTCAATTAAAATTTTGTTGCTCGAATTTATTTAAACCAAAGAGGTGTCCGAGCAATGATTTGGTGAATAAATAAGTATGATGGACATTTATAATTGGAAGACCCCTTTATATTTAACTACAGACAGGGAGAAATATCATAGCAGAAAAGAGAGATATAAGCTGCCAGAGGTTGAAAAAACTATGAAAAAATCATAAATAGGAAAAGTGCCGTGATCGAAAAAAAGTTGAAAAAAAGAACTTGCACATTTTTGAACAAAACTCTTGTAAGACTAGAGATACTAGTTGATAAGGTGATGCAATGATTTAATTTGTACACAGACTGGAAAAGAATGAAAAATTTAGGAGCCATACTCAATTCCCATTTGGTCATTGCACTAAACTGACTGATATCTTTCCAAGTAATGATGGATGCTACTAAGCTACAAAAGAAAGGAAACTTCTCTACAGTTATGCAACTATACCGATTTTTTTGGTATTGTTGAAACAGAGGAGAAATTCATTTTAACTAGAGTTTCCAAGAAAATTAGCTACTGAGTATTAGTGAAGCTGAACCTTATTAAAATGACACAAGAAAACTTGATGCCAGTCTTTATTATTAGTTTGCTTTTCAACATTCATGAAAAGTAATTTTTTACGAGAGGTGGTGCCAAGAGGATACGTTTTGTTTTTTAACACACATTAATTTTTGTACTTGTGACAACACCCCCTTTTTCATTGGCTTGATGGTGTTATCGTCACCTGCCACTTTGGAGAACATCAGTGCTTTTGGTGTAACTTGTTCTCCATGTCAGTTTAACATAAGTAAAATATCTTGTACTTTAATCTTTTCTCTTTTTTTGTTCTTCTTAGTTATCTCAGTCACTTGGACTCCTCTGTGAAATAAACATTAATGCAAACAAACAAAATGCATTATAAAATTCAACTTTAATACGATGACCATTTCAAGATGAAAATATGCAGGAATTTGATTCAAGTGTAGAGTATGGAAATGGAATACGGCTACATGAAAATGAAGGGAATTCCTCAAAAAAAAGTAAAAGGGATACAGAAAACTGAAAAGCACAGTCAACTTTAGTGAAATTAAGAAAAAATATTAGAAGCTACGCAGCATTAGCCAGAAAACGTAAATTAAATAAAATGATTTCAGGTGATTTTCATTTCTTTTTCACACAAAATAAATAGACAAAAAAACGAAACTAAATAAAAGTAATCTTCTTCAAAAACTAAGTCTACAATTGGTAAAAGCTGATTAATTTTTGGTCAAACTAAATGATAATGAAGTAAGTGAAATATTCAAGGAACTAAAAAAGAAAATACTTCTAAACTGACATTGACACAAAACGACACGAGGAAATGAGAGACAATATTTTACGTGAGGAACAAAATAGACAAAAACCATAAAACTAAAAATGTACTATGAGATGTAGAATAAATTATGACATAAGAGAGGAGGTGAAAAGAAAATAACGCAACAAAAGTTTCCGCATTCAAGCTCTCAACAGCTATGCATTGAGTTTGTGATGGTAAGAAATGGATCTCTGCGGAAAACTAGAGCAGGGGAAAAGAGTCTGCTAAATTTGATGATTTCGCTTAAATAGTCTGATTTGTCTAGATATTGGCTCATTCTAGCTTTGCTGAGAAATGAAACCAACTTTAGAGAGCTCTGAGAGAAGCCTAGGTACATCCCTTAGATCTGAATTAAATTAAATCCAACTGAGACTAGACAATTTACCAGATAAAATATCCTAGTAATCCATATTACTATTTTTATATATATAACTACAAAAAATGTACAAGTATAAAAAAGTTCAATTAAAAAATTGAATCGGTTCAGTGTCGGGCCAAGAATCAGCATCATTTAGTTGCAGAAGCAATATAGGGTAGAAAAAACAAGAAACAAAAAAGAAAGAAAAAAAAACTAAGGAAAAAAGCCTTATTTGTACACAAAAATTAGAGAAAACCACAAAAAAGAAGAAAAAACGACAAGTAGTCAGGAAACATAAATACGATTACAACAAATACGAATAAGTACTATGGTGATTTGAATCTAAAGCTAAATTTTCAACGAACATTATCTGAAAGAAAAAGGAAAAGATGGTAGTAAGAGTAGTAATTATTGATATTAAGATGATAATAATAATAATAATTAATCATAATAATAATGGTTAATAAAGATAAGAATAATAATGCTGATGATAATAATACTTATCGATAATTAAATTTTGATAATTATAATGAGACAATACTAATAAATGTAATAATACGAACATCAAAAGTAAGAAGATAAGTAATTTGAAAAATAATTATCATAATAATACAATGTAATAATAAATAATAATGATGATACTATAACACAGAACATGCTTCTGATTCTCGGCGTAACACTGAACCCGCACCCGTTCTGACTAGGCATTGCATGGCGACACTTGAGATGAAAACTCACGCATTCGCAAAACATAATTTCTTCAAAGAGCCACTTTTTTTTCTATTTAATGGAAGTTTCATTCTTAGAGGCAACCAAAATATCACTTTTCTTCTCTAGAATAATACTGCTTCCTGGTGCCAGAAAGCTGTCCATTTTTTTCATTCAACATCACAAAGGTATTCATCGTACACTAATTATGGTGCTGAGAGGAACGAGGAGTCTTGCAAAGAATTTTACTGATCATAAAACTTTTAACAAATTCACATCTTACACTTGGATATAACTATTCACAAAAAAGGTGAAAAATCGAGGCAAATGAATGATGCAGCTCTGAAGGAATTAAATTATTGCACTAAATAGCATATGTTTTAAGGTTTATTCAATCCCTTCGAATAAAAGAAATTAAGAACTTTTAGATTAAAGGCTCTTAGACTCCAAGAGATTGACAGGCACAATGTTTTAAAGGCCGAGCTAGCATAGCGGAGAGAGAGATATGATGCCTTGCCAATAAGTAGCTTCCACCTGTAAGTATCGATATTAAATCGCTCTCTATCAAAGTTGAATCTCATAAAGTAAAAAAAAATGAAAATCTGAGACTTTAAGTCAAAAAGGGAACTAAAATTATGCATTTTCAAAATGCATCAAAGTAAAAATGAGATGCTTCTCAATGTACTGAACGTAAAATAAAGATACTTCAAACAACTTTCCAGGTAACACTTGGAAAATGAAAATGGTTTCAAAATGATTAAAATTTTTGAAAAGAAACTACCTACCAACTTTAATAGAGAGTTTTAGGTAAAGATTATTTTTATAAAAATGACTAGCTATGATTGATTCATGTACCTATCGCACCAATTTATGATGTTTTACTCTTGTTGGTTTTGAATGAGACCTGCAAGACTCGGTTGCCCAATGTGTATCCATTGAGTGATTGGATAGCAACAATAGCTTCATCATAATTTGTCATTGTAACAAATCCGAAGCCTTTGCACTTGTTGGTCTGAAGGTCGCGAATGACTTTCACACTTTGAACAGCACCAAATGGACCAAAAAGCTGCCACAGAACATTCTCTTCCGTTTCTGGAGCCAAGTTATACACGAATATACACCAACCGGAGCCATTCATCGTGTTGCCAGGGAGCATTGAGTTGGCCAGAAGATCCCCAGCAAGAGGTGAGTACCTATAACAATGAAAATTATTGTTCAAAGCATTTTCGGAAAACAGTTTCGGTAAACAACTGAAAGTACCTAGATGTATAGAAAGCAGACTTTTCCCTCATAGAATGTTCTGAGAGGGGGAGGGGGCCAACATGATTTCAACATGTGTAAAGGAGAGATTCAAATATTGTCAGTTGAACTTCAGGCTGACAAGGGGAGTCTACGAAGTGACATCCTGGGATTGGGTTCATTTTGCTTGTACATGAAGAAGAGACAAATCTAAGGTTGACGTATTTTTTTTTAGCCGCCAACTCCCAACCGTTCTCGAGATATCGATTTTTAAAGTTACGATTTTTGCACGTTTCCGCGCGGAGTTCCGGCGAGTCAACTGAGCGCCGGCAAGCTGCACGAAGCGCGTTTCCTATCAGCGCTGCAGACCGGTCATCCTTATTAACAGATCCGTGGTCGAGTGGTAGAGCGTTCGCCTTCTGTTCCATCGACCGCGGGTTCGAATCCCGCTTCGTGCCGTAGCTTTTAGGATACGCCGCAATGCGTTTTTACAAGTTTTCTTTATTTTTATCACACACCAAGGGTTCCGCCCCCTGGCCGCTGCGCGGCCCAACCCCCGGGGCAAAAAGGCGCGCTTCGCGGCGAGCGAAATCATCGAAATCGACCGTTGACGGTTACTGGGTAAATAATTTTAATTGAATGATAAAATTATGTTTTAAATAAAAATTTCCCACCACACAATATTCTTAATGACTTTTTCCTTACTCTGAATTTGCAACCGTCAACGGTCGATTTCGATGATTTCGCTCGCCGCGAAGCGCGCCTTTTTGCCCCGGGGGTTGGGCCGCGCAGCGGCCAGTGGGCGGACCCCTTGGTGTGTGATAAAAATAAAGAAAACTTGTAAAAACGCATTGCGGCGTACCCTAAAAGCTACGGCACGAAGCGGGATTCGAGCCCGCGGTCGATGGAACAGAAGGCGAACGCTCTATACCACTCGGCCACGGAACTGTTGATAAGGATGACCGGTCTGCAGCGCTGATAGGAAACGCGCTTCGTGCAGCTTGCCGGCGCTCAGTTGACTCGCCGGAACTCCGCGCGGAAACGTGCAAAAATCGTAACTTTAAAAATCGATATCTCGAGAACGGTTGGGAGTTGGCGGCTAAAAAAAAATACGTCAACCTTAGATTTGTCTCTTCTTCATGTACAAGCAAAATGAACCCAATCCCAGGATGTCACTTCGTAGACTCCCCTTGTGAGGCTTTTCTACAATGTGAAAAAAAATTGAAAATAAAGAAACTAAATCCTTATTTACAGCCCTGAAAATGATTTCCTAGATTTACATCGCATGTTGGGAGGATGAGTCCTCTGTAAAAGTCATACATTTTTGTTGTGTATTTTACTATTTAACGAATGTTTCTTCCAGTAAAAACCTAGAGCTCTGTGTCTGGTGACGTGTCTTAGATTTTCCCATATCAGGTTGCTACTTTTATTATTTCACTTTCTGGGGAGAGGATATAAATGTACATACAAGAGGAGCATGTGTTATGGAGATATCCTTGCAAATATTCTAAAAAATAAAGGGGAGGGAGCCATTGATTTTGGAAATAATTATACCCAAAGCAAGAAGAGAAAAAGGAAGGAGAAGGTGACGGACAGATGGGAGGAGAAAAGTAATTACTCGATCATTTTTTCTCACGAGACACTACAATTCTTCAGCCTTCCATACTTAACAATTGCTGACATGAGTTTGAAACAAAAAAATCCTTTGCTCTGCGACAAAGGTTAAACCCTTAGAATATGAATAACGAGGACCCTGAGAACTATTTGGCTCCATTTGTTCTAGCACATCAAAAAGCAAATAGACTAGCTATTTACAAGAAGAGTGAAGTTGATGATGATAAAACCGAAATTTTTTTATCACTTGGAACAAAGGTTGTTCCAGCCCACCATGATACCTCCTACTGTTGATAAGACTTCTGTGTTGCCTTACAGGCTCCCAAATTTTGCGTGCAAAAATAAAACCTGCCTTCCTGACTTAAACAACTTCAAACAAAATGCCATTGTTGCTTGTTTCTAAAAACTGTTGCGAGGGCTGCTTCCAGACAAAACACGTTTATAACTTTGCCAAACAGCCTAGATGTTACAATCGGGAACTAATATTTCTGACACATTCATAGAAGGGACCACCTGTGCAGGAAATCTATGGGCACGTATGTTTTTTTCTTCTTTTAAAAATAAGCCAGAAATAATAGTTCCTCATTGTAAAATGTAGTCCAAACGCATTGCATGATACCCATATCCCTGTTCTTTTCTTGCGTGTTTCATGATTGAGGATTCAAATGATGATTTCCTAAAGCCAGAGTCAGGGGCTATCATTTGATGACAAAACGTGACACCACAAAATAGAACACAGACGAACATCAAACAGCAAGAACTTGAGCCCTAGAAGAGTGAGGATGTTTGTTGAGACTCACAAGAGGATTTATGGAACAAGTTAACATTTTTATGAGAATTTACATTCCAGTGGACAGGGGGCTGAGCAACATCAGAAAAGCTTGAGATTCGTAGAGGACAATCAGACTGACACTGACAACATTTGAAACAACTTTTATATTGAACAACCCTGGTGTATAGATAGTACTTTCATTCTGAATGAAGATGACTTAATGGCAGACTGTAATTTCCCACCAGAAATGAAACTATTTTTAAAAAAATGTTAACTTTACAAAAGACAAATAAAAACATTTTCTGTGGAGGATAAAAGAAAATTAAAAATTGAAAAACCAAGAAAACAGAAAACAATCGAAAACAGAGGAGAAGAAAGAAGAAGAAGAATCAGAGAAAAAAAGGTACAAGTGAAACGTAAACAGTTGACACAAACGATAAAAATAAAGAGTAATGATTATAGTAATGAGAAATTGAGTCAGAAGACAAAACAAGTAAAAATTAGCAATGGAATAAGAAAGGTTGCCAGTGCACGTGTTAATTTGAATTTAAATTTAAATTATTGGTACATTTTTCAAGAATTTTAGAAGAGGCTCTTCAAGCATGATGTGGTTCTGAGTGTTCTGGATATTTTTCACACAGTATAAGAAAGCACACATACTACAGCTATAGCTCTAGCATGGTAAAAAAATTGTCTCCAGTAGCAGAAGATAATAAAGACTGACTTTGCTGCTCTGATTACTCTTACTTCATCAAGTAAGACATACACAAACCTTCAGGAAGTTCTGGGTCTTAGGGTTTTGTTCAGTGTTCCGCCTTTCCTAGGCGCCATGCATCCAAAAAATTGAGCTTTGGTGCCTAGAAACTGGGGGGGGGGGACTTGGGCCATCATGACGGCTAAAATAATCGATTTACCTGAACGATTTTTCTAAAACTTGCAATTGATGGTGCTTTTAACGCACTGTACGCAACGTGGTCTTGCTACCCAAAAATGAGAAGATTCAAGAAGTGGACAAAGACATGGAGCAAAGCAGTTTATCATTTGCAAAAAGTTAATTTTGCTCCTGAAATTGAAGATGGCTCCTAAAAATTGGGCTTACCAGCCAAGATGACTCCTAAAATTTTAAGAGAAAGGCCGAACACTGATTATGCTTGATGTGAGGGTGTAGCAGCAGGAGTTTCTCAAGTGAGAAGTACTATGAATATTTTTAAAATCACGCAAAAACTTTGACTGCAGAGTGTGCTGTCCTTCCAATAATATGAGGTCTGTTAGATAAGAAACCGAATTTTAGTGATAACTAGCCCATCATGCGTCCAAATGAGGTTTTCTTGGACTTTCTTGATAGCTTTCCTATGAGCTTCTTTTTTGAAAAATATGATCTTAAAAGATTACTTCAACTCCAAACATATCTGTCTTTTAAACACAACATGCCTATAAAGGAATATTGTTAAGACAAAACACTATTACATTAGATAGTCTACTAAGTTTAAGGGCAATGATCTTAACTTATTACACACTCCGATTACAAACGTATGTCTAAAATTCAGAGCGAATAGTATCAGAAGACAGGCATCGCATCGAACATGTACCTTTTGACTGGTCAGGAAAAGTTAGAGTGCTGTGCATTTTTTAAATATGTGGGCTAGGTAAAGGTTTGCTTCAAATTTTTTTGGTTTTGTTAGCTTTTACGGTCAATTTTAAACAAATTGCTAACAAAGGAAATTCTATTGCATGAGGCGTGACTGGCAACCCTAGAAGAGAAATAAAAGAGACTGATCTATTGTTAGCATGCCTGGCATTATGAACGGCAATGATGCGGTTAGTACTGACCTCTGTAGGCCTTTGTTAATGGCTAGCATGGTCTTGCCAGTGCTAAAACAAAATACAGAAAAAACCATAAGAAAAGGCACAAAATCGAATGGAGGCTCAAAAAGTTTTCATTGAGCCACCTTCAAAGAAAAAAGGAAGAAGAACAGAAAAGGAAAAAAAAATTGAAAACCAAAATTAACACAAAACGTTCATGTGTTAATAAAAAAATCATGTTGAAATTGGAGAAATCATAAAAAATTTGATAAGTAAGTAAATAAAACAAAGAAAATAAATCGGTCAATTTCCCCAAAAATTCAGACCTACCATGACAGTAACTGACATAATAGGTATGTGTATTCTAGTGGAAGTAGAAACTGGTGAGATAAGCATGTAATCAATATTGTATTTAGACGTTACAAAATATGGACCATTAAAAAAATCGGAGAATTTCCAATTAAAACAGCACAAAATAATGGAAACGGACATTTGATGAGGTGGCAATCTCTCATGGAATATTGGTAAACATTTCCGCAGAAACCATAATTTCTTGTACACTCTTTTCCCTGCATAATTTGATGGGACATCATACAGCATTTAGGTAATTTTTAACAGTAACTGTTAAGTGTGGCTTGCAAGTTTAAAGAAAGCGCACAGCCAACAAAAAAAAAAAAATCAATTCATTGCAAACTAATTTACGGACAAATTTAGTGGGCATATGTCTTTTTTTTCTCTTTTCTTTGGATGATGTATAAAAAGTTCAGGTGATTCTTTTAAGTTTTGTTTCCACAGTTGCAAACCCATTACTTCAGGTCTTCATCACCGAAGTTACCCGAAAATCTAACCAGTTACCCGAGTAACTGTAAATGCAGTAATGATGAAGTCTGCAGAAAACTTCAAACTTCATTACCAAAGAGGGTTTGACAGTGCACATGAGATTCCTGTGTATTTTGACCGTTTCTGAGTATTAAAAATTCAGGTTTTCAATCAATTTTTCCTTCTTCTTTAAATGGATGAGTGAAATCAACTGCGCTCAGCTTAGAGCAAAAGGATTCCCTCAGGAGTAAGATAAGGTAAACTACTGAGGCTAATCACAACACTGAAGAGTGTCAACAGACATTAGTGCAGAGCGAAACTATTAATTTGTTTCTTATTATGAAAACAAAAATTTGTGAAATTCATTTCTTTACTTTACTTTACAATTTCAATAAGTGAGATTTTCAGAAGATCCAAGAAATTCGATAAAAAATTTCAAGTGTGATAAATTTGAAAACTTAAAGCTGCTAATTTTAAAAATATTGATTAATATTCTAGATTTCATATATAAAGATAGAGATTACTAATATTCTGAAAAGAATAGTTCAGCGGGTTTGGAAAATATATTTAAGAAAAAAAGAGAGCAAACGTAGAAAATATGTTAAAGAAGGAAGGAGAGTGATCAAAAGATTAAGAAGCAAATTTTTTGGCAAGCAAAGAGGACTGGTGTCACAGTGGACCACTAGACAAGGTGCACATTAAAAAATTACGATACATACTTTCTCATCAAAATTCCATTTACAGCACGATTTGTGCAACAAAAATTAATCAAAATAACTTCTAACCGAGATTTAAACTTTTAACAATGCATAGATTCAAACTTCCTGCTCAAAAAACCATGACCTATTTGAGTTAAATGGCACACTAACCATTACTACAACCAATTCTGCAGTGTGAAAACATATCAATTTCAATCTCACGGCTTCACCTCAGCTGTTGCACATGGTTTACACTTTGAACAACACAGGGTGAGAAAAGAACGCTGCCAAAACCGTGATTAAGTAGGATTTGATTCGAGTGGACTCTGGGTTATCCTGTGAGCGGAATATTCAATTTTTCCTTAGCCAAATCTAAGTAAAAATGTTAATATCTTGGTTTGGAGTTGATTGCAGTAATTTTTGATGCGCAAATCATGTTTTAAGAGAAATTTTGAAGAGATGTATCAGAATGCTTAAATTTGTACCTTGTCTATAGGTCCATTACAATGTCTTGTAGAAATAGACTAACAGCTTTTACGCAGGCATCTCATACAAAGGTACTGGAGAAAAAATGTAAACTCCCTGAATCTGTCGACCAGCAATTACTATACTTGATACAAGGTCTTTTGTGAATAGAAGATGGAAAACAAATTGAACGCAGGTGATCAATAGTAAAAAATTGATCAGTTGAGCTCAACTTAGACTATTTAGAAGGTTAATGGAATAAGCTTACAACATTCTGCAAACCTATTTTGGATTTTGTTCATAGTTATCTCAATACTGACTCAGTTTTTTTCTTGGTATAGCCAGTGTATATGAATAGGTAAATCATTCACCTCCTCCCCCCTCTCATGCGGTAGGTGGAGACCTATTAATATCGAGGCATCAACATTTAAGCCATCAACATGGCATTCAAAATAGCTAGTATAGCAATCTCCACTCGATTGATTTCAGTGTGACAGCATTTTTACAATGATAATTTAATTCCATTTTTGGGACTGAAATAAAGGAGTAAATATTTTCCAGAAAATTTGCTTCTGTCCCTGTCCTGAATGCTGTAAAGAAAAGTTAAGAATTGTAAGTCAAGACCGCTTACACTCCCTCAGCTGTTGACATAATTTTAGAATGAGAAAGAACATATGAGGTGATAAATTATTGATGTTCTCACAATAAAGCACAGTAGAAAAAGGATAACAGTTAAAAAGTTAAAACAAGGGAAGGACTCAACTTTTGGAGTCAGTTGGGCTTATGGTTGGGGGGGGGAGGGGCTGATGGAAAGATGAAGGGGAGCAAAACACCATGCAGATAAACAAAGGAAACGTACCCAGTTTTTGCTTCCGACCACAGAGGCAATCCATAAGGGCTGCTAAGTCAAAAGGCAAGGCCACTCAGTTAGATAAGACATCATGCAGTTTTAGAAGTTTTAAAAAATGTGAGAGCAGAAAATTGCGACCTTATTCTTGACAAAACATGAGGGCCAATCTTCGGGAGAATATTAAAAACTTTAACTCAGAAATTAATTCAGAATTGAAAATTTCAGTGTCCAGGCTCAAGCTTAAGAAAAATCCAAAGGGCACTGATTGGAGATTTTAATTTGCAGATAACATCAACAACTCCAATTCTCATGAATTGACACTCTTTTAGATATGTTTACCTTGGCGATTTATGAGAAGAACTCATTGGACCACTAATGTTATTCTTACATTTAAGGATGTTGGCCGGAATAAGGTCGCTTTTTCTCGTACACATTTCAATTTTGACTGCAATAAAATGATTCTACTCAAAGTGTTAGTTGATCTATTTTGGTCTATAACTAGCCACAGAAGAGTGACTTTATGAAGAGGCGAATAGCCAAGAGGTTGAGAGCAAACAGAGATTTCCCAGTTGAGCCAAACAAGAGTGTTAGATGCAGGTCCATTACTTTAATTACTGAGGTTATTTGGGCACTTTAAAACTGTCGAGCCATTCTTGAAAATAGCTCCTGTTTTGGGTTGACCCTTACTTTATATTACAAAGTAATAGGTCCTACAGATTCTATCTCAATAAATCTTTGATACAATTAAAAAGGCTGTGAATGGATAACTCTCTCTAGTATGCTTTCTAAGAGCGACTAAAACTCCAAGTATGCCATTTAGGAGGACAAAATTTCTTCAAAAATCTCTCAAATACAAAATTTGTTGTCGACTGTTCAACTGTAAATCGGTTTGTGTGGAAACTTCCATGTTCATTTGTTTAGCTTCTTCTTTTTAAAGGTTAAAATACTATTCAAGGTCAGAGATGCAATCATGGAAGGGGTGTAAAGACTCGCTTTGGGACTTCGGTAACCCCAAAATGAACTAACATTCCAATTAAGAGAAACATTCAGCGATTCAGAACTTTCTACACCTGAAAGTTCAAAATCGAAGGATCTCATTCAGGAATACAGGACTCAGGAAGACAGGAGCTTACGTTTGAGTAGAATCATTTAATTGGATAGCCAATAAGGATTAGTTAAAGACAGTAATTTGGGTCTGCTTAAGCTAGCAACAGTCTATTAAGAACAGTTTGTGTTTCTTAAAATCTTCTATTTTTAAGAAAAACAGAGCTGTGTGAGCTCACACAGCACAATTTTTCCACACATTCAATTCATTTCCAGAAGTTCGTATTTCTGGAAAAATGGGTCTATCTCGAACAAAAGATTCCAATTTAGTTGACTCTTTATGGAAAAAAGAATGTTAAGTGTATCAATTCTAGATTCAATTTCTAGATGAAATATTTGTACAGTTGGCTACATCTCTTGGGAGTAACAGACTCTTCTAGCCCATCGGAGAAATCCTTGAAATTTCATGTGAGCATAAATTCAGAATTGAGAATTTTGAAATTTAGGGTGTCATCTTACAAGCTAACTTCATATGGGTTCTTGGATTAGCTGGCATGATTAGTAAAGCACAGTGAACGAGACAAATAGTTTCACTTCATCCCCTGAGACACTAAATGAGTTATGTCAGGTCATACAAATGCTAACATATCAAACCTAGTTCACGAACTATCATTCTTGTAACACGACCAAGAATCATATTAGCACCACTGCCCTGGACACCACTATAGCATTTGCAATTCCTTCTCTATAAAACTAAAATTCTTCAGTATGTAGCTACGGATATGCACTGAGGAATTTTTCTCAAACACAGACTGGAGTAACGTCAAAACACACGAATGAAGGTGATGCATTATGGTTGTTTCAGCATGACGTAGAATTTTGACAAGAAAAGGAGCATGAAATGCAAGAGGATGAACAGGTCTTAGTGCAAAAAAAAACTCTATAGAAACCCTTAACTAGATAAAGAGGGGGAATGATTAGTGTGGTGTTCAAATAATACAATTATCCTCCCCCTCCCTCGAAAAGGGGTTAAAATTGAAAGTTGATTTTCTTCACTCATACATAAGTCTTCTCATCAATGCCATGGTATCATAGTTGAGAGGAGGCCATAATTGTCACTTAGAGTCAGAATCATCGGAATATCTAAGATGCTGGCAATCATGCTTCTGTCGTCAGACTCAAATAAACTTTTTTTTTTACCAATATTTGTTGTTGTTGATGCAAGAGAGGAGTTCAAAATTACGAGCATGAAAAATTCTACTTTTCCTTTCATGAATTAAGTTTGGAACTTTTCTTCCAGTGCCCAATGTTGAAATTTCAAAAGACACTTAAATCCTAGTTTGATTACCAATGATAAAATGGATTTGGGTTACAATTAACAAGAATAAAACTGATGCCAAGATTCATTCTAGTTTTCTGGAAGTTTCTTAGGAAAAGGAGAGGTTGTCCAGATTTATTTTTGATAAGGCCATTGTAAATGTAAGTAATGGTAGTTTGACCGAGGTACTTGAGGCCTTGGTCAAACTAGCATTACTTACATAAAAGGAAAGGGGAGAAAGTGTAAGAATTTTACCTGAATCGTCCAGTTGGATGATGGATGGGTCCACCAAACCTTCTGGCAGCTTGGGGCGCCAGGTAAGCAGTCAGAGGTGTAAGTGCCTTATTGCTACTGCTGGGATTGTTGGCAAATTTCACGGTGATTGGTTCTGTGCAGTTCTTCGGGGTGGTACCATTCAACTCCTGAATGGCTCGCTCAGCTTCAATTCTTTGGTCGAACCTTATGAATCCGACACCTTTAGATAAACCTGAAATAAATAAGCAAATATTATCCAAATTTTGGACATTATCCAGCTTAACTGGAAACGGCGCAACACCTTTCCCAGGGGGCTGAATAAGATAATCACTTCATAGAAAAACGATAAATAATAAATGTGTTTCTTAGTCAGAAATTAATTAATAGCCCAGGCAATAGAGGATAGAATAGGGGTTTACCTTGCAAAATTTAGGTGAAATCAGGTTATGATTGATTCCTATGTAATTTTTTACGCTGAATCCGAATTTTTGGTTTCCCAACAAATTTTCCTTGTGCTAACTCCGGAAAATCGGAAAAACCGCGAAAAATCACGTTTTTCCGCGGTTTTCCCGAGATATCTCTTTTCCAGTGCGATATATCGAGAAAATAGTTATTTCCAAAAATAAAGCTGATAAAATTTCCTATAAAAATGATTCGAACGTTTTTTTCATACGTCCATTAGGGAGAGTGCTGGAGCTGTGGAAAGCTCTAAAAACTCGTAAAATCGCGATTTTCCACGGTTTTTTGCCACTTGTGTGAAATAAATTTGTTCTTTCGCAAAATTTCAAGATAGTCTTACCTTAAAAATTAATGCTGCTTACTTTGAAGACAAAAATGATGACAATTTTTTCTTTTTAGGTCCAGTGGGAGCGGTTTTAAAGCCGCGAAAGGCTGTGAGAAGCTCGAAAATCGCGATTTTCCGGCATATTTTCGTAACAAATCCGTTCTTGTACAAAAAACTCATTTAAAGTGACTTCAAAATTCAATCTTATAAAATTGTCAACATACATACGTAGAATTTGCCCCCTTGGCGCACCCTGGTGCTCTGCGACATCCAAACGCCAGGTGTGCTTATCTACGTAAAGATAAGTAGACAACGAACGACGTAATAAAATAGTGCAATTTTCAACATACTTAAATGATGTTGAAAGTTATAATGATGTTGAAGTATATATCTAAAGAAACAATGGATATGGATTTGTCGGAAACGTAAATAATGCAAAAAGTTGACATTTGAAGAATGTATTGATACAATTTTTCAATTATGCGAAAACAACTATAATAGTATCGTAATAATTTTATAATAACTATGATAGTAAATATGTTCCATGTCAAGCAGTATAATTCAGATGCATGATCAGGTACTCTGCTGAGTGAATGTCCTGAGGATCTGAAAGCATAATGAAAAGCACGGGTATAATGGCATACCGTAACATATTTTCTATCGGTGAAAGAGCAACTAAGTTATAAAGTTGGGTCATGGTTTAAAATGGCAAGAGGAACGTAATTGTTGAATTGTTATAGGTGTTATCGGTGTTTTTTTCTCTCTTTTCTGCTATCTGAGAATGTTAATTTGTGCCTACTATAATGTAAATTTTCTCTTCTTAATCAACTCATCGAAAAACTATTGTAAAATTGATGGGAAAATTCTCACGTGCGTTGTTATCACTGCCATCTTTGCAGTATTTTACGACTTCTGCATGAAATCGTCTAAATCGGAGAAAAGGAACTTCTGGTTTGATGGATTTATCTGAATTTGAATGGACCACTAGACAAGGTACGAATTTTAGCATTCTGATACATGTTTCTTACCAAAAAGTTCACGTAGAACACGATGCGCACAACGAAAATTACCGAAATCAACTCCTTACGAAGATATTTAATGATTCTTGATGCGTGAATTCAAACCACCCGCTAATGAAAACTCAATGCTCTACATGATTCACATCGCGCGCTAAACGTTTATCATGATAGTCTCTGCGATATAAAAATCTGAAAACCTCAATCTTGATGGTTTGGCTCCGCTATAGCAAATTTCTTGTGGTTTGAACAACACATGATGGGAAATGAACATTGCTCGATTGAGAAGCTTACTGAAACCGTTGTAGTGCGCGATTTGACTCAAGTAGAGCTTTGAGTTTCTTGTGAGCGGGCAGTGCAAATTCTTCGTAACCAATGTGAAATAAAAACGTTAATATCTTCGTTAGGAGTTGGTTTCAGTAATTTTCATAGCACGAATCGAGTACTACGTGAAATTCTGGTGAAGTATCATGCGTCAGATTGCTTAAATTCGTACCTTGTCTAGTGGTCCATTGCTCGTTTGAGCTTTTGCAACATCGTATACTAGAATAAGAGAGACGTATGCCTAGGAAAATCTTTTGGTATTAATCTGAGAGGAGAACAATCATAAATGCAACCTGCATTCAATACGGTTCGCAGATTCAATGGCAATTTTTCGCTTCCTTGGCATTTCAGGATCTTATTTTTGTTGTCAATGAGTATTTATCCATTGATTGTTGGTTCATAATGACGCTACAGTTATTTGGAAATAATGTGACACTTGCGCAATTAATAGAGTAGTGTCATGATTGCTGAAATCAAGAATATTAATGTGATCTGCCGTAAGGCTAAAATTCTACATCTATAGTACAAGCCTCCCAACAGTATGAGTAGTTCACGGGCGCGTGCCGTGATTACTCTCATTCTCGTTTTCTCAATTACCTAGAGTCGCCTCATTTACATCACTGATAAAACCGAAGTGGAAGAAATCGTGATTTGAATTTCCGCGGTATATGAAGTCAATGAGTACAATTTTTTCAGCATCACTGGCCATGTCTATCAATTCAAATAAAAATAAAAAATTGAGTGACATTAATACCTGCAAACGTCTCCGAACCTCTTTCATCTCTTCGGTCGTCCGCTGTTCTTCCTGTGAACGATTCAGGAGCATATTCCATAAATCATCAGGATCATCTACGATAAGTTCCGCGGATAAGTCCTCATTGGGTGCAGTCTCACATGTACCATTAAAATTTCGACACATAATTGTGCAATTTAATCCACCGATAACATCATCACATTGAATTTTAAATTTTGAGGTATATTTTTAGCCCCATATTTTTACACAAGATGATTGATTTGCGGCTTAAAAGTGGAAAATCACAATTTTTCGTATTTTTTGAGCTACCCATAATTCTCTATGCGGCACTTTTTGACCCATGCTAAAAGCTTTTCACGTCATATTATGTGTTGACAATTTTATAAGATTAAATCTTGAAGTCTCCATTAGCTGAGTTTTTGGCACAAGAACGGATGTGTAACGAAAATATGCCGGAAATCTAGGAAAATCATTCCAGAAATTGTAGTAGTACATTCTTTAAATGTCAACTTTTTGAATTATTTACACTTTTGACAAATCCATATCCGTTGTTTCTTTAGATATATAAGGAACTTTCAACATCATTTAAGTATGTTGAAAATTGCACTATTTTATTACGTCGTTCGTTGTCTACTTATCTTTACGTAGATAAGCACACCTGGCGTTTGGATGTCGCAGAGCACCAGGGTGCGCCAAGGGGGCAAATTCTACGTATGTATGTTGACAATTTTATAAGATTGAATTTTGAAGTCACTTTAAATGAGTTTTTTGTACAAGAACGGATTTGTTACGAAAATATGCCGGAAAATCGCGATTTTCGAGCTTCTCACGGCCTTTCGCGGCTTTAAAACCGCTCCCACTGGACCTAAAAAGAAAAAATTGTCATCATTTTTGTCTTCAAAGTAAGCAGCATTAATTTTTAAGGTAAGACTATCTTGAAATTTTGCGAAAGAACAAATTTATTTCACACAAGTGGCAAAAAACCGTGGAAAATCGCGATTTTACGAGTTTTTAGAGCTTTCCACAGCTCCAGCACTCTCCCTAATGGACGTATGAAAAAAACGTTCGAATCATTTTTATAGGAAATTTTATCAGCTTTATTTTTGGAAATAACTATTTTCTCGATATATCGCACTGGAAAAGAGATATCTCGGGAAAACCGCGGAAAAACGTGATTTTTCGCGGTTTTTCCGATTTTCCGGAGTAAGCACAAGGATAATTTGTTGGGAAACCAAAAATTCGGATTCAGCGTAAAAAATTACATAGGAATCAATCATAACCTGATTTCACCTAAATTTTGCAAGGTAAAATCCTTTATTGCCTGGACTATAAGGTAATTAATATTTGCACAGTACTTTTATTTATCACCTATTGGGGGTGAATGAAGTATCCATGGTAGGTGATGCTTGGTGTTTAACATTAAGGTGGTTCTTCAGAGCTTTCAAGAGCAATTCAAAAGTCTATTAATCAATTGATAATTTCTAAATTTTATTCGTGAGAGTTTCTGGGCATACCATGGCACTGTAGTACGTTAGATAATAATGAAGAATCTTGGATTCAGAAACATTTTGAGAGAATTTCAAAAGTACAATCACAGTGAATATCGGAGATCGAAAGGCAGATGGAATTGCGAAATTCACTTGGACCGTTCTTGTGGAGTTATTTCAAAATGCTTCTTGGCCAAATTTTGTGCACAAATACATGACGCACTACAGCTTGATGCGGTGCACGGAAATTCTAAAGATATGTTCTAAAATCTAGAAATTATTGACTGATCGATTCACTATTGAATCACTCTCCAGAGTGCTAAAGGACTACCCTAAAATCATATGAGATTGCTTCATGATACTATGATTTCTGTTAACAGTATGTTTTTTTCAATTGTATCGTCCACTAAAAAGTTTAGGAATAAATTATGATACCACAGAGGAGAAGTGATAGGGTTGCCCCAGAAGTTTTCTTCTGGAAAGCATTTCAAATATATTTCAATATATTTTTGAAAACATTAGGTGCAAAAATAAAATCAAAATTAAAAAAACTGAGTAATGCTACACAATTTACAGGCACGGCTATTGAAAAACAATAGGGTGTAAGTGATGGAAACTACTAAATATTATTGAGAAATATGAGGAAATAATTATCAGATTCAAATTTAAATCTGCATGTGAATGAGATATTTTAACAAATTTTACTTTAAAAAAAAATGCACCTTCACCAAATGCAAAATAATTAAAAACTAAAGATTAAGCTCCATGAAGAAACTTGTTATGATGACGATGTAAGAGGATAATGATGAAATGGCTAGCCTGTGAATATATAAAAGGAAGACAAATAAAGACTATAGTCAAACGAGAGTAAGAAAATTCATCAAAGCTACTAAGAAGAGGTAGGAACGGAATCTGAGCTAATCATCTGTGAAAAATTTTGTTTGTGGAAGAAACTTGCGGAATTACAGAGACAGCCAATGAAAGAAAATTGCTAAAAAAACAAAGACAAACTAGATGACAATGAATACAAAAAATATTAAACTACATAAAGATCTTGGGAAATGATTTTTAGTCTTTCATGATACCTTTCATTGAAAATTAATGTCATTTTATACAAAATGTTGAAATATTTTTTGTTTTCAGGGACTATTATGCCTAACATTTACTAAAATTCGAGAGAAAAGAAACTTTGTGGCACTATTTTTTTTGGAAGTACCTTCTGTTAAAAAATAGACAGAGGAAAAACTATTTGTATCAAAATAAAGACAGAAAGTTGATACATACAACAAAATCCCAAGGTTTTTCAGTTTGAAATTGATTTTAGAGGACACATGAATTAAGTCTTCAAACCAAAGTAGCCAAGATTAATACTGGGAGATATTGCGAGAGAAAAGAAAAATACGTCCATGAAAGAGTGATAGAATAAAGAGAAATTAAAAATGTAAATTTACATTTATGATCATGTAGAAGATAGTAAAAAGGAAGAAGTATTAGAAAGAATAGTTACGATAATACATTAAAAATTAACAAGACTCCCAAACAGAGAAAAGGCAATAATACACATAAAAGACAACTCCTCTATCAGAAGGTGAGAACGATTTTCACAAAGCAATTATTTTTGAATATTAATAAGAGCTTCAAAAATAAAGGCGGTAGAGAGGGCTACGTTTGTTTTACTTTATTTCCATTTGACATAAAAATCCCTCGGTGCTCAGTATCATGCTGGAAAAATCAATTGCTCATATAGGTATCTGAAAATGCATAGAGGAGTGATTCAAAATTGAATATGTCTAATGTAGACAACTGATTGATACCGATCGAATTTGAAGTAAAATGGTTCAATTTTGATTTGTATTAAAGTTGAGGATAAGTTCCATCAATAACGAACATGAGAATGAAAAAAGAAAAACAATACTACTGTTAAACTGCAAAATTAAGCAGACAGTACTGAAAGCAAACAACACAAAGAAGGTGTAATATTAACTCCACCTACATGGCATATTATCTCCTGCAGCACCGACAAACTGGCGTACTGTGGACAGAAAAGAATTCCAACATCACATTTGAACCAGCACCAAGTTAGATTGACATATTTAAAGTTAAGGTGGTGGCCACACCACACTGGAGCAGCCTTTCATTTTCATGAATTTAGGCTAAAATAAAACTTGAGTAAAACTAAATGAGACAAATTGTGGTTCATTGTCGATGGACCACAGGACAAGGTGCAAATTTAAGCGATATGGCAAATATCTTCTCAACAAAAGTTAATGCAGAACTCGATTTGTACAGTAAAAATTACTGACAGTCACTTCCACTAAAGGTATTAACGTTTTTCGATGCACAAATTCAAAGTTTCCACTCATAAAAAAACCATGATCTACTTGGTTGAATTATACAGTATATGTTACAGGGAATGTATGCAGTCTAAAAATAAGACACCCTCCAAATCGACGCTTTGGCTAAGCTGTTACAAGATGTTCATACTTTGAACAACACAGGATGGGGAAGGAACTTTCTTAACATTGCTTATTGAACAGCCTACCAAAATCATTGTGGTGCACAATTTGATTCAAGTAGACTATGGTTTTTCTTGTGAGCAGGAAATTCCAATTTTTCGTAACCACTGCTAAATAAGAACAATTATATCTTGGTTGAGAGTTTATTTCAGTAATTTATACTGCACAAATCGTGATCGATGTTAAACTTTGAAAAGGAAGCTTGTATCAATATGCTTAAATTTGCACCTTGTCCAGTAGTCTATTGATGATAAAAAAGGGAACACATTGCAACTTCTTAGACACAAATTGGAGGTTTATTGAGGGCTTCAAAACATTCTCTGATAGATCTCTTTCCCTGTGGATGAGAAGATATGAATTATCTATCTATACTATAAGCTCCGAAACCTCCTAATTTTGCGAAACTGGTAACGCTTAGTTCCAGCGTTCTACCGGGCCGATTTTCATGATTTTTGCGGCTATCGACGGGCAATTGTCTCTAGATAAGCCAACTCTTTTCAGATTTTCAAAATATGGCCCAGGTTTTTTTATATTACGTGGTAAAGTTGCGAATTCTCCCATTTAAACAATGTAAATTTATACTTTTTGTCATAGTTCGTTTGAGCGTTCTACCAGGCCGATTTCCATGATTTTTGCGTAAATCGACAGGTAATAGGCCCTAGATGAGCCCGCTGTAATCAGATTTTGGAAAAAGGACCCAGTTTTTTTTAAAATCACGTTATAAAAGTGAGTGAGTTTATAGAATGCTCCGGTACTGCTACCGCTATGCGCGGGAGGATGCGCAGTGGTCGAGGAGGTTGCGCAGTAGCTGTGTAGCCTGCGCATCAGCTCTACACTTATCTACACAAGATTCGCGCTAGGTCCCTCATGTCGAGCGGTGACCGAGTCGTCTAAGACGTCGAATGCGTCCTCCTTGAACTCGGTGTAGGTTCGATCCCCGACTCATGAATTCTTAATTATTACCTGACTATCATTGTTCATTGTTTTACTGCAATATTTCATGAAGCAGTCATTCCAAAACGCGTCCTTTTAATTTTAAAGTAATTTTAAGTGAAGTTTAAAATTAAAGTATATCTCATATCGTAATTTTTTAAAGGGAAAATAAAACTAAAACTGATAGGAGGGTAAAAATAGGGCCGCGAAGCGACCCATTGATGGTGCGGAGCGCCTTCGGGGGGTTGGGCCGCGTAGCGGCCAGGGGGCGTAGCCCCCTAGTTGAATAATATACTTGGCTAACCCTACGTTGGTAAATCAGGCCCCTCAGAGGTGTTGTGCTAAAGACTCCTGGCCACACATTTGAAAGCTGTTAGTTATTTCCCCACCTTCATGACCTCTCCATGTTCAAATCTTTGAACATAGTTACATCAAAAGTGTGGAAAAATAAAAAATAAAATATGAAAACATAAAAACAAATTAACAGTTCATAGACTTTCCATCGCCAAAGAGTCCAAAGAGTAAACAAACGCACATTGAAGAATGTAGAGACTGCTGCAAAACAATGCCCAGTTTCCGTTAAAGTTTGTATGAGTAAGTATGTTCATTTACACATAGAAATAAATCAAATAGGTTACCTAATGCTTATAACCCAAACATGAAAAAAACAAACCAACAAAACTTGTAAAACTTTTTTCCACTGGTTGTGAGCCCTAAAACTTGTTTCTTGCAGTTTTATAAATTAGCCAACACCGTAGTAATTCAAGGGAATGCATGCAAACATAAATTATCATGAAGTTGTGTATAAGTCTTTTAAATGAGAGTGGTACAAGAAACTATAAACTGACAACAAACAACTAATGATAAATAGCAAGGTTCTGAATTTTAAAATAATCAACCACTCTCTGAGGTACATTTTGACTTCGATAAGATAAAAGATAACTTGATAATTTGTAATTGATTAATTAGCATAACTGATTTGCAATGGTTCAAACTAAAATAATAGAATATAACTTTAGGTTCAAAATTGGCGTGAATTAATTTTGTCAATTCATTACAATTTTGTCATTAACGAGTTATAAATCAATTGTTGACTCATTACACACGAGAAATTTTGATTGCAAGAAACACCTAGCCGCATTTTATGAATACAACTAGGTTATGAGTCTCTTTACATAAGAACCATTAAATGTGATTTAAAATTAAGCCATTGCCACTGAATTAATCCATACAAAAACAGTTTTGCTTAAACAGAGGGATAATATGTAAAAAGTAAAACGCTTTTATTCAGTAGGGTAATGAATGATTCTCTTTTTGTTCATTTGATTTTGGCCTTGCTATTTGCAATCATACTTAACAAAAGTTGTTGTTGGCTTCTTTGAAAAGGAGAAATGTAGCAATTTTGAAAAAGATGCATGAGTAGTGTTTTTACCTGTCATATTATCACAGAGAATTCTAGAGGTGATGATGCGTCCATATGGGCTGAAGAGATTTTCAAGATCTTGTTGCGCCATATTTTTTGGAAGCCCACTAACATATAGATTTGCACCTTTTATTGCTTCACTACTTGGTCTTGCATAGGAGACCTGCACAAAAATGAGAAACACGAATAGAATTTACACTTCATAGAATAACATTAGCAAACGAAGATAAACGCTTACTTTGTGAATTAGACTTAAACGATGCCAATCTCTCTTATTTTATTTACCATCTTTAGGAATAAGTTTCACCCTCTGAATCTCCAACGTAACCTTTTTGTTTCTCAAAGACCGTTTCTATACTCTAGCTAAATGTCCTGAGTATTGTGTCATCATATCGACGGTGAAACTACCAAACCACGTATCTCGTTTGCGGTGTTTAAAAATCTACGCTCACATTTTATTTTTTTGAAGTAGACCAAATCAATATCATTCCTTGAAATTTTCACGGAATTTTCTCCGCACAAAGAGGAAAAATCACAGAAATTTTCAAGACTAGATGTTAAGTAGTTTTTCATTTAAAAAATAAAGTATGACAGGAAGTCTGCGACGTCGCAAACCGAGATACGTGGTTTGGTAGTTTCACCGTCGATATGCTTTGATTTTAACTACACTTGGTCCAAATCCACAGAGGCCATTTGGGGGGGGGGGAGGTGTACCAAAGCTCTTTACAGACTACATGATCCTTTATTTTTTCCAAAGAGGAAAGTGGCAATTTTCTTTATTGAAAATGTGGCAATTTCAATGAATGCAGGCATGTGAAACAATGGACAGCATATTGTACAGATTATGACTTTTTCATCTTTTTTTGTGAAAATTATGGTAATTGAAAAGACCAACGATTAGCCTTTTAGACTAGAGACAAAGAGTGGTAACAAAGACTCGCAATCGTCGAGAAAAGAGGATACAAGGATTAACCTAAAAAAAACAATCCATAATTTCCTGCATGAAGGAATGTATCTCGTCTTTGGTGGTTCAATATTTTTACAAACAGTACATTTTTTCATGGCAAAACCAGCACACAAATTTTTCTGAAAATTTGACTATCTTTTTTTATTAGTATAAAGAAGATTAACTGAAAATTTCAGACTAATTCATGTAAAGGTTCTCCTATCAAAAAATAAAATTTCAGTGAGAAATATTGAAACAACGCAATCAAGATACATCTTTTCTGGCAGGAGACAACTAATTGTCAGCTTCTTTCATGGCATCTTTAGTTCAGTTGGTTAAATAGGCATATTATGTCTGTTTTACTATCTTCAAGGCATCTTTATCCCTGATTGCAATCAGGGGTGCAGAAAGCTCCAAAGCGCTGACCATTCGCTGCGATTTGATGTTCTTGCCTCGTGAATGCATCTCTAATTTGGCTGATGGCAAAATGTTTAATTTTACTGCAAAATGCATTGTTTGGCATACAATGTGCAATTAGAACCTCTTTCACTAAGTACTGAGCATGGAAAAAAACCATCATTTATTAAAAATTGCCTCCGAACCCAAAATCTGCCTCACATTTTTCACATTCCTAGGATTGTGAGATCCGGCATTTTCTGCATCCCTGTTGGCAATCGCTATCTCAATTAATGAGAGTTGCTTTAAATGATACATTTTCTTACCTTAATAGTTTTATTTTGTAGTCTTAGACCATTTAATGTGTTAATTGCTTTGTCAGCATCATCTGGGCGATGGTAATTGACAAAACCATATCCAAGACTCTGGCCTGAAACAAAAGACAATCAGGAGTGTTTAATTTAAACAGATGGTATGGGAAAACAAAAAGTATGTGTACCTTGTTGAAAATGGGGTACATCTTCATACATGCAAACTCGCTCAGACAGTTAAAACAGACTGCATGACTGATAAAAAAAAACAGATATTACTACTCTATTAAAAAAACTTAAATAGACTGCAGAGGGCATAAAGAATTTCATCTTCAAGGGCGGGTCATTGTACGTTCGCCTTCAATTTTATTGATTTTAGGATTGACTAGAAGTAAATGAAAAACTTAAATTAACATGTTTTTCCATGGAGGCATGCCTGGCCCCTATCCACCAGTCCTCATATATTTAGGTCATACTTGGGTAGGAGTCGAACCTAGGACCTTAAAGACACTAGGCCAGCACTTTAGCCATAATGTTCTCGATGCAATGGAAAATGGTAAGATAATTTTCTAAGTCCCACATCCTTGCAGAGACAACATTTCATTACAGAGGATTTTCTGTAAATGGATCTAATCTATGAATGTTAGAAGTTACAGTGAGGATCAAAAATAGGAATTCAAAGCTACCATTCAATTGAAATGGAAGGCTCAGAGATGCTTGAGTGCTTCGAGCAATTGAATTGACGTATGCGAAAACGTCCATTGTCCAATACAGGGTTTCATAATTTCGGTGGGTTTCTTTTGTCCCACGACACTGATGAATAGGATCGATCTCTTTTGTAAACATTTAATTACACTTAGGGGATTATTTATAAAATTGTTCTACATTACTAACAGCTTAAACCATCTAGTGTCATTAAAATACAACAAAATTGTCCACTCAAATTCTGAAAAACTGTCTTGGACATCGGACGTTTTTGCATACATCAATTCAATTATCAGGATAAGATGCTGAAAATAACTAATACTTCGTCACTTACCGGTCATTTTATCCCTAATAAGTTTACAGCTTTCAACTTCTCCGATTGATGAGAAAAGAGATCTGATTTCTTCTTGCGTCATGGTTTGGGGAAGATAATTAACTATGAGATTTGTTTTGGACTCTTCTTGTGGACCTCCAGGGTTGTTCTGTGATGTGTTGTGCGATCCTGTGTTCATACTGTGAATAGAACCGTTCTGTTGCGGTAATGTATCCATTCCGTTTTGCATCATCTTTCCAGCGATCTGTAACAAAAATGTAGATTTTGTTGCTTATGTTGTTGATGGGAGGAAATAAATGATCATTGAGGACATCAAAAACATGTTGGGTGCTAGTGCTTGCACATAATCACATAATATGAGCAAAGCACAAGCCACTTGCAGAATAAATGTTTGCATTACAGGGCCAATGATACATAGGAGCTAGGGACGCATAAAAATAGGAGATCTACTCCTTAGCTTGATTCATCAACCAGAACAAAGTGGCAATTAGAAAGAGCAGGAATATTTAAGCGAGGGAATCAAAATTTTATGCACCATTTATTTCTGAAGTATGTCCATGGGAAAAAAGACACCAGCTACTTTTATATGGAGAAACGTTTCATTGTGGAGTCATTACATGTATTGCAATCCAAACTGAAAGATGCTTGTTGGAAATGTTCATGTGCATGTTCAACTTAAGTTGCATACGATCATGATTGAGTGAAATACTGTATTTTTAGATTCAGACCGAAAACAATGTATGATACGGAAACCTGCTTTGAATGCGAAATGAAGTGAATACATCTGTACCAGACAGCACTTTTCTACAGACCTAGAACGGAAGATTTGCTTCCAACTAGGATTTCTCTAGGTACGCAGTTCTAAGATTCAGGAGCTTTTATAAGCAGTCTTACATCAATGCATGAGAATTCTGAATTTCGTACCTTACAATGAGTGTTAGTAGAAGCATAAAACTATTACGTATCAAGCATGGTGAGGCCTGACATTTTCACCTCAGAAAACATCTCTAGACTGCTCTGTCCACATACTAATGAGTAGGGGGTGTTCAAACGAATTCTTGCCAGAACACTATCGATATATCGGATTTTTGAGAGCTCGCACTCAATGCATTGTTGCCCCGTGTATCGGTTTATCAGATTGCCTGGCGCGGCAGCATGTAAAATAGATGTACAAATGGCAACAGCTTATTTTTGTCAGCTCTGAAAACTCTGCTATTGGCAAGAGCGCTCTTATCGTAACTTTTCCTTGACGGAACTGTTTCGGTAGCTTACCGACAACAGATAGAACAGCCCTACATATGAAGTGGCACAATTGATGGATTGTGGACATTTCTTGTTTACAGACCTTGTAACAAGGCACTTTAGAGTATAAGAAAAATGATTGTGAGAACAAAACTAGTTCTGTTCAGCTGATCAGTTAACAGGGAAACAAATTGAACTTCACCTGTCTTGACATAGCCCTAAATAAAGAGTCTAATACATGTGCAATACAACTAGTTTATCCTTGATATCCTTGACGTAAGGACCATTGTCACAAGTCAAGAAGAAGAGAATATAATCTGCGACTGAGGGTGCTGAGATGATGGACATACTACGTATGTGTCTAATTTGAGGTAAGCACATAATTAGTGGTTGCCCTTACTCCAAAGTCAAATCAAATTAGAGCACAAGTAATTGTGAGGATGCATTCAGAACAAAATGAATGAATTTTTACAGGAATTACTAAGCGAGCAGTGATAAGAAATGGAGTGTGCAAGACCTCCTTCTGAACAACCTGAGCCAGAGGACAAGAATGGATACAAGGATAAAACAAAAAAGTACTTTTCTCTGGCAGAGAAGTGGAGAGTTATATTACCTGAATATGTAAAAGGAGAAAATAAATCAATAATGCAGTCCTTCAACAAAATTAAAGGTGTAGGAATACCAAGATAAGAGAGATAGGTTAGAAAATCCTTCTGAACTTCAGTGCGGTAATGGAGGTATTGCTATTGATAAAGAACCAACGAATGATTTACTGAAGTATGATTTCGAAGCGGTAAAAGAGTTCTAATCTACCAATGAATGAAGGAGAAACGAGGAAAAATGTTTACCTAAAAACACAAACGGCACAGGGACACGGACTATAGACACATGATCAAATCAAACTTCGAGCAAGTCAAGAAGAACTTCAAATACTTCGATTATTTTCAGCGATAACAACGCTCCAAACAAAACCACGTGAACTAATAATTCGAACTTATTACAAATGCCAATTCAGTCAATAAAACAACTAATTATAGACTATCATTCCAAATGCCGCGCTTGTTCCCTCTTTCCACATAATTTAATTTTTAAAGCACAACATGGAAACAGAGCAAGGGAAAGGATGCGCGTTGATGACGGCGCAGAGATACAACTATTCGTACTTGATGGATGTCCATGTTGCGTCTGCAAAAATTGAAGGCGCGACGGCGCGAGGCGTGAACTTGGAATAATGCTTCGCTCTTTAGTGTCGCTCAGATTTAAATTGAAAGCCAGAATAAGTCTTGCCTACACTCGGTTTTTTCCCCTGTCAGTTTTCTAATTCTTTTTATAGGATGTATTTGTGTCTACCTATAGACCGTATCAAAAGCTCGTCTGTACCGGCCCTATAACTCCCCCAGAAAAGATGGTCAGGTCAATTTCACCTGGCCTGGGATTTCTGGGGGTAGTTGAAGAAGAAAATTCCCTGACACTTGATTTTTTCATATTTTTTTTCAAGTAGATCTGATTCTTTTTTTGCGATGCTCCTCTGCCCCCCCTCCCCCTCCTCCCCACAAGAAGTTTCTGGTTCCATCTATGACTTTGACCCATGATCAGCGCCATAATCTGCCTCCAAACTCGGAGAGGTCATGAAAACCAGCTTGATTTGAGCATGCGGGCATTCCCAAATCTCTCTGCAGAATGTCTGAGGATTCTCAAGGCGTCCATCTATTTCATAGAGTGTTGCCCTGGCACCTAAGAGGGGCAGGGACCGTAATTCTATCCCACAGAAGTCTAAATTTTAGCCGTAGTCACCGTGGGGCGTCGTTTGGCTCAACGAGGCAGCCGAAACACATTTCGCCTTCAATTGTGGAAGTAGGCAAAACAACATCCTGGACGCTCGAATAGTGGTATCGTCCGTAATGCGTGCTCTTGCCTCACTTGCCCATTTGCACGTGGGCTAAAATTCCTGGAGGAGGGGGGGGGGGGCTGCACCTATTCTCGATTTTTGTCAATGACTAAAGTTACCGCAATAATCAAGAGGTTTGACCTCCCTTAATAACGCCCTTACGAGCTTATGGCATACACTGAAAAAAAATTTTCAGCGTTTTTACCAAGGTCCGTTGGCACCTTTACCATCTCACTTTTTTTTTACCAATTATTGGTAATTTTACCAAGACAGACTGGTAAACTTACCTAGAAACCGGTATTTTTACTGTTTTTCTCAGGTAAGAATACCACTTTCATTGGTAATCAATTCCCGGTAACTTTGCCATTTTATCTTGGTAATTCTACCGCAGCCGATAAAAAATATTGGCGTTTTTACCGGGGTCCGAGTAAAATTACCGAGAAAGTCAATAGTTTTACCGAGATTTCTCGATAAAATTACCAATTCCATAAATGGTAATTTTACCAAGAAAAAACTGGGATCAAATAGAACCCTGAATTCTTGGTAGTTTTACCCTTTTCTTAGTAAATACACCGAGATTTTTTTTTCAGTGTAGATTCGGGCGGCTTTGAATCCGACAGTAAATCATCCTTGAGGGTAAGTACGAGAGTTAAGTTAATTTCACCTATAGCCCCAAAGAATGGACCCAATGGGCCCTACTGAATTAAGGTCTAAATTAGAAATTTGGCAAGGTCTAACTTTCATAGGCAGCAGAGGGGAGGGAACCCAGAGGGCTGCCCGCGGGCAACAAACCCGTGTGGATGTAACGCGGATAAGCGGCCTCGCGATCAGCCTCAGCAGACTTTCAGCGTTGTTTCCCCTGCCTTTAATTTTCAACCCCTGCTAATGCATGGTGCATGTCCATCCCCTTCGCAAGAGTGTGGATGTTATGAGGTCATAGCACTTTCATGACAACTTTCCGTCATATGTTTATTGATTTAATAGCGGTGTTGCTGCGGTTGAGTTTCAAGTTCCCCATCATGATAAGAAGTAGCGTCTAGCTTAGCTGATATCGTCCCTCAGCTACCTACGCCAAACTCGGAATAACAGAATCATTTGTCGCGTCAACAAATCGAACCTCAGGTCCAAAAGGAAAACATAGCACCCGGACTGCGGATAGCAGGTATTTATCACTACCTGGTATCATGGACTAAATAAGAAAATCATGCAGAATTTTCCTCAAGGTAAAAACGTAAAAAAAAAATCAAGCTCATCCATCAAAATCTTTTTTACCTCTTCATTCAGGGATTCTCAAAGTGAGAATTTGGAATCTTACTTAAATAGAACACTAAAAAAAAAAACCTCGTAAAACTTTTAGAATCATAAAATTACCAGGAAGTACATTCTTTTTTACGAGCTATTTAAAGAGCTGTGCGACTTAATGTTGTCTGGTTGGTATAGAAATTACGTAAATACTCACAAAAAACAGAATGATGCTCAGTTTCTCTTAAAAAATTGACATGAGTGGAAATTCAACAACTATACCGATGTCGATTCTGTTCATCATTTAGGCACTTGTCATCATGTGTTGCGCTGTGATGTATTTTTACAAGTTTCCCCGCTAATCAAAGTACCTAAATAGGTATCACAAGAATTGAATGAGACCATAGACCAACCACGGATGAGAGTTAGGTATTCTTCTTGTTGAGACAGATTCTTTCAGTCTTAAGATAAATCAAAGCTTACAGAATTTGCCGTGAGGAAATGTTTTGTACCTATTTTGGAGAGAAGCATGATCGCGAAGGAAGGAAATGCCTGCATTGCAAAGGATAGGGGAAGGCTTTTGCTTAAAAGGCTTTCAAGCAAAGCGTCTTCCGTGGTACCGGGATCAGGCGCGATGGAGCGGGGAAGTAAAAGGGAGGGACGGGGATGGATGCAGTTCGGGCTTTGGGGGATGAAAAGGGGATTGTCCGTATGCACTTGATATCCCATGGGACGTGCCACGTGACAGCGTGTCGCACTCGGGGACTCACTTTGACCTCTTTTGGACAACAATCTGCAACTTATTTCAATCGAAATTCAGAGATGCCGGGTTCAATGGTGTCTACTTTTTCAGTCTTGGGATGGATTCAAGA